TGACAGAAATAATATTTATAATAGAAGGTTTCTATTTAGATATAAGTTCAATTAATCTTTTAGCTTTGCATATATTATATTTGAATAGATAGAGCTATAGCTATATTGAAAGTATCTTGTCTCTAGTTTAAAGCTCAGTTTAAAGCACAATTTGCATATTATCTTAAATAGAAAGAGTTCAAAGTTAAACACTTTGTATTTATACATAATATAAGAATTGAGAAAGAACTTAATTATAAAACTATGTTTTAATATTTAGAAGTCTTTAAAATTGTATATAGAACTCAAAAAGAATTCTATATTATTAAAAAAGTAGATAACACTATATCTCAAGTAGATATAGTAGCATTTAGACTTTTATAGTATTATTCTATAATAGATAATCTATCTCAATAAGTTGCTAATGGTATATAAGATATTAAGAATAAAGATGTCAATAATCTAATAAAATTAGATAATAATTTAGTAGAAAAAAATAATGAGTCTAAGAAAGATAGTAATAGAAGTGAAGATGAGACAGATAGTATTGATAAAGATTAATTATAATTATAAAAGAGAGAAAATATTATAAAAAGCTTAAAGAACAATTAAAAATAGTTATCATTTATATTTACTGTGAGTGTTCTGCACTAAACTAATTAGATATATAGATAGAATATATTTTTGTAATCTTATATTTAAAGAAGAATTATATTATAAGATTTAATTAGAAATAATACTAAAGATATAATTATTTTAGTTAAAAATATATATATCTAGCAATATCTAAAAGAACCTACTTATATTATTATAGCTATATCTATCAAAAAGATTATAAACTTATATATAGTTTTATTTATTTTTATTATAGTTTAATTAGAAAGTTATTATTATTCTACACTACTTCTCTTATAATAGACTCTATAACTAAAATATAAATTAAGTATATATTATAGCTTATTCAAGTTTTATATATAATTACTTTATATATAAGTATCTATATTTAGAATATTGCTATATTGGCCAATTCTGTATAAACAGATTAGATAGTAAAAATAAATATATATTTGAATTGAATCTGAGTTCACTCTATATAAATATTTGAGGCATTCTATCAAGTAAAAAAGTACAAATAATTAGTCTGCTAAAGAAAATAAGTTTTATTTATATAATTTGTAAGAAGTAGAGATAAAATCTTATATAGTCAGAAGAGAAAGATGGCTATATAGAATTATAGAATAGTTTGAAATCTTGTAGAATGCTTATAAAGCTTATAGAATATTCTGAAAGCTATTTAAAAAAATACAATAGAGTAGAATATAATAGAATAATCTAAAAAATTGTAGAATCTTTCAAAGACTTATAGCACTTTGAAGAAAATATCAGAAGATGCTCAAATATTCTAGAACTTTCTTCTTGCTTACTAATCTCTCTATAAATTTGATAGAAATTTGTATTATATTTTTACATATAAACTACTTATTAGATAATAGAAGAAGAATAGATATCTCTTTTTAAGATTATCACAGTCTCAGTATATAGTTTTATTTTAGTAATATAGTTCAGAGTTTATATTTTATATTTATATTGAAAGTTAAGTAGAACTTTTACTTATATATATCAATATAATTTATAATAATCTTGTTAGCAGCAGAATATTTATCTTATAAATAGTATTTATAAAATTCTAACTATTATTTAAATGTAGAATATATAACTAAGTGCTTATAGAAAATATAATTATCTAAGAGTTTGCTATAATTTAATATAGTAAAAATATTATATGAACTTGTTCCAATTACTCTTATTAATATCTATCTAACTTCACAATTTGATTCTCACTAAGATAGAGATTAAGATTTACCAAGACCCATAGATTAATTTAGAGAAGCTTTTTGATATATATATATATTGAATAACTTTCAGATTTTAGAGAGTTCTCTAATATTGAGTAGTTTTTTTATTTGATAAGATACTGCAAGTAATCAATCTTGCAGTATATGACTATTACTTTAACTTTACATTCTTCAGCATTATTGATAAAATTAAGCAGTAATTATAGATAGTTTAGTTTATATGCTTCAGTTTTATAGTTAAAGTTATAAGAGATATATAAAAGATCTTATAGGTTTATCAATCTCTCAGTATACTTGTAATATATAAGAGATTCTAAAATTTAAGATACTAAATTTCTAATATTAATAGGCTAGCTATACTTTAAAACTATATAAAAATACAATTATAAGTATCTATATATATATATATAATACTATATTCAAATTACATTTATTTAATACTATTATATCTATAAATATTAGATAGAAAATTCTAACTTTATATACTATTTTAAGTTATAGATAATCTTTGCAAAATTTCATCTTTTATATTAGCTAAAATTATATAAGATAATTTGAATTTGAGTAAAACTTTTATTCTACAAATATTATTGCTCAAATTCTAGCTTCTATTGAATATTTAACTAGATATTTATAATTAAAAAATACTACAAAAATCTAGTGACAGTTTTATATCAAAATTATATACCTATATCTATCAGATTTCAAGTTGCTCATATAACAATATCTTAAGTGATATGCTATCATAATTGAAAGTATTTAGTGTAAAATAGAAAAAGAAGAAACTTAATATTAGATATATTCAGAACTTATCTATAGAACTTATAGATATTATTGGCAGAAATTTTTATTAATAATACTATTAGTTCTTTTCTATTACTAAGCCTACTCTCATTTGATTTATAATTATAAAGGCATTTTAACTTTAATATTTTAGAAGTCTGATCTAAGTAATTCAAAGTCTAACTTACTATACAGCATTCTTACTAATCAAGTGCTAGAAGCTTTAGAATGAGTCATTTCTGCTGTAATCTAATTAGTTGAAAAAAAAGAGATTTATTAATATAAAGCTTATTGGTTGAAAAAAGGCTTAGCAGAATTTGAAAAAAAGATATATAAAGAATCTCTTTAATTACTTCAGAAAGTATCTGCCTCTTTGCTAAGTACTTTTAATTTATATGTCTTTCTGCTAATAACTTGATATAGGTATCCTAGAGACTGAGTTTTTTTTTGAAGGATATAGAACTAAGCTTTCTATATCTAAGACTTTCTGTCTATCTATATCTAATCTATAATTAACTAAAATTCTTATGCATATCTATCTGAAGTGTTATTATTCTAGTATCTATAGCTCACTTAAGCTATAGACTGTCTATATCTATATCTACTAATCTTTATTTGATTGCAATACAATTCACTATTTTATAAAATTCTACTATGTAATTCTGTAAGAGTCAGTTACAAAAAGTGACTAAGTCTTTCATTGCTTTATACTCATGCCCACAATAAGTAACCGGCGCCAGACGCGCGGCGTGTCGCATCACGTGACTCGCATCAATTTGAGGAGGAGACAACTGACTGTCTATGGAACAGACGGCACTACAACTGTATATACAACATATTAGATATCTATTCTAGCTATCTATGTATTTAAAAACTCGTATGTCCACCATGAGCAGCCAAGACAGCCTCAACTCTGTCTGGCATCCGATTGATGTGCTTGTTCACATCTTCTATAGGTAATTCATCCCACACATGACGGACAGCAGCTTGAAGCTGTTCTTGGGTATTCAGAGGATGCCTGAGATTACGCAGAGCAGATTTGACCTCATGCCAAATACGTTCAATGGGATTGAGATCTGGGAAATTGGGGGGATGGAAGAGAAGTGGTATCTCATGATCAGTGAACCATTGTTGGGTTGATTTGCTGGTGTGGCATGGAGCATTGTCCTGTTGGAAGGTAATGGGACCCCTCTGTAGCTTCATCTCTTTATACCAATCCAAAAAAACCCCATCCAACACCTGTTCCCGATATCTAGCAGTGTTCATACCCCCACCTCTCCCTCCTGAGTATTCCAACACAATCAATGGCCCCTTGCGCCCCTGAATAATGCAAGCCCAGACCATAACACGGATGGAGGACTGCTTGAAGGTTGGTACTAGGCATTCCTCTCGCAAGACTTCATCAGGACAGCGTGTAATGTAGATTCAGCCTCGATCATCTCCCAAGTAAATATAGCACTCATCGGAGAATGCAACTTCTTGCCAATCCTGGCTTGTAAAGCTCTTGTATTTCTGTGCCCAATGCATGCGAGCCTTCTTCTGCTTCTTAGTAAGGAATGGCACTTGACGAGCAATCCGACGACTATATCCTCGTTCCTTGAGAATGCTCCGAACAGTGCCCTCACTGATCTTCGGGTCTATCTGGTTTCCAATCTCTGCAAATGTCACCCTCCGCTCTTTCACTGCCCTCCTCACTACCAGAGCCTTCATGCGATCCGTGACTTTGTGTGGACGACCAGAACGGGGGCAATTGTGTGTGGTGCCAGTTTTGATGTACTTGTGCCAGATGTCTGATGCTGTCTGGCGTGGGATGCCTGTAAGCCATGTCGCTTCAGTGATGCTCATGCCGGCTTGAATGGCTTCAACTAGCCGGTTCTTCTTAGGAGAATCATGTTGAGAGTGAGAAGATTTAGTAATGAGTATAACAAGCACATGTGTTATAGGTGGATGCTGGAGTACAGACTAAACAAAACTACATCCGTATGCGACGCGACGCGCTGGGCGTCTAAACACCGGTTACTTATTATGGGTGCGAGTAAGTTAATATACTCAGCTTATAAACTTTTCTATTATTGATGTTTCACCTCTATAACTTATTGTCCTCAAGAGTTTAGATTTATATAATCTCAGGCTCACTATTTCTATTAGATAAGTACTTGACTATTAGTCAGATTGAGCCTAAAATATAATCTTGCTATAACTCCAAAATATAATGAATGGCAGAAAATATTTAGTTCAATTTAAGATTTTCTCTACAGAAGTAGTGTTACCATATACTTGAGTTTTTATTTTCTCAAGTATTGCTTTAGTGTTTGCTTATTACATACTTTCTTTCTGATACAATAATGCAATTGATGATTAGATGCAGAAATAGCAGTATTGTGCTGAATCAGGTTTTTATACACCTTTTGCAGCATAAAGCCAAGAGCTGCAAATCTTTAGCCATCACAAGATGGTCATAAATCACATGGTTCATAAGATATCACCTTTCTGCTATATGCGAGGCTGTGTCCATCTACTTCAAACATCTATTCACTTCATATAGATATGCTAAACAGTGTATATTAGAATTTTAAGAAAATAATATTCACTGCATATCACAAGAGGCCTATTATAACATAAAGTCAAGAGTACTTATATAAATTTGTACAAACACTATGTATCACTTGTAGGTTTATCCTTAAATGTCAATAGTCCATGTAATGATGCAATCTGATCACCCTATCATTTCACAATTGTTAGACAAAAATATTCAGAATAAAGAAGGAAATATAGAATACCTTGCGTTCAAGTACTTGAATGACATCTTGCAGATGTTCAGCCAGAACATTTCGCTTTGCCACATTTGAAGTGGAATCTATGGCCTTGTACTGATCTGCTAACTCAATGTAGATGCTGCATCGGCAATGCATCAGCAACGAGAGAAAATATGATAGAGAAGCACTCACAACTTATAATGTGTGAAATCATCCTCCAACTCCTTGAGAACCTTGACAAGAACCGTCTGTGGTGGTAGCGCATCATCTGCAAGATCCTCTCGCACATCTTCCCTATGGAACTCATCCGAGTCCTCATCAAAGCCCTCATCGTCATGCTGGTTCCGAGCATGCCTTCTGTTGTCCTGAGCTCTGAGCCACTGTGGTAACGCGTCTTCAACATCCTGCTGACGACTCGCACGACGTCGTTGCGTTCGCGACCCATGACACACAGTGCAAGTTTGCACATCATGCGGTGGGGCGGAGTAGAATAGTCGTTCTAGGTTTGTACCACGAACACGGGGGAGACCAGCGTCCCTATCAGTTGTACGCGAAGATTTTCGAGGCTGTTCCGCCCGTCGGGGCGGGGCCTCCTTATCCGGCTCTTGTGCAGCACGATCCACTGTTATATCAAAGCGAACAGTTGATGGCCCCGCATCTGACGCTTTTTCAGTAGCGCGACCGCCTATTGGAGCATTGGCCGCATCCAGAGGACGAAGCCGTGAGGAACCAGCACTGGACTGCGATTGAGAGTACGAGCTCAAATCATTAGTACTCGAATGAGATCGTGAGGACGAGGCTTGGGAGACAGTCAACGAACGCTCCGAACGACGTTCCTCTACTTCCTGTGAGATCCGTGTGAGCTCATCATGGTCGATGAACGGTGCAGTACCGCTGACTCGTTGCGAGCCCCCAGCTGTACGCCCACTTGCTTGAGACAGTCGCGACTGTGGTCGAGGTGTACCGGCGAAGGGCGAACATGGTCGAGATGAAATTTGGCTTCTTGAAGAGGAAGAGGCTGTTGATCTAGCGAGCTCTCTTCGGTCCGGGACTGGTTCCTCATGATGGCTCGTGGTTTCCTCTTGTTCCTCGTCGGAATGCTCAACTTCATCCTTGCTCTCATGGCCGCGGTCCGCGGATAAATGTTCCCTAATGTCTCGCCTCTCCTTGAGGCCTTCCTCAACAACGCCTCGCAGGACTTCAACTTCACCAGATAGCCTCTCGACTTCCTGACGTAGTTTTTCCACCTCGCGACCCTTCTCCTTCAGTAAACGACTATCGCGCTCCTGCAATGAACGAAGCTCCTCAAGAAGTCGGTGGTGATCAGAAATTTCCGCAGTGAGCCTAGATAAATGATTTTGTAGCGTCGAAATCAAAGCCTCGAGAGCTGGAAGACACCATTATTAGCCAACCTCTGGCTAAGGACGCGTAAAACCCACCTTTCTTCTCTTCAACGACCTCCTGATAACGACTCGAGTTGACCTCCGCGTCCTGACGTGCATTGTTCCTTGCTCCTGGTCTGTCTTTGGCTTGATTTGAATGCCTTTCACCCGATTGATCAAGGATCTTAGTCCGCTCCTTGATAACTTCTTTCTTACACTCCTCGAGCTCAGACTCAAGTTCCCGTACACGCCGACGCGAGATACTGTTCTCGGCCTCCAGGTGAGCAAGCTTATGCTGAACAATGCCCAAGGTAGCAAGGATCCGAGCTACCCAGCAATGTCAGCTCCGTGAGATGATCCTTCATGTGAATGGAGCTTACCATCGACCTCCCCTTCACCTGTTGCATCGTACCCAAGGTATTTGAGCCCCACCCTCGCTGGAGAGTCAACCACGCTAGTCAAGCCCGTGATATCCGGAAGGTGGACCTTAGACTTGAAAGATGTACTTCGAGGTGTTAGTCGTGTATTCGGTCTCGGAGTCCCGCCCAACTGGTTTGGAATTTCCTTCAACGGAACCTCTTGATGATGATTTCGCTGACGAACGGTGCTGTGCACGTAGGCAGGGACATCATGACCAGATTGCCCGGATTTGCTTCGCCTAGCAGCCTCGATTTCCTTCGTGATACCTTTCGCTAACCGAGGGAACGTTGAGCCTTCACTGACATGTTCAGGCGTTGGCGGATTAACATTCACAACAGGCTCAGGTAGTGTGGCATAAGAAAGAGATTGAGTACTACGATTTCGTCCTACCGATGATAAGACAGTCAACCTCAAAAACCATGTGCACGGTAGAATGACTTACCAGGCGTCGCATGTCGTGCAAGAGGGGACTCCGGTCTTGAGTCACCAGTCCTCAGGGCACGGGGGGTTCGGTGAGATTGGGCACTCCGAGGCCTTTTAGGTGAAAAGGTTGCATGCCTGAGTGCATCGGATAGTTTAGGTCGTGGAGATTGAGGGGTCGCGATAGGCGCGTCAGAAGATGAGGATGAAGATTGCGGTGAACGGGAAACTGCCGGTCGTGCAGATGGTCGAGGTTCGAGAATACGCTCAAGCTCAGCCGTATCATCGACTACCAAGGGGTCGAAGTCAACTGTAGCAGATGGCTAGAATTTCGTTCAGAGATAAACTAGTTATTAGTGACCCTGTTCCCCAATGAGATAAACATACATAATGTCTTGATTTTGTTGAATCTGGCTCGACGTAACGTCTGGTGTCGATGCCTGCGACGATACCCTTGACAGGCCTATCCGGGTCATATTCCGCCCCGCTCATACTAGCGTCCCGCCTAGCGCCGCGGCCACCAAGGCCAGCACTGAGAGTGAGTGCACTAGCATGGTGCGCGGCAGTTGACATTGTTCCTTCAAATGGATGGATGCCCTCCTCGTCATCGTCTGCTCTGAGCGACCATGGCTGGTAGTGACTATTCTCTCCACCATCGAAGGCATCTCTTGAATTATGATAATCGAAGGAGGCCATACCAGAAAAAGAGTGGGGGTCAGATATGTGTCGTGGAAATTCTACATCCGACTCGTCAGGCGTCGAAGACAAATGCAGAGACAAGTCTGTATGTTGCAAGTTCTTCTCCAGTTGAATCCGATGTTGTTCTTGCTCATCGCCAGCGATACTAAAATCGAAGGTGGAACCACGAGCAGGCATGGATTAATAGTTGTCGGGTATCGCTTAAAGCCTGTTCTACGCGGGGTGAAGAGGATAAAAAGCGCAGAGGGCCAGAGGATGGAGGGGAGAACAAAGCTGGCTGCCAACTCGAACTGAAACTGAACCGCGCCAGTCACATGACCGTGAAAACCACGTGCACCGAATTTCTTGTCGCCGATCGCGTCGACGTCCAGAGTACCTTTGCAAGCCATCATGGCCGACACACACGATGAAGGCTCAGGCTCTGACGATGTGCTACCCGACGAGGATGCTTTTCTTCAGTCGGAGAGTACCTTCGCAGCAACTTCATTCGACCAATACTTTCTCCTAGCATCCAAGTCATCTCGCACCTCGTCCAACGTATTCTCCGCTCGCGTCGACCCATTGACTCCTCAGGAATTCACTGCTGCCCTATCATCTTTACCCTCACTTGCTGAAGCACCGCCAATAGACTACCGTTCGGCTTTTCCCAAGTTTCTCCTCCAACTGGAGCAAGGTTTCAATCTATTATTCTACGGCGCAGGTTCCAAGAGAGACGTGTTGAACTCATTTGTGGAGTACATACATAGGCGAAGGAAGGTCCACGTAGTTGTGGCCAACGCATTTAACCCAAACTTTACGATAAAGGACCTCCTGAACTCTATCGAGAACGTCCTCGACACGTCCTCTGCGCCTTCAACGCAACGAGGCGTCGAGGGACAATTCAACCGCATACACCATGTTCTGAATCATACGGAAACCTCCCCTCGCCTCTGCATTCTTATTCACAACATTGATTCCCCATCACTTCTCTCTACCAAAGCGAAAGCCATGCTTTCAAACCTAGCTAGTGACCCAAATGTACATCTCTTAGCATCCGTCGACAATATCGCATTTCCCCTTTTGTGGTCCCTCGGCGAATCGTCAGGCCGTAAACAATCCAGCGGATATGCCTGGCTCTATCACGACCTAACTACCCTCCGACCCTACGATTTCGAACTCTCCTACGCCGACCGATCCTCCATCTCCGGAGCCTCTCGAACCAACACCCGAGCTGCTCGTGCACGCGCCGCAGACGGTGGCATCCCAGCCGTCATGACCGAAGTTGCAGCTCGACATATCCTTTTGTCTGTAACCGAGAAGGCCAAGAAACTCTTTGTACTCCTTGCAACGAGACAAATTGAATCCATGGCCGAAGGTGCATCTGCTCAAGACGTGCAGGAAACTGCAGTGGAGTATGGCACACTATTCACCATTGCCCGAGACAATTTCGTCGCGACGAATGACACTGCATTCCGGGCTCTGATGGGCGAGTTCAAAGACCATGGTTTAATGCTTACTGCTCCTCAAGGACCCGCTTCAGGAGATGTAGTCTGGATCCCATTACGCAAAACAGTCTTGTCGACACTCATGGCAGACCTACAGCAGGGTCAATTGTAATACACAGCCCGGAATATCATAACATGGAAGCTAATAGATGTAAGGGATTATACGGGAAGGAACAATCTCACAGTATTTCTTCCAGTCTTTGCCATATCTAAAAGACCCTCAATGTCAGCGTCCATCTTCAGTGCTAGTGGTCGAACGAACGCACTTTTTCTCGCAATGGGCATCATCGCGTCTTTGTCTGTGGATGAGAAGCACAGTGAAATAAGTCACGTAAAAGTAGGTGATGGGTGTCTCAGCACCGGTCGGGAGAGACCAAGCCAAGGCCATCAAGAGATCGCCACTACAGACAATCAATTCAGAGACTAAGCAAGAACATGGAAGCAGAACTCACAAATAGTTGGGATGCCTTGAGCGACCCCACCAACCGGACGTCAAGAGTTTCGAGCCGCTTTCAGTGGTCATGTACTGCAAGTCTGTAATTCGGCCGCATCAGCTCATGGATCCGCCGAACGACTATCGCGCACATACTCTTGGGGTTCAACCCGTTGCGGAAATTATTCTTCTCTCCATTGGCATCCCTGAAGATGTAATATCCGAGCAAGTTGACAAAGCAGATAATAGCGGTGTGGATGGGCCCCAACTCCACTTGGTTGAAGACGAGATAGCGCGCTTGCAGAGAGTAGACAAAGGGTACCCATGCTAGGTCACCCACGCCAAGCATGAAGCCGAAGCCGTCGGTGGTGATGTCCATGGTGGTGAGGATAGCAGGCTGTACGGGACAAGAGATCATCAATGATCACGACTGGTTGAAAGAGATGTAATTGCATACCTCGTTGTAAAGACCATCCACGACGTACCAAGTCTGGAATGCGAGAACGAGCCACATGGAATCGGTGACATTTCCGCCACGCGAGACATACTGTTTGCAAGCGCAGCTTATATCGGCCAGAACCCACAGGATAAGACCGGGACGAAGCTCGTTGAACGATTTGAGGTCGAATGAGCCAAGGGAAGGGTTCAGTTCGCGACCAACGAAGAACTGTGGCAAAATTAAAACATCATGTCGAAATTCTGTCAAGGGAACATACGTCGTAAATGGGGTTACCACTATTGCCACCCAACGCGAGAAGAGCCCCGCTGCGGAAAGACACCAAGTAGCAGAGAAGACCTTGAACAACAGACATCAAGATGGATGCGGTAATAAAGCCGACCCAATGGTCATAGATGAAGGTGAAGGATTCAGGGCCAAATCGATAGATGAAACCAGTGGTAAGGCCCATAGTGAGCAGGAATGTTGAGAATGCTGGAGACGAACAATGAATAATGTTTGTTGGACATGGCGATCAGATACGCGTACCATTAATTTTGTAGCTCTTCTTCTGACCATTCCGCATAACACCTCCCTCGACCCAATCGCCAGGAATAATGAGCCATGCGAGCACACAGTACGCGTACCACGCAAGGTATGCGACAGCGGCTTCTTGGTCCCATAATGACCACCACCAATCCTCCGACGTGACAGCTTCGACAAGTTTGGGATAGAGGGTATCTAGAGCCGGGGGACAACCGCCGGAAGATTCAGAGCAAGTAAAATATAGAGCATAGGTTGTAGCAGGGACACCGAGGGTAATGAAGAGAGCACCCAGGGGTCCGAGGAATTCATAATGTTTGGTGCGCGGGTTGAGTTCGCTGGAGGTACCCATGTTCGTGCGCAGCCGTCGTAAGTCAAACTGAGATTTATAGCAGGTCAATAAATGTCGAACCACTTTGTGGTGGGAGAACGCAAGTCGCGACGCGCGATCGTGAGTGGACGTGAACTGCGCTTACATAAGCAATGGGTGTAGATGAATTGGGAAAGTGTTTTATGTTTGGAAGTCGGACTATTATTTGGACTCGAGGATGGGTTTCTTCTCCGGCAGACGGCCAGAGGACATTGCTGGCAACATCGAACAGCCCAAGTCTGTCGTCCGTGTCATTCGTTCCCGCTTTGTAAGTATTTCTCTGCATTTTCATCTGTCACACGCCATTCACGGGATTGAAATGGCTGTAGTATGGTAAACAGGCAGGCAAGAGCCGCAGTAGCCATGGGCCAGAACCTTCGTCTTCCTCGTCTCATGATGACAGTCTTCGTTCCCATCTGTCTTCCAGTCCTTACCCTGAACGACCCTCTGCCACGACCCTCAGCCATGTGCATGCCTCCAGTACCATGCGTCCAACCGCCTCACGACTCCCTTCCTCGCCGTCCTCGCCTCGCACAAGACCTATCAATAACATGACTACTACCTCTCGGCCGTCCACTGATGCGATAACGTCTGTTTGAGTTCAATGATTGCTATGCTGTTTCGAGGTGTTCTGACTTGAGCCTGTAGGCTCACTTTGGCTCAACGTTTACAAGAGCTTGCAACTGCGAATGCGGAGGGTCTCCTCAGGTGAGTAGCACTTACCAAGTGACTTACAGAAGATATTAATCAACTGCTCGATCATAGTGACGACGAATATCGTCTCCTTCGGCAAGACCTCTTTGACCGTCTGGCTGGCGGCTCAACTGTACCCACTGAAGCACCTGTTATACCAGTTATCAGCCGTAATGCTGCGAGTGATCCGGGGCGTAAGTTGTATTCCAGTAGTCCAAGGGTTCTGATCTCATCTTTCGTCCAGCTTCAAGACATTCACGACAAACATCTCACTATGATACACAATCCACACGCGCACCGTCCACTACATCAAAAAGGTCTATAAGCTCAACAGTCACGGGTATGCTAAAGCGGGCCACAAGTAAACGACGGGGTTCTGGTGCTACAGAGTACAGCGATACTGCCAGTATCTTCTCGACCACTTCTACTGCGCAACGCTCTGTCTTTCAACGACCACTTGCCAAACAAAGTAGCGAAGCCTCCCTTGCACCTGAGAGTCCGCGACTTTCTCGTGCAGATTCTGTTATGCGGCCACCGAATCTGAAGCTCAACAAGGATCGATCCAACTCCATGACGCGTTCTGTTCGAAGTCTACGCAAAGGAGCCATGCCACCACCTTCCGCGTTCCAACAGAAACACGCTCCCGAGACTTATGTCCAGACAGCACCAATCGACGGATCCGCTGACGATGAGTTGCTTCGTTCAACCGACGACATTCGTCGTGAAATTGAAGCCGTCGAAGCAGAAGGCAGGAGGTTGCTAGATGCGTTTAGCGGGTTAGAGCTCAGCACGCTTGTCAAACAACAACGAAATCCTGGCTTGATGTTGTCATCAACAGAATCCAATTTACATCTCAGAGCGAGTTCGTCTGCGGGTCAGACGCGAATGGACATCGATAGCAATTCAATACGTTCCACCGGCTCAGGACTCACGATGCTATCCATCAATCGACCACCCGGTGTGGAAGCCAGGCTGCGTCGAAACGCGTCGAACTCCGGGCCATCCAGTCTTTATCGCAAGAACTCCGTTTCCACTATGTCTACGCATAGCAAAACTGGCAACACCATCTCTCCTACATCACCTTCTTCACGTCACCTGGGTCGGTCGCGACTGGGTAGCACGTCTAGTGTGAACTTGGCTCGCAGTGCGAGTCACCTTCCACTAGCACCAGTCGCTGAACGAGCAGACACACCTCATCGAACCCTTCGTGTCTTGGCTAGTGAGCCAGATGCCATGTCGGAGGCTGGTGGGGATGACTCGGTGGACGAAATGAACGACATTCGAAGACGGAAAGCCGAAGTGACGGCGCGATATGAAACCCGCGTTGAATACCTTCGTGCAAGACTGAAGGGCGCCGAGCTTCGCGAGAAACTGCTCAAGACATAGAACATTGAGATTGTAATATGGTTGATCTAGTTCCGGACTAACCGGCGGAGGCATTTTGTGATTGAATTCTATTTTTTGGTGCAAGGATTGTTACATACCCAATCTACGATATATATACCCGGCGTATTAGGGCGCCGTGCACTGTGCATGGATGTTATAGCTAGCTACACTCTCTTCTAATACTTACTCGAATATACCTACGTTCGCTAGTCATGTTCTGGAGTGAGTGCATTGCCATTTCGGGCCGGCGCGCTTTGGTCATAGTTGTTGAGGAGAGTTGGATTCACGACGAGCTCGATCGCGTCTCTTGACCACCATCCACGACCACCACCACCTTTATCAGCGGCCGCAGCTGGCCAACCGCTCAATTCACAGGTTCGGTATGCTCAGTCATACAATCCATTGAACTTGACTGATTTGGGCATCTCTGCTACAGGACTCTATCTAGTATCTCTAGCCAGTCGCAAGCCACTCCCTAGCGGCTGATGTCCGCCCCTCCTACATCTCCGAGAGATGAACTTCCAGAAGAGACCACGACTGATTCCTCAATCACCCCTGGCACGACTCCCACAACGAGAAACCACCCTGCCAGCTTGAGTACAAGTACCGGTGCACGACTTCCCATCCATCGCAGCCTCAGTCAAAGCTCACGTTGGTCTCCGGGTGACACACCACAACATCATCACCAGGGAACATCTTACTTTTCTTTACCTGCCAGGCCCACGTCACCACCTACCCCTAGACGAACGAATTTCCTTCAACCTACGAGAACAATGTCGGCCGCTTCAATCAAGCGGCGTGGTGGGCGCAGTACCAGTCTTACGAGTTCACATGCAACCAACAGAGGATATCGAGACGATGGAGAGCCTTTGAGCGAAGAGGAGGAGGAAGAAACTCCAGGCTCAAGCGGGACTGAGACAGGTGCCGATGGCGAGAGTTACCGACGAGAGCATAGGGTCGGTGACAATGATCTTGAGAGTGGAGAGGTCGGTGAGGATGGGTCGGAAAGGGAAGAGGAACCGGTCACGCTCAAAGATCGACAATCTCTCATAAATGTTGAACATCCGTTTGGTCTACCCATCTGGAAACCTGCGCTGTACAAGAAGTCCCGCTCGGTGACGCGTTACGCAGATCAGGCTCTACATTCCGTTCCTTCAGCTCAGGCTGAACGCCACCTACTGCCAGGAAATATCTTCTGGGCTGTTGTTTTTGGATGGTGGCTTGCATTGGCGTGCCTGTTGGCATCGGCGATCCTGTATATCATCCCCGCAGGTGGCAGACGCTTTTCTTCGCTATTCTTTGGTCTAGGTTGGTATCTACTATGGCCCTTTGGCAAGTACGTAGAGGGAGACATTGGGCACCCATCTCCACCCGAAGATGAAGAACAAGCTCGCGGTTCAGATGAGCATCCAATCCACACGGTCGCAGAGGATGAGGAATATCAGGCGGAAGTCCCATCGTCCAACCATTCGACCATAACTCCTCGCACCGCGCCTCAACAACAACCGTCTTCTGCGTCATGGGATGCTTCTGTTGCGAATGAAGAGACATCGCTGTTGACTCAGTCTTTCCATAGTGACCGTCCTAGCCTGACACCCTCCAAATCGTACGGAGCAACTCCTCAATTCTCGCAACCCTATTCCATCGGTGCACGAAGAGGTAAATCCTCTGACATACTCGGGCGTATATGTTTCTGGCTGTTCCTCGTCACTCTGATCGCCCCACTCATGCTCATTGTATGTCTGACATGTTGGGGTCTCGTCTTTACAATCCCGATGGCGAAGCTTAATTGGGCACTTATCAAGCACCTCTTCCAACATCCTACCGACATCCGATTCTGTGCAGCCCCTGCTGCGGTTCCCGTTCCTGCCACTCACGGCACCTCAGGAGCAGCCGACCAAGCGGGCACTTCACGACCTGAAATCCCTCCCTCCTTCAAACATACTCGACTTTCAGCAGGCCAAGCTGCCCCTTCTGGTTCACCTACATCAACCGTCCTGCTGTGTACTTATCGCGCCTTTGGGTGGAAGTATTACAAATATACCATTGGTGGTGTCAATATTCTGTTTATCAACCTTCTTCCTATCGTCGCCTTTGTCCTCCTTGATGGCTTCATCCTTTGGCCTATTGCTGAACGAAGGGAACAAGCTGGCAAACATGTCCCCGCTCTCCTTACCCTACTCACCTCTCGTCCTCTTATCTTCTTGTTGAGTTTGACAAGCGTCATTCCTTTATCTTACTTTATCGGCATGGCTGTTGCGTCCATTTCAGCACAATCTTCAATTGGAATGGGTGCCGTCATCAACGCAACTTTTGGTTCGATCATCGAAATCATCCTCTACGGAATCGCTTTGACTGAGGGCAAGGGACACCTCGTTGAAGGTTCCATCGTCGGTAGTTTGCTAGCCGGTGTACTCCTCATGCCCGGAATGAGCATGTGCAGCGGTGCTATCCGGCGCAAAGAACAGAAATTCAATGCCAAGAGCGCCGGTGTGACGAGTATGATGTTAATCATGGCATTCATTGGCACTCTCGCACCGACTTTGTTTTACCAAACTTATGGTAGTGTACGTCGAAACAATTCATTTTCTTGTGAGAGTGAAGCTGATGACCAGTGTAGTTCCAACTGGTTTGCGATGGATGCCCTGACGACGTTGCTCTCAAGGACCGACCTTGGGTTTGCCAGCATTGCTACTATGAGCATCCTGATCCTGTCGATGATCCATTCTACCAATCAACTGTGAAGAGTTTGATGTATTTCTGTGCGATCATCCTCCTGCTTGTAAGTAAACCCTAATCACACACTTCACGATGTCTCACCGCCATTTCTTTAGTCGTACCTTATTGGTCTGTGGTTCTCGCTGCGCACCCATGCGAGTCAGATCTGGCAGAACCCTCAGCAGCTCCTACACCCTATCGATGTTCAGCTCCCTCCTCAGCATCGATTCTCACTGTACAATCGTTTCGTTCCAGCCTCACATGGTGCCGGTGGTCCTACAGGCCAACGTCAGCCTTCTCTCCGACACAGGCCCAGCACGATTGCAAGCCAGGACAACAGCAATCTACCGTCACGCAGTCAGACACCCACACCTCGCGATGCTGCCCCCACAACGATGACAGACAGCCACCTCTCAGTGACTCAGGCAACGAACCATGGCCAGCCCACCACCACAGGAGGTAAACGGATATCGTACGCTAACCCTCCAGCTATCAACGCCCCTGCCCCTTACCCGCCATTGTTGGAAAGTGTGAACCATGCGATCAAGGATACTGGTATTCACCCCGAAAGCATTACAACGGATGACTTCACTAGGGCAGTCGCGGTAGCCACGGTTAGTGCGCTCAGACACCAGCAAAATCAGGCTTTGCCTCCAAGGTTGAGGACTTCGTCTGCCGAAGAGGATGGAGGTCACGGAGGTCATGATGCACCCTCTTGGAGTCGTACGACAAGTGCAAGCGTATTGTTGGCTTGCACCGCGACATATGCTTTGATTGCAGAGCTACTCGTTGCTGTCGTCGATGTCGTGATGGAAGGATCGGGAATTGATGAGAAATTCCTTGGAATTACTCTCTTTGCTCTGGTTCCCAATACGACGGAGTTCATGAATGCAATGTCGTTTGCGATGAATGGGAATATTGCACTCAGGTGAGTAATAAGATAATTGGCTTCGTTCCAGAACTAACAAAATGAATAGTATGGAAATTGGTTCCGCATACGCTCTCCAAGTCTGTCTTCTCCAGATCCCTGCGATGGTTGCTTTCTCTGCGTGGTATGCACCAGAAAAGATGGGTTCCGTGGCGGATACTTTCACGTAAGTTATCGAAAGCTCACTCTAATGGGTTTTCTTTGCTCATCTTCGTTATTAGACTTATCTTCCCTCGTTGGGATGTCGTGGTTATCATCCTTTCGGTATTCTTGATGACCTATACATACATTGAGGCGAGGAGCAATTACCACCGAGGAAGTATTCTCATTCTGAGGTGAGCAGGTCCTCTTGCTTTAGTCAGTACTGATGCTGACGCTTGTTTCAGTTATCTTGTTCTTGCGTCTGGATTCTACTTTGCTCCACAACGCGGAGACGAAAACGAACTCATCCACTTGATTTCCAATAATTTCCTCCGGATATTCAGCATCACTCGTTAGATGGAGCAGTTTTCTGATATCATTTGATTAGACTGTTAGTACAACATTCAGCGTACAGGTTTTCATGCTATCATTGTTCTTGCGTGTCATTTAGTGTAAGCTCTGCAGCTTTTCTAGGAGGTCTCGCATCTTGGCAGGACTAATGGGAACTCGTTCCGCCTCATTTTCTCCCTGCAACAATGCCTCTGCATCAGCTTGGTTCAAGAACTGCTCGAGGAAATCGCCATCTAAGAAACCTATAGCGGCATCTGCGTCACTTCGACCATACCGATTTGCCGGTGTCCTCCACCTGTGAGAGCTCGTTATCGATTGAAAGAATGCAACCACATTATAACTCACTTTGAATGGCGAATATCACCAGCACCCACCAGCTTCTTCGACATGTTGTGTTGCAAAGCCGTTAACCCAAGGGAAATTCTCTCATCATTCACATGGAGTGTTTGGCAAATACGTCCGGAGGAAGTGAAGAACAGGTGTTCTGGTTTAAAGACGTCCACATCTTGCGTTTCCTGGGCGGCAATGCTCCCTGTAGATCAAGAAGTGAGCATGACAGAGATCAAGCGTAAAGAGTAAGAGTATACCTGGCACTATTTTCGTGACCATCTCGCCGAGGTGATAACTGCCATTTTGACTTAGAATAGTACGTTGATCAGTACGTTCAAGAGCGAATGAAAAGAGGTTTCCGTCAGCCTGTCAGCGGACTAGTCAGCAAAGTGCTTAACAAATGAAATAACAGACGCACATTGCCGCCAATAACACCTTTGTCAGGTAATGCTTCCACAGCGACTGGCCAGAGGGGCCCATAGTCCCTCGCAACGCTCTTGATCTCTTTGCCAGAGACCTGTAGAACAGAGACAGAGCTGATTGCATCTCCAATCGTGATGATGTCGTCGTGTGCGACGAGGCTTATCACAGTATAATTATGATTCCATTCGTGTAGCTTATGCAAGGAAATGACGGGAGGTTTGATCACCGGATTGGTAGCTAAAGTGTAGAGGACGACCTGTATATCAAGTAAGTCAGCGAGTCAGGTGGATATACCAGCTTCGACAGTTGAAACGAACCGATGAGTTCATCGCAGCAACAATCATATCTTTAACAACGTCTATTGCCCAGACACAGCCGCTGGTTTCAATTTCAGCCAGAGTGCTTAACTTACTCCCAACCGCAGACGAATCATCGGGAGTAGACTCCTGAAAGACGATGAGTCGCCCGGCGGATGGCTCACGTTCGCCATGACGATGGTAGACTGTGCCAATACAGAACGTAGGCTTGCGTGCTTCGAACACAGGATTCGAAGAGTCCAGGTGTTCAAGAGCGCATACCGAAGTAATTTCTTCCTCCGGTTCACATACGAATTGGCATAGGCCTAAATCGGCTGTCAGCATTGTATCTTCGTGAAAGATCGCTAGTACGCACGCTGGAAGCTCTGGCCATGAAGTAGATTGAAGGTACTTCGATAGGACTCGGCATCTCCCACCCGACTGGGGGTGATTTGACGAGAAGCCACGCCAAATTCGCCCAACCCCGAGTGATAGGTGATACGACGTGGGTTGTCGTATCCCAAAGGTATCTGCAATAACGGTCAGACCATGAAAATCGTGCCGACAAGTTCCTGCCTACCTGACGTATTTGCATTTTGTCAACACCTCTGACTCTACCAATGACGATTGATGACTCTGTCGCTAGGATCAAGGCCGATGAGAACGCAGAACTATTCAATCGTGCGGCAGCGGCTAGATCCTACAAACAATGTTTATATGCTGCTCAAGACACCCCTAGACCTATTCCCACATACCTTAAGGAGCACGCTTGAGTGTCGTATCCGTTGACGATCCCAGTATAAGACAGTAGACCTACTCCCACTTGCAAAGACCGCACGCCTGCCATCAACCTCACAGGCAGAGAGGCTGACCGGAATGTTACCCAACGGAAGGACCTTCTTGTCATGAAGGCCGTTGTCTTTGAAGTTGAATGTTACGATTGAACCATGAGTCAAACCAACTAGAACCACCGGCCGGAAATCCGGATCTTTCGCTTTGCGACCAGATCCGAAGTTGTGCAACATCAACGAGTAAGGAAGTGAAGGGAGAGCGGTGCTTTCACATAGGACTTGCAGTTCAGGTTTCTCGAGCGAAAGTACGGCGACAGTATTCCCAGTGAAGAACGATACAGCGATGTGCACGGTGAAGAATTTGGTCGCATCCAATGGCTGGCAGGATATGGCACATATCTCCTTCGCTTGACGCTGCTCGTCACGGAACGAGTGCGTACTACAATCGACTATTTAGCACCAAGTGTGGCATCTACTCGTTGAATAGAGAGACGTACCGGAGGACTTGAATCTGTCCTTCATCGTTTGTAGTTAAAACCAACAAGTATCCACCAGCCAAGCCAACCACAATTTGACTCGGGCTGATATCAGCAGAAACAATATCGTTGCCCTTCAATGGGTATTCGAGCCGATCTGGTGACCATCCACTGCCGACTTTGTGGAAGACTCCAAGTGCGTCGTCAAATTCTAACAAAGCGATACTTTTCGCAGTGACTTGTACAACCCATGAGGAGTCAACATAGGACGACTTTCCGTTTACAAGTGTACGTCGAGTAATATTCGACAATGCGAGTGTGGGAGCGGATGTAATGAAACCAGTTGAAGATTCCTCTAGCCGGTGCAGAGAGCTACGATCGTCCAAGCGGAAGATATAGGACTCGTGGTACGTCGTAAACAGTAAGTGAGTGTGTATTCTTTATAGCAGGGAATCAATATTGAATTATGAAAAAGAATACGCAAACTTACGAGCTTTCAAAACGTGAACGTATTGGATGAATCTTGATAACTTCTGATAAACCTTTCAAGTTCGCCAACTCCAAGAAGTCGGCACCTGTCTGGATAACATTTAGAGATCCTGTACTGTTCTCTCCCGAACATGTAACGATCTGAGGCTAAAAGGAAATACGCTTCAGTTTGCCTAACAGCCAAGTCTATTTTCATCCATACCTGTCCACTGTCGTCAAGATCCGCTAGTATAGCATCAACAATAGGGGCAATGTTCCGGTAGGTCTCCAAGACTTCCACATGGCTTCCCTTCAGCTTCAAAACAATGCCTTTTGCACGATCTTTACCATCATGTGTCATCACTTCTTTGCCCTTCTCAGATTGAGTTAAGGAAGCAGGACTAGACGTTATGATATCACTCGGTATGGGTAAGGTATCGACATCCACTGAGGAGGCGGGGGCAGGGAGTATACGGACGAGCTGGGAATCACCGTAGTGAGAACCAATGTAGACGATCTGAGAGCTGAGATATGTCAAGGTCATGGGTGGCGAAATCTACATTAGAAAAAGCAAGTGATCTCTTATAACACATGCCATAGAAAGAAAAATGCGGTCGACGCACCTCACCAATGGGTGTAATAATGAGACTGAGCTTGTCATCTATTGTAAGGAGGCTTAACCGACCGAACTTATCACCAATGAGAATCCTTCGATAATTGAAGTCAACGTTACAGACCCTGTAAACGTTAAACGTTGATCTATCCATCCTACTGAAGAAAATACTATCAACACTTACGCTGCAACTTCGCTCCAAGGCCATTTTACCGAAGCTCGTGGTTTGACCTTTCTCGTATTTCGTTCCTTCTCCTTCTCTTTCGCCTTCATCTTTTGTTCTTCATTGTCGCCAGTCTTCCGTTTGTCTAATCGTGACCTCTTATCCTTCTTTGCCCTCTGCTGTTGTCTATGAGCGAGTTCGAAAAACTGTATCTGTCGTCCGCCAATAACTAGGACACCTCCATCGGCTTTGACGTCATGGTCGTCGATCTTGTACTCGAACGCTGGAACAGAAATAAGATGCAAAGGCGAATCTGGGAAGGGGAAAGCGCTTTGTAGTAAAGTGGTACTAGGTAAGAACTCGCTTGGTTCTGCAGATATTTCTCTGGCGGAAAACTCGAGTTCTCTGGAAAGCAACTGGATTCGTCTTTGGGCATCGATATGTGCCACAACCAACTGGTATTCATGATGGTCAAGGAAGCTGATCGCCAGCAGGTTAAGTTCCGGAATGCTGGCGTAGACTACATAGTCAGCTTTCCGTAATAAACTACTGAAGGTTATGGCAGACGACATACGCGACGTCGAACGACTCGACTATCTTCCCCTGCTCCAAGGAGAGCACCTTCAGTTTGCCTTTGTAACAGCTGACAATGGCCACTTCACTGTCTGCACTAACTATCACATCAGTGCAGAACTCTGCGTGCATGGCGTTTCGATCATGCAGTGATAAAGAGCTCTCAGTCGAGAGATATGGTGCCGCTGCATTTGTATGGTATTCAAGAACGATAGCATGAGGGTCAGGATGATCAGTCAGGACAAGCAGTTTAGATCCAGTCTGGATAATATAGTATAAGTGCGCTACAGCTCTATGCAGGCTTTTCCTATACAGCGGAATACGTACCTGTATCGGTATTGTTCTCAAGGCCAACACACGACCCCAAATCTCCAGCTCGCACTCCTTGCGAAGACCATCCAAAGTCAGAGTGAAGACTTCCACACTGTTGGGCTTCGCTACCACGAGGTGCTCCAGGTCATTGTCCGATGTTAAGCAACATTTCACCGAAGCAACAACTGAAGACGTTGGATGAAAGGTTGTGACGATCTTCATAGCGAGTTATGGTCAAATGAGGCCCGGAATGACAACCCACGACAACGGTCGTAGGAGGTATGAATTTCTAGATGGTTGCTAGATGTGCAGAGATGCACACTCTGAGTCTACTGCGATGTGAACGTTTGAGAAAGGTTTACTCGACGGCTTGCGCGGAAGCATTTCACATTACTGAGCTCATACACCCCGGACCGCAAGAGCCGTCAGTGATTAAGACAAACTGGGAATGTGCTGTGGTTCATTGAGAGTTTCCCGGGATACTAGGTTCGTACAAGAAGATAAAGAGTAGCTAGCTACACAAAGTAATACAAGCACGCAAACTACAGCCTCAAGTCTCTTCATGAATACGACTAGCAGTGGGCCATCAGTCGAATTGCTCCGGAATCGCCAACCCTGCCGCTTTCGCAACGCGGACTATATTCTCAGCCTGGAAATGTCGTATTCAGCATGGGCAACACATATATAGATCTTCTGATGTGTATACCTGCTTGATCATGGGTGCGTCGATCATCTCCGTTGGCCCTCCTTCCACGGTCAGCCCGATAGCACCCTTCTGAGATGAGTGTGCTTTCGCCATGGTATGCAATATTCTAGCGGCACGCACAATTTCTAAACCGCATAATGTTATATCAGTGTTACGAGGGCGAAGCCGCGATGAATATCCTACCTTTTTTGGAGGGTACAAATGTGGCCTGAATGATATCTACTTGTGTAGGGTGTATGGCTTGCTGTTGGTACGGTAAGTACGCTGCATATCAAAGACGGAACTAGCTGACCTTGCCCGTGAATCCCAACTCCCTGCCATCTTGGCATTCTTCTTCGAGATATTTCAAGTCTTTGTAATTCACGCAAACCTTACAATCGAATAAGTCTTTTCTTGACCAATACGTCATATGGGGTACCTACCATGTCAATCGCCTGAAGGCCAAATGCTTTAGCAGTGATCGCGATCTTAGAACGCGTGTACAGCAATTCTCGGCGTGAAGGTGTCCTGATCACAGACGTATCGGCGCAATCTACAAAGGAAGGCTTATTCAACACCAGCGTAATATGAGTGAACAGAACTCACAGTCTTCGGCAGCGAACTATAGAGGTCAAGAATCAATTCATGTGGTTAATCCAAAAGAGCGGTTACATACAAGTAGTCCAGCAAGTTTCCCGCCAGCCAAAGGTCCGTGTTCCGACTGCCATCCAGCTATTCCACCAAGGTTAAACACAGCTCTAGCGCTCTCGATGCTTGCCACAATATTGATGGGCTCATCCCTGACTACAGGGCCCGAACCAAGCTGTGAATGAGTGTAGATCTCCTGGGAGACGATATGCAAGTCGTGTGGGGAGTGGATCTTTGGAAGGACAAAGGTCTTGATACTTGGCAGTTGAAGCTACATCCGTGGAGACCTTCAGATATATATTTAAAACAGTCATACTCATGAGTACTGACAGCCTGTGAGATGTCCTGTCGGAAGAAGGGTGTATTGATAGAGTTCAGTCGAATCGCGATGCGTTCTGAGGGCGGAAGCTCTTCAGTCCTGGACTTTATCGCAGTCGCTCAGCGTTAGATATAAACATTCATGAGAGATCCCACAGTAAGAAAGTTTATTAGTCTGTCTCGGGCTCCGTTCTTGTCAGTTGCTGAGGGAGGTACGCTATCCTCCAGATCATATATGATGACATCCGACAGCGTCGTCAGAGACTTCTGGAGCATGCGGTCGGAGGATGAGGGCACTAAATACGGCTTAGCAGGTGAATAAAAACATACGCATAGACTGTTCACCGACCATAGAGGTAAGATCGCTGGAGGCTAGTGAGGGCAGGAGACCGTGATTCCGAACTGCTAGCCTTGGTGTTGTATCGGCGGTTTAGTGAAATTCTAAGGGTAGGGCAAGTTTCATAACTCTGCAGCGTAATGCCTCTTGCGATTCTAATATTTCTGGGTTTGAGCATTGTGCCTGTACGTGGCAGAGTCAAGGATGTGCTTGCTAGTGAGTTTAGACTGAGAGCCAACACTCTCAGGTCTAAATTAAGGACTTTGATCGATCTATCAATTGATGCGCCTTGACCTTGATCGGCGGTGCACCCACACACTTTCGCCTTCCTTTGCCAATCTGCTAACTCCCGGCCTGTGCTCCTAGAATCCGGTATTCCCTCAAACAGAAACTTGTTTGAATTCACTCGCATTTATCTCACGGAAATGTCCCGCGGAAACAAGGATGCTGCATCTGGCATTCTCAACAATTCTATGAGAAGCAACTATTCAGAATATGGCGTGGATGAGGTGACTTTAAGACTCCTCGCGAATTGTTTGATTTTCATCTTACCCGTATTTTCAGTACTATAAGAAGGTGGGTGCGACGTACCGCAACCCACACTTCCCAGGCGTTCGACAATGTCTCTTCCAATGGCTCAACAAGTGATGATACTTAAAGGCATCACAGAAACTCACATATTGATGATTTCTGAATCTAGGTGGTGGGAATACGAACATGAGAAACTCGGCGGAGAACTATTCACCATCTTTGATATGGCTTCTGGTCAGCCTTTCCTTTAACATATCGCGTAAGGGTGACTCTAAAGCAATGAAACAGGAAGGTGCTTGCTATCATTGTTCTTCTCTCTCCACACTCCTGATGAATTATTGTGCAGTGGAGAGGTCACCGTCGCTTTTATGGAGTGGTGGTTACTTGGGAAGGCCTCGACACCCAACACTGCGACCCAGCAACCTACGCACATTGCAATACAAAAAAGACCAGCCATTTCTGCACCAAGTATACCTTCGAACGTCACAACACCTCGAATATTAGCTGCTGATCCCGTGTGTTCTGGAGTCCGTTATCCTCATATGTCCATCTCACATTTCACAAATGTAGTATACCGCAGAAGCGTACGAAGCGCGAACTAGATTGCAATGCGCGCCGCTATCGTTTCAAGATATCGCAGAAGGTGCTCTTCCACATGTAAAACCGAAAACTGTTGCGCCTACATCGAACGATATATCGCCGGAGCTGTCGTCATTAGAGGCCGATACGTTAGACGTGCCTGTGATCGAAATGGTCATCTGCTCATTCGCACTTCATCTCATCGAGAATCCATCTGAGTTGTTTTCTTTGCTCTGGGAGTTGAGGTAAAGTCCGAATCGCTGTTTCCATTCATGCAATGTGTTCATCCGGATCGTAGCACCAAATGCCGATGGCTCGTTGTCTTGGCTCCCCACAAGAAGCCTGAAGTACGTTATTCGATTATTGAGTTTCCGTCTTTGCTTCTCTGTATCTTCTCGCCTTGGGTCATTCATTATTCACTTTCATTCATTAGATCAAACCAGGTTGGGGTTGGATGAAATGGGACGTAGAGACATGGTCAGAATGTCTTATGACCCAATCCACAGGGGAGTTCTTGAAAGACCGGTATGTTTATCCAGGGTATCTGCGTGCTTGTGCTTGTCTCTTATCCCGTTCAACTCAGAGTTCACTGTCGAGTATATCGCAGTCTGAAGTATCAGTAGGCGCAGAACTTTGATGGGAGTGTCTTATTCCCCTAAAGATCCCATTATCCATCTATGAATCATCTCCGTGGTGCAGGTGGATCTCATTGTCCTTCCTCGCCTTGCGATCGCGGCGGACGGCGCCCATTCACACCAATCTAGGGATAGCGCGCACTCCACGTCTAGGCGAGCTCCTAGCGACCTGTTCAACCTACAATATTTAGTACAAGATGTAGAAAAACGTCGCGGGCTTGCCGGTCCTCAGGGTCTTCATCGAATGGACATCGATTGTACATTTCTCGCGTGCAGAGGAAGAGGCTACCGCTCTCGACGGTACTAGACATACAGTCAGCCTGCCAGTCATTCTCAACCCGAGTGAGTATCTACGCGCAGACCAATGCGGCAAACTGCAGACACTCATGAGAATGGTGCCGTCTATCATACATACTATTTCCCCGGAAAACAAGCGCGCCTTAGCTTCCTCATGTTCCGGTGCATAGTGAGGAGGCTCCCCTCTGCTTGATACAACGTCGAACATACCTGAAACTCTAGTCACGTTTATTGTTCATTCTGTTCATTTTCACTTTTCAATTTTTTTTCAACTATCTTACATAGCAGTCCATGCCATTGACTAAGCGGCGTTCCATCCTTAACAATAATTTATGATCATAGTCCATCCACCAGAAGAGAGGATCAACTATAGCGTTTTGAGTTTCGCCTTTTCCTTCTCCTGGATGACGCGTTTTGCGTGGACATCTAACCCAGTCAAAATATCAAGTCAAATAGAATCCACGAAGTATAACTGAAACGGAGAGCGCCGACCTTTGCGTTTGACCCAGGCTTCTACCGAGATACCTGCAAATACGACGCCTGCGCCAGCCCATTGGCCTGGAGTCAATGTATGTTTGTAGACGACAACGGAGAGGAGCATTGTGAAGAGCTTCCTTGTCAGTGTAATCGTCCTGCACACGTATCATCTGTAAGATACCTCGCTTTCTCTGATGATGAAGGAGTCACTTACACCAATGTCAGAGACCCGAAATGCTGCAATGTCTCGAAGATGAACAACTGCCCCAGCGCACCAGTAAACGCGAACTGCGCTAACGACATGACCACACTCGGATGTTCTGTGATAAACTCCAGAGCACCTTGAAGCTCCGTACCACTGGCATTAGGATGCAAGACAGGAATGTAGGGTAAGGGTAGGATGGAAATGGAAGACGTTAACAGGGTACTGAAGCAATTGATCCAGAACATCATCTGTTGACCGGTGACCTTGTACCGCGCGAAGATTTCGTCTTGAGTGCTATTAGTCGCGCCGTCGACAAGCAGGTTGACGAGTAAATAGGTGAGACCGATGAGCTGGGTGTACATCGAGAGCTCCCCATTTCCGTTCTTCAAAGAACCAGGCTTGCCAGGTTTCTCTTTCCCGAAGCCCATGAACATGGTGATACCTGCCGTGACCATCGCTACGACTACATATTTGTGTGCAGCGAACTTTCTACGATATAGTAGTACGTTCATGAACATGACAGGCACGAGTTTGCACGATTTTCCCAAGACCATAGCGGGATATGTTATGTAGCTGAGGGCGGCGAAGCCGAATGGTGCAGCGGAGGTAATGAAGACGGCGCACTGGAGGTAGCGGAGGAGAAGCGAAACGGGGGAGAAACGAGCTGAGGATTTGGCAAGTGGATGGGCATGAGAATGCCCATTAGTGTGCGTGGTTCCGTTGTATGTGGAATTTGCAGAGCCGTTCGATGCAGCTGTTCCGTTGGAGGCGGATTTTGAAGGGGTAAGCTCGAGTCCTAGAAGCTGTGGCAGCGATTGACCTGACTTCCGGCGAATAAATAGGTATATCAGGGCTGAGAGGGTGCTCATTGCACTCTGGCATGTTCCCATAAAAAGAGGAGAGCGGAACTTGTCAGAGGTCTCGCCATCTATCGAAGGGAATGGAACAGATACTGGAAGGTAGCAGGTTAGCGATATTAAGTGGCATATAATCTGTTGAGCACGTACGTCGTTCTTGGGCAATTGCCCATAGCTAATCAATTACCATCAGATTACATCAAATCATTCGGCATGAAGCTCTAGACGCACCAGAAACATAGAATATACTCCAACAATGCAGAGTCCTAGACTGCATGTATTGTATTAACACTTGAACAGGCGTACAACATACAGTGTGCTGACCGTAAGAAAGTCATGTTAAAGAGATATCTATAGAAGAGTGCCAGTCAAGGCAGAAAGGAGAGTTAAGTGTGCACTGCTGGCACTGACCCCGCACTGACCGCTAAGGTATTTTAATAGTAGCAGAGAGGTGAGGTTGGAGGTGATCGGTCGACGTGTCCTATCAAAATCTAATCTTATCTATCCGAGGTAACTCCCGCCGGCTGATCGAGAAAAGTAAGTTACGGCTCCGGGTAGAGTCAAGTGCAATCCTTCACATCTCTTCGTCTTCTACCTTTTGCTTTCATCTCTCAAACCACAACTACAGCGTCGAAATGACTACTCAACAAAATGCGGCTAATGCTCGCAACGTCACGACTATCGGTCATGTCGATCATGGCAAGACGACTCTTATGGATGCACTTTTAGCTGCGAACAACATCATATCCTCGCGCATGGCGGGCAAAATTCGATACCTTGACAGCAGAGAAGACGAACAGCAGCGTGGTATTACTATGGAGAGTAGCGCAGTATCGCTACAATTTACGGTCATGGAAAGAAATCCAGAAGGAGGTATGCGATGTATGACTTGCTGCCTTTAGAAACGATAGCGAATCCACCTAGGTAGTTCTCCCAAGACGCATACCATCAACATGATAGATACCCCTGGACATGTAGACTTCTCGAGTGAAGTTTCTACTGCGTCCCGTTTGTGTGACGGTGCTCTGGTACTAGTGGACGTTATAGAAGGCGTCTGTACGCAGGTGCGTATTCTCATTATGTTTTCTTTCTTGTTCGCAGCTGGTGTAGCTTTGAGCGAAGTGGACCACATACAACTAGGATATCCTTTTGGCTTCCTCTGTGTTCGGCCTAATCTTGATTTAATTCATAGTCAACTAGTTGAACTATACCAGATGGTATGATACGACTATGATTTTCGGGAAAAAATCTCCAGATACATACAAATTATAGACTTTCACAACACAGTTACACTCTGCGAAGGGCCGGTCGCTACCAATACGACGTTCGGGCGCAGTCTCTTGCTCCTCAGGGGTCCAGCGGTATCAGGCTGAGTGTAATTGTCATGAAGGAGATGAATCTCTGGACGTACTTGTGATTTCAAAGTACCATGGTTCTTCCATCGCTACACCAGCTGAAGGATAGGCTCTCTCCGTCATTATGTGATTTACTCATGCGACTATCACACTAGACCATCTCAGTTCTCCGACAAGCATGGATTGACCGATTGAGACCCATCCTAATCATCAACAAATTTGACCGTCTCATCACAGAACTCCAACTCACCCCAGTTGAAGCATACCACCACCTCGCACAACTTATTGAACAAGTCAACGCCGTCATGGGAAGTTTCTTTGCCGGGGAACGTATGGAAGATGACTTGCGGTGGCGAGAAGAGCGCGAGCGTCGTTTAGCCAAAAAGAAAGAAGCCCACGCAGACGAAGTCGACGCTACCCTCAGCAAAGCGGACGCAGACGAATTTCAAGAGAAGGATGACGAAGATATTTACTTTGCCCCGGAAAAGGGTAATGTGATCTTTGCATCTGCTATCGATGGATGGGGTTTCAGGATAGGCAAGTTTGCGCACTTATATGCGGTCAAGTTAGGTATGAAGGAGGCGAATCTGAGGACGGTACTTTGGGGAGATTTCTATCTGGACCCGAAGACCAAGAGAGTGATCAGCTATAAGCATCTGAAGGGTCGCGTCTTGAAGCCCCTATTCGTGCAGTTCGTCCTGGAGAATATTTGGGCAGTGTATGAAGCTGTTGTATTGAAACCGTGAGTTTAGTTTCAATCTTTAACGTGAATATGACGCTGATATCCTGAGTTTGTAGAGACTCAGAGCGAGTCGCAAAAATCGTCTCAGCACTAAGCCTCAAGATCCCACCCCGTGAACTCAAATCAAAAGACACCCGCTATCTGCTCTCTCTAATCTTCTCTCAATGGCTCTCCCTCTCAACATGCGTCATTCAAACCATCGTTGACATCGTCCCTCCCCCACCTTCTGCACAACGAGTTCGCATTCCCAAGATGCTCTACCCCGACATCTACGAAACCACTATCGAGCCTAAGAACAAACTAGAAGAAAACCTATTTGCATGCGATGATAGGCCGGAAGCGTATGTGGTGGCACTTGTGAGTAAGATGTTTGCAGTGCCCGTCGAGGAACTTCCGGAAAATAAAAAGAGGCCTGTTACGGCAGAGGAATTGAGGGAACGGGGAAGGACAGCGAGGGAGGCTAGGAAGGCTGCTGAGACGAATGGAGATGCAGATCTAAATATTGTCCCTGTCCCCCTTTCTTCAGAACCTGACGGTACTGCAAGTCCTGCTCAGCCCTCCGAGACCGCAGCAGAGCTTAAGCAGGGAGGAGAGAATGTAGCAGCAGAGTTGGGTATTCAAACCGGCGAAACCCTGCTCGGTTTCGCACGTATCTACTCTGGAACAATCGCTCGAGGTTCAACTATCTACTGTGTCCTACCAAAATACAACAATACTCTTCCCCCTTCCCACCCGCGCAATCAGTCGCATATAGTCACTGCAAAGGCGGAGAGATTGTATACGATGATGGGGAGGGAATTGGTGGAGGTGCAGGAAGTGAGGGCGGGGAATGTGTTTGCTATCAAGGGTTTAGAGGGTAAGGTCTGGAGGAATGCTACTCTTTGTGCACCAAGGAGTGTGGGTGTTCAGGGGCCGGACTTGGAGAGGGATAAGGAGTGTTTGGTGAATTTGGGTGGTGCCCTTCGTACAGTGAGTACTATGTTTACGAAAACGCTTCATTGTTACTAACTTGTTGTGACCAGGCTGCACCGATTGTCCGAGTTGCCTTGGAGCCCGCTGTCCCTGCTGATTTGCCGAAGCTTGTTAATGGGTTGAAGTTGCTTGCTCAAGCCGATCCTTGCGTAGAGACCTTCCAGCAACAAACCGGTGAACATGTTATCATGACTGCAGGAGAGTTGCATCTAGAGGTATGGTTTTAGCCTCCCGAGGTTATCTTTTCAAGACTAAAGGTTTTTGCGCTTTAGAGGTGTTTGAAAGACCTGAGAGAAAGGTTTGCAAGAGTTGAAATTCACGCTTCAAAGCCTATTGTGCCGTTTAGAGAGACCTGTGTCAAGGGCGCAGGTATGTGACTTTGTAATAACTTTAGGCCCATATTCACCAGACATCTGATACATCTGACGCAGAGATGGCCCCACCGAAATCTGGGGGCAAACGGGGCACAGTATACGGTGCGAGCGTGCACAATCTCGTCAAATTCACCATCCGCGCTTCACCTCTGCCCAAACCAATTTGGGATTTCCTCCAAGACAACCTTGCAGTCATACGCCAACTTCATCGCGAGAGCCGTAACAGAGACCTTTCACAGCGGAATACGAACATAGAAGCTGTGGAAGAAGACCCTGCGGAAATTGACATTCAGGGAGAGCTGTATAAGCCTCCAACGGTTGAACCGGAGCAGTTTTGGTCTGCCTTAGAGGATATATGCAAGAAATGTGGTGGAGAGTGGGCAAGTATTATTGACAGGATAGTGGCCTTTGGACCACAGAAAGTTGGAACCTCTTTGTTGGTCGATCTCAGGAAGACTTCGTCCAAATCGTACGTGCCATTTTTAAGAACCTAGTTGAGGAGGGCTGATACATTTTTGTTTGACAGGCTGAAGGCGCGGCTTGCGACAAACAAGGAGGAAAATGTCAGTGAAGAACGGCAAATCGTAAACGATTTCGATGGGTATCTCGAGACTGGATTCCAACTGGCTACATTGCAAGGGCCCTTGTGTGCAGAGCCAGTAGAAGGATTGGCCTATTTCGTGGAGTCCTTGGAAATCAATTACGCCGGACTCGAGGAAGAACGAGGTATGTTTCAAGGCAATCTCCGGATTATTGCACGGCTAACATTTTCGGCCTGACAGTGCAAAACAGGATGGCCCAAGTGACAGGTTCTTTCATTTCGGCCGTAAGAGATGCGTGCAGGAATGGACTTTTGGATTGGTCTCCACGGTTGATGTTGGCGATGTACACTTGTGATATTCAAGCTTCAAGTGGGTGATTCTTTGGCTGTGACACCTGGATGATAACTGACTTTGTTTGGTTCTAGCGGATGTACTTGGTAAGGTTTATGGCGTAGTCGCCAGACGGAGAGGGAGGATTGTAGCGGAAGAAATGAGAGAGGGCACGACGTTTTTCAACGTTCGAGCTTTGCTTCCTGTGGTAGAGAGTTTTGGATTCGCTGATGGTGTGTACTGCTGGTTTTTAAGTCTCATTTTCGCGACTGAAGGCATTCGCAGACATGCGCAAGCGTACATCGGGTGCTGCAAGCCCTCAGCTCATATTTAGCGGGTATGAACTCTTGGACGAAGACCCTTTCTGGGTCCCAACAACAGAAGAGGAGCTCGAAGACCTCGGGGAGAAAGCCGACAGATCAAATGTTGCGAAAGCTTACATGGACGCTGTTCGTGAACGGAAAGGTCTCTTTGTGGATAGGAAGATTGTCGAGCATGCAGAGAAGCAAAGAACCTTGAAGCGATAGACTACAGTCACTCTAAGTTATGAAATCGTGGAGTGTATAGTACAGATATAACGTCAAATCGTCGGGACATCATGATCGTAGCGATTTTGGATCCTGTAAAAGATCCTGCCACCATTCCTGATGGCTGAGAGACTTTTGAGCAAGGCTTCGGACGGACGTGTACAGGCTGCCGAATCCACTGCTAGACAGCTGATAAGAAACGAATGGCATAAGTATAATGCAGGTGGAAACTAAAGCAAGACTACGCACCAGCTCCGTCCGAGGGACCAGTTGTAGAGAATACGCGCACATCGAAATGACGACATGAAGTTCTTCTGGTGACAGTGAAGACTGATCGACCTCGCTCTTCAACAAGAGAACGAGGGAATCCCTGTGATTGCGTAGGAAGTGCAGCGCCTATATCAAACATAAGTATCAAGTTGATCAAGTTCAGGGAAGTAGAACAATTACCTGCTGGCTTGCCATGGTATGTTTTGCACCTACAGTGAGCAGGATAGTGGCAGTAATTTGCAAAGCGGGTATAAGGAGTTGATGGTATCGTTGAATAGCACCAGGTAAGAATGAGTCTTGCTCTGTTTCTGAAGTGAGTCATTTTGTCCACGCAAATAGGCTAAACTAGTGTGCGTACCTGTGAATCCATGGCCAACTTCGGGTCTTGTGTCCAGGAAGTCACAGTCAGCGAGGATCAACAGAAGTCGCGCTTCTAGTAGACGTTCGGCGCCCGACTTGGACTGCGCCATCCTGATGAATAGTGACATCTTGGCCTCATACACATACAGTGTGTCAAGGCTCTCTGTCGGAAAGGCGTTAATATGCTTCAGTATGATATTCAGATCCTAACATACCAGGGTCGGGTTGAAGGACAGCTTGCAAACGTGCATCGGCATCTTTCACGCTTTGAACAAACCCAGAAAGATAACCTGATCGAGCAAGAGCTGTGATGACAGTATTCTGTGGCAAGGAGAGATGCACCAAAGAATCCAAGAGCAAGAAAGCTACTGTCTTCCACACTTCAGCTCCGTCGATGGCATCGCGGGAGATGATAGAAACCAGACGTTCAGCCACAGGTTGAATGACGGCGAAGCTACCCTGTGCCTCCTTCGATCGCCTATGTCTGTGTAGCTTCGTGGATTTCGAGCTGTCATCCTGGACGGGAATGTAAGTTGCAAAAAGATCGACCTCTTGATCTGCTACGGGAACGTCGCTTGACATAACCAAACGAAGGTACTGGATGAGGGATGCATAGAGGTTGCCCCTAACCAACTCGTACCGGTTGTGACTCAAAATACATCCAACGAGGCTCTTCAACAAGGAGTATAGGCGTTCTATAGGCAACGAGCGAGCGGCAACGGTCAGGGTCTCGTGAGGTTGACTCGTTCGTCGATCTTCCCGGAGCTTGGTGATAGTCGTCAGAATGCTCTCCGCGAGAATGACAGCAGTCGACTCCTCAATATTATTCGAGTCAAGAGCCGAAGGGAGGGCATGGAGCAAGTCAAGGAGCATATTTTCCCGTCGGTTATCTGGAATACGGGAGTAACATCGAACAAGGGCAACGTCCAATACCCTCCGCCACGACTCGAAACTTCCGGCAATAGCATGGCGGATTTCTCGCCGATGATTTTCAATGGCACAACTTTGTAGAATATACTGGCTCTCAGCCTCGAGTTGTTGTGCATGTGCTGCTGTCAAAACACGACCATGGGCATGAACCGTCCTTTTCGCCGAAGCCAGCAGAGAGACAAGAGCTGCGCTGTCGACTACTTCGCATCCGGAGATGTCACTGCGGACACAAGATTGAAGATCCAGTTGGCTGAGGAACTCCAGCTCCACTGGTTGCGGCGTGAGACTATCCGACCAGTCGATGTTGAGAGATTCAAGAAATTCGATCATGCGGATGTGCGATTGCCCAACCTCATGAAATGGTCTGAACGCTTCATGTTCCCAACCTGTCTGTTCACTTTCGAAAGACTCCCCTGCGTTGCCGAACAGCAATTCGAGCAATTCGCTGACGCTCTTGTGATGACCCTTGTTGACGAGCACATGCAGCTCCAAAGCCACCAGATCCAGCACCCATGAACGCAGGTGCAAGAAGGAACAGAAGGCAGGCACGGTAGTGATAACCCTAGATCCGTCCTGATATTGAACTTCAACGTATGGATCCTTCGCAACGAGCGGAGCTTTGAAAGGAATGGCAATGAGGTGCCGCATGAAGAAGTCCTCACGAGAACGGAGGTATCGAGTGGTGAAGTCCGAGGTCCGAGGGTGTTTGCAAAGCTGGAACAAGACATGATAGCATCGTTCGGCAAGCGAAGGAAGGGATACGAGCAAAGGGGCGTCTCGAGGTTCGTGCCTTCTTGAAGGTCGGGGAATACCAATGTTTACCAGATCTACCACAGAGTGCATGCAACTTCGTCGAGCACCTAGTGCTTGGGGATCTTGAATTTGATCGCCCACTTCAATTCGACCGAACAGGAGATAATGCGCGACATTGGGGTATGGACGATCTGAGCGAGTGTTTTGGATAAAGAAATCCAATACGGCTGTTCGCACAGCTTGAATGCAATCACTCTCCAACTCTGCTGGATCTCGGGCGCCGGCACCCGTGTTTTGTTCCATGACAACCTCGGTGGTTTCTACGTCCGCCTGTGATTCCGCATCTAGAATACGTCGGAAACCATCCAAGATACGAATGGAGTCAGTGCTCCTATCGAGTAGGACTGCCAGTTTGTAAACCGCAGTCGGGGTGGATAGTATCGACAATATCTTGACCGACAAGTAAGCCAACTCCAGGTGTGATGGGTACGCAACATATGACACGATCGCGGAGACGATTTCCGGTGCATACAACAACGCTTGGTCCAGTTTGCCGAAGTAAGATGCGGGATGGAGATCACCCACGACCGAGGTGTCATTCAGATCAAAGATCAGAGGAATCAGAACATCGAGGAAGACGTCCTGAATCTCAAGGACACGATGAATGATGCGTAGCACTCGGATGATGGTACTACGGAAGTAAGGTTCTTCATCTGCGAATCCTTTTTCGAAGCCATCCGTGCCATCGACAACGTATGACAATATACTGGTGTGGAGAGAGGAGTGTGTAAGAAGTCGTTTCATGAGATCATATCCCGGGTGAATGGCAAGCTGCACTACATTTTCCCTAGTGACAGAGCGGTTGTCCACGCTCGTCATAAGAGACTCTAGGTCGAAACTTGCCAAAGATCTTTCAACGTAACACAAGCATAGGTCATTGATGAGCCATCGATCGGCAGGTTGAAGGTATTCCCGTCTGGGGATGTTGGAGAACACGTTGTCGATAACGAAGGAAGTATATGGCGATACACCAGGGGGTCGGTAAGGATGTCCAAGACCATCCGGGATAGTATGGATAGGCTCGGGGCTCACTTGGTCTTTCAATGGGAGAGTCTTCGGTGTATGGATGAGCGTGCTGAGCAATTTGAGGAAAGCAATTGTGGCAGGGTACATCTTGAACGTAGACTCCACTTCCTCCAATTCCACCTCAACACCTTTAACAGCTGGGATAGTTGGCCCCATGGCAGTGCTCCCGCGGACATTAATAACTTCCAACCTTTCCATGAGTGTCCATACTGACTTGCAGATCTCGATTCCTGAAGTTCCTGCTCCAGGGGTGCAAAATGCTGCCAAGGTGTCAAAGAGTGCACCCTTGAGCTCGAGGGGGACACTGAGTGGGATGAGGGACATGAGCGTAGGGATAGCTCGAAAACGTGCATGTCCGCAAATTGTGACTCGCGCAGCGATAGAGTGCGTGACTACGGTAGCCAGTAACCGCAAGAACGATTGCGCGAGTAGGACATCCTGTTGTGTCAAAGCCAGGCGTTGCTGTTGTGGGTGCACATGTTGGGTTTGAGCAGGCCATTGGCTCATCTGCTGTGCACCGAACTGTGCGCTCGGGGCCAAACTTTGCGATGGATGGGGCCGAACTGGGGAGGCAGCAGATGCCCAGGCTTCAAGCAAACCGAACATTGCACTCCAAGATACAGTCGATCCTGATACCATGTGTGCAGGTGTACTCGACGACGATGGGTCCACAACGCCGACTTCGCCTCCGCCTCTGGCAAGAAAATTATATGCCATCTCGCTGCATTGTTGGCCATTAGCGAGACCAGTCAGCATATCGTAGAGTGCTGTCAACATGTCGAGGTCATTTGCTGGAGTGGACCATACAGCCCATTGAAGAAAGGATGGTAATTTAGACGCAGCTGAATCGGTGAGGAAATCTCGTTGCCTATCTCGTGGGATGACACCCCAGTATGGGAGCGCTGTCTCTGGGGGCAGGCAGGAGTACAAAATGCCTATGAACGAAAACATGACAGCCATATCGTTGCGCGGCACTTCAGACTTATCTGCATCTCCTGCAGAGGCAAAGCGAGGTTGTTGGGGAGGCGGGGCACCACGAGACCGCGTACGATCAGTGCGCGCGGTGGCTAAGAGGAGATCCTCCTGTCGTTGTTTGATCTTGCGAAGTTCAGAGGATGCGTGTGTGATGAGGGAGCGGACGAGGGATTCACAGGCCTCCAAAATAACAGGGATGAATTCTGCAGATGGGCGTTCAGGCGATGGTTCATGGTCTTGCACAATCATAGACGCAGCGAATGAGGGGAGTACTTGTTTCTGCTTGAGACCAACCAGAACCCGTATAAGGTAGAGGAAACAGTCTCCTTGGATCGCGTTCCATATCTGAGTCTCAAGCTCGTTCGAGCGGAAACCCTCGGTATCCTCCAACGAAGGATCTCGATGCCTCGTCTCCGTGCAGAACAACGTCCACTTCAGTAAAATAGACGACTTGAGACCAGGCTCTTTCCACTGCGTCGAAACATCCAGCTTTCTCTGCATGAATGAAATGAACGTCCTATCGGAGCCAAGGTCTTTCCGTTTTTGAGCACCCTGTGTCTCGGGGTCAACAAGATCGAATGCAGCGAGGATGGTCGGGAGGAAATAATAGGCCATTGGGTGTTTGGGGTTCACTTCGAGCCAGTCAATCATTTTGGTGATGTCTTGCGAGGAAAGATAGCCCATGCGGCCGATCACCCATAGAACAGTCGCCAGTGCGCGTCGTTCGTATTTCAGCGAGTCATAACGCGCAGTGAGGATGTCGTAGCCCAACCGTGCTCCTACACCACGTTAACACCCAGGTAATTGAGACGAACTGTGTCAACTTACCTTGATTCGGCGGCGCCACGGTGTCACTACCAGCATTCTGCCTCGCATTCAACGTTTTAGACATGTTGACCTCAAGGTTTTCGATCTCCTTGAACAGCTTCGTTGCCAGCGGCGCCTCCTGTGGTTTCGGTGGTGGCAGTAAGTTTTGCCTGAGGAACGTATTCAAACGATGGAAGAGCGGAGGTGCATCTGGCCTTTCGGACAGCTCAGCAGCCTCGAATAGGAAGCGTAGACAGTCTGCTATGTGACGTCTTCGAATGTGAAAGTTGAGGAGGGTTTGTTCGACGAGACGTTCTGGAGAAAAGTTTGGGACACTCAGTGTGACCTCGTACATGATCTCCGCGATGTAGCGTTCGGAGACATCGAGTTGTTCTGAGACGAAGATGGCCTGACGGGCAAAGTCTGTATTGACTGCTGTCGATCGACCGCGTATTGTGATCTTGCCTGGTTTTCAGGTACATTCGTGAGTATCGCTGGTGGCAGGTTCTTCAATGTACACTAACCTGATTCAAGCTCCCTTTGCTCCTGCGGATTCCTCCCACCCACGCTGAAAACATTGAGAAGAATGGGCTTGTGTTCCATAAGGTCTTCATACAGTTCCTGTTCCGCCGAGACATTTCCGCCTGAGGTCAATGCGGAGTATAAAGTGGCTCTAAGTACAGCTATTGAAGACATTTCCGCATAGATCCTCGCGTCCTTTTGTGAATGGGAAGTGAAATCGGAGGGAAATGTTCGTGGTGCAAGGCAGACGCGTTTGTGGCGAAGGACAATACTTAGCGCTCAAACGGTAATCTTATCTTATCTACGCGTTGTAACCAAACTGCACCCCTCGGTCTCCTTCAGCGCATTAGATTTTGAAACATGTTGCAATCTACCATCCAGCGCTGTATCATAGACCTCTATGCCCCCAGCCTCCAGCACCCACCGTCGAACTGCGAAAGCTAAGAAGGTTACCTTTGAGCCCAAAGTTGAGGAACACACCAGAAGTGGTACTCGTACGGCGGTCAGTACTTCCTAGTCTTCAGGTCGACATTCAACTCATGAGCATCCTTTAGCCCCTCCTGACGCGTTTTCTTACTGGAATAGCCCTTATAAGCGCAATTTTCCTTGCTGTGTACTATTACTACAGCTATCTGCTATGGGAGCCTCCGAGTACTGCCAAACTCGAGGAGGACCTGCTTTCACCGTTCCAAGTTGTTGACCTGCCAGGGAAAGGCAAGGGAGTCATTGCCACTCGAGATATTGCCGTTAGTGTGATAGCTCTGTAAGTCCTTGTGAGTTTGTGAACGTTGACATACCGTGTATAGCAAGGTGAATTATTGCTTCGCGAGAAGCCCTTGTTCCTCGTTCCAACCCACAGTCAGTATTTTATCATAAAGCTATCAGGGATAACCTTACACAGGTTGTGTATATATCATAGTAACATCCTCACCTGGAGCCCTCCTTCTTACTTCTCTCGCCCGCCTAACACCGGTTCAGCGGAAATCCTTCTATGATCTTTCCTACGTGAACTTCCCCAGAGACGTCATCCCTGATACACCCGAATATAACGAAGCACTTGCTCTAGCTATTTTCCAGACCAATTCTATAGCAGCTGGAAGCAATGTGGGTATATTCCCTCGAATGGCTAGGTTTAATCATGGTTGTTCGAGTGCGTTTAATTCAGTGTATACCTGGAGGGAGAAAGAAGGTTTTCTTGTGGCTCATGCATTGAAAGCCATCAAGAAGGGCGAGGTACGTGAGGCTTTGATGATTGCGTTTGTGCAGATTATATTGATAATTCTGCGGCCGAGCAGGAGTTACTTACGACCTATACGGACACTAAACGGCCAAGAGACTCGCGCCGGTATGCGTCCTTGTGACGTCTACTGTACATGCTAACTAGTGCTGAATGACATGCTTAGGAGATACCTCCATACGCATTACGGCTTTACGTGCCAATGCGCCGTCTGCTCCTTACCAGATGACCTTTCACGCAAGTCCGATAGCCGATTATCACGGATGTCCGAATTGTATTCCCAATTTGCACGTTGGGGTGACAGCTCTATTAGTGGGCAAGAAGCAGCCAACATAGCGCGTGAAATCTGGAGCATTGGGGAAGAAGAAAGATACTGGAGCGAACGTGGCAGACTTGCAGCAGACGCAGCTTGGGTTGCCGCTGCGCACTCTGAGTACGTATCCTTCCATTGTTTCTCGCGAGTAGTGCATCTTAATGTATCCCGTGCTGACATCATTTTTACCCTGGGTTGTCGGACTTTAGTGACGTAGCAGCGAGGGAATGGGCTGCGTTGGCATTAGAGTGGTACGCTTACGAGTTGGGCGCTGACAGCGAGCAGGCACACGAAATGCAGAATGTCATTGCAGACGCAGAGAAGCATCCTGTGTGGGGGAGCAGACATGAAGAGCATGTCGGAGGTCCCAAGAAGGTTTGATTAGATGTCTATAGTGTTTGCGATTGCTGTTTGGAGCTCCATCGGAAGAGACTATCATCCCGATGGCCGTTCTGGAGACATCTAGACAGTAGATACCGCCTTCATATTGATGATCATAAAGCAATGAAGGCACCAGCGACCCGGATGCATTGTGCGTTGTGAGAGTTTCCGGGATATTGCCTTCCACTCGGTCTTCCACAAGAGCATTCCCTGTGAGTGAGCGGAGAGGTGCGGGATGGACAACACACGACGGATGAGTCAGGACACGAAAGCGCAAGGAACGGACTGTCCGTGGGGCACAACTGGGGTATTACACTGGTACAAGCGGCTTGTTTAGTGCAAGTTAAGATTAATCTCTGAGACGCCGAAACTCGTTTCATCTCACCACTTTGCGTTTTCGAATTATTGGCGCTTATATAACCTACTTACATATCGGCTTCTTTCCCAAATTCCCCAACTCCCTCCGCCTTTTCTCTCTCGCCTCATCAGGCGTTCCCTCCTACCACCTCTCTCCTTTCTACTTTCACTTGCTTGGTTTCTTTCTTTCCTCGTCGTTCACTATGGCGGTCTCGTCCTCCTCGGACGTCGTGATTCTGGCGCTTGGCGTTGTGCTTGCTGCTGTCTACCTCTTCCGGGATCAGCTCTTCGCCGCAACAAAGCCCAAAGCCGTTCCGGTCGCTGCTTCCAAAGCAGCGGCCGGAGGTGGCAATCCTCGGGACTTCATTGCAAAGATGAAGGAAGCGGTATGTACACCTCTCCCATTCTACATTTTCCTCCGGGCACTGCTGACGTTGCTTGGTAATAGAAAAAGCGCATTGTCATCTTCTACGGCTCGCAGACTGGCACTGCAGAGGAATACGCCATTCGACTTGCGAAGGAGGCCAAGTCCAAGTTCGGTCTTGCTTCACTCGTTTGCGACCCCGAGGAATATGATTTCGACAACCTCGACCAGGTCCCGGAGGACTGTTGTGTCTTCTTTGTCATGGCTACTTACGGTGAAGGTGAACCCACGGATAACGCTGTCGAGCTTTGTCAGAAGCTCTCAGATGAGTCTTGCGAATTCTCAAATGGCGAACACAAGCTTCCCGGTCTCAAATATGTCGTATTCGGCCTCGGAAATAAGACGTATGAGCACTACAATCTTATTTCGAGGAATGTCGACCGGGATTTGCAGAAGATGGGTGCTATCCGTATTGGCGAACGTGGTGAGGGTGATGACGATAAGAGCATGGAGGAGGATTATCTAGAATGGAAAGACGGCATGTGGGAGGCTTTTGCTAAGACTATGAATGTTGAAGAAGGACAGGGCGGTGACTCCCCTGACTTCGCGGTCACCGAGGTCGACGAGCATCCTCCCGAGAAGGTCTACCTTGGTATGTGTCATATCATTCTGTGTATCATTGCAGGCGTCTCACTCTGAGTTAGGCGAATTGTCTGCTCGTGCTCTCACACGTTCCAGGGGTATTCACGATGCTAAGAACCCGTACGCGGCACCTATTGTTGCTGCTCGGGAACTTTTCGAACTCGGTGCTGAACGTAACTGCGTTCATGTCGAACTCAACATTGAGGGTTCTGGTATCACTTATCAACATGGTGATCACGTTGGTGTCTGGCCATCCAACGCTGAGGTCGAGGTCGACCGTCTCCTCTGCGCGCTCGGCCTTTACGACAAGAAGGACACAGTCATCAACATCGAGTCTCTCGACCCTGCACTCGCAAAGGTTCCCTTCCCTGTCCCTACGACCTACATTACCGTCCTCCGACACTACATCGACATCAGCGCTGTTGCTGGTCGTCAGATCCTGGGCGTTTTGTCGAAGTTCGCTCCTAACCCTGAGGCAGAGACGATCCTGAAGACACTCAACACCAACAAGGAGGAGTACAGTACCGTCGTTCACAACGGTTGTCTCAAATTGGGTGAGGTCCTCCAGTTGGCTGCCGGCAACGATATCCATGCTCGCCCTACCACGGAGAATACCACAGCTTGGTCGATACCATTTGATATCATCGTTTCCTCCACTCCCCGGTTGCAACCCCGGTACTACTCTATCTCCTCGAGTCCTAAGCTTTACCCTAACGCTATTCACGTCACGGCCGTTGTACTCAAATATGAGTCTATACCGAGTGATAAAATCAAGACAAGGTGGATTTATGGTGTTGGTTCCAACATGTTGCTTAACCTCAAGGTCGCGGCGAGCGGCGAGAATGCGCCTCTTATTAGCAACGAGGCTGAGGACTTGCCTGCGAAGGTCTCTGCGCCACAGTATTCAATTGAAGGTCCTCGTGGGGCATACAAGCAGGACACTATCTACAAGGTCCCTATCCACGTCAGACGGTCAACGTTCAGGTTGCCTACGAACCCCAAGAGCCCTGTGATCATGATTGGTCCCGGAACTGTGAGTGTTTGCAGCTTCGACTTGTAGGTACATTAGCTCACTCTTTATTCTCCAGGGCGTTGCTCCTTTCCGCGGATTCGTCCAAGAGCGAGTGGCTATGGCTCGTCGCACTATTGAAAAGAACGGTCCTGAAGGTCTCGCTGACTGGGGCAGTATCCGCCTGTACTTTGGTTCTCGCACATCCAGCACCGACTTCCTTTACAAAGACGAATGGTCAGACTATGCAAAGGAGCTGCACGGCAAATTCACCATGCGTTGTGCTTTCTCTCGTGAACCACCATACAAACCCGATGGAGGCAAGATCTATGTCCAGGATCTCATTTGGGAAGACCAGGAGCAGATCGCCGATGCTATTCTCAATGGCAAGGGCTATGTATACGTTTGTGGTGATGCGAAGAGCATGAGCAAGGCTGTTGAGGAGGCACTTTGCAAGATCCTGGGCGAGGCCAAGGGTGGAAGCGCGGAGGTTGAAGGTGCTGCTGAGCTCAAGTTGCTCAAGGAGAGGAGTCGCTTGTTGCTCGATGTCTGGTCATAGAAGCAGACCCTTCTCCGCCCACTGCAGTTTTGTGTTTTTATGCATTATACACGCGACTAGAAATATTCTAGATGGACAAGGATGGTATTCAGCCATGTAAATACTTGTCACTCATAGCACTAGAGGTTCTTCCTGTTGGGATCGGAATTGTCGTAGTATGTTCAATATCGCTTTCGTCATTCAATGTATTTTCTGCACACTCTTGCATGGATCTTGAGGGTTGTTAATCATGGGAAAGAGACCTAAGAGCAAGTATCTACAAAGAAAAACAGATCCCTTGCAGCCGACGTTCAAGCTATACAACCCGGTCCGGAAGGTTCCGTTACAAGGATGATCGAGAACGGAGACACATTCTGCTATGCTGCATACACCTCTCCGCTCGTTGCGCTCGGCGTCCGTGCGACCTCGGTCCACATACATTTCGCGACATTGTCTTTCGAAACCACCATTTCGTAGTTATTCAACGCCTAACCCGTCACCAAACAAACCTGCCCATCCCGACGATGTTTCTGTGAAGCCGAACTCTCCGGATCCTCCTTCGAACAGTTCGTCAGGAAACCCCAGTTCTACGGTCTCTACGGATGAAGCTATTGCAGCTGCATCTGGTTTGTCTAAGGAAGAATCTATTCAGTTGGAGAAGCTGAAGCAGGTAATTCGCGAATGGACTGAGACGACGTCACGGACGATTCGGAAACAAGCCGATGCGTACACGGCTCGTGCTGCTTCGACTTTCGCTCAGCTTGGAAGTGAGCTAAACAAAGTCACTGGATATGAAGAAATTGAGACATTGAAGAAACGAGTGAGGGAACAGGGTACGTTTCTCAATTATCTATCAACATTAAAGTAAACATATATATTGAATACTTATAACAGAGGAACGAATCGATGCTGCTCGTCGGGGTGCCAAAGTCGCGAAGGAAGAATACGAAAAAGCTGTTCTCCAACGTACCAACTCCCAAAAGGAAGTCAACGACCTGCTACAACGAAAGTCTTCATGGACAGACGAGGACGTTCTTCGTTTCACCGCTCTCGTCCGACAGGACCATCTATTCGAACAATCAGAGGCTCGTGCAAAGGCTGCCACCGCTCAAACTGAAGCCGAGGTTGAACGCGAGTTCAGCGAACTCATGCGAGTCATCCTATATCGATACCACGAAGAACAAGTGTGGTCGGACAAGATTCGGAGTGTATCTACATATGGATCGCTCACGGCCCTCGCGCTGAACTTGCTCGTCTTCATATCGGCCATTCTATTCGTAGAGCCGTGGAAGAGAAAGAAACTGGCACAGACGTTCGAAAAGAAGGTGGAAGAGATGACTACGGAGACTCTGACTGCATTCGAGGACAGGACACAAAGTCTTGACTCGAGGCTAGAAAAGCAGAATGAGGCGATAGGCAGGATCTTGGAAACGGTGTACTATGTGACGCAGCCATCGGCGATTGAGGAGGCGAGACAAGGACCAGCAGAAGGGGAGGAGCTTCTGACGCCTCCGACGGAGACACCAAAGGGTACCTATTATGATATCTGGGCAACAGATCCCCAGTGGCTGATAGCAGCGACCGCGACGACCGCTGCGATGTTGGGTTGGCTTGCAAGGGGTTGGTTGGGTCCTTAAAGCTAGACGGTTGAACAATATTGCTCTTGCTATCATACCTGCCATCATGTACACTATTACCCGCATCACTCAAAGATATAAGAACTAAAATCCCTTGAGCTAGCACCGTTACGATTGCTACAACTGTCATCATATATACAGTATACGGATACTATGCTATTCCCAGCATACCCGAGAAATGAAGTAGAAACTGGTATAAACTTACATACTACGCGAGACATAGTCCTGAGTAATTCGGAGAGAACGATACTTTGAAACGCTAAGTTGAGCTCGTCTTGTTATTCAACCAAGGAACGGCATCGTAATCCGAATTCTGCACGCGCACTCTCGACGTACGGCGTGGGTCCGAATCTGACTGCGGGGCCTTCCCCTCCTTATCCTTCCGACCCCTTCCCTTCGTAACAGTCTCTGGAGGCGGCATTGCGTTCATCAATGCAGCAATTGGCATACCTAATCCTGCCTCGCTATCCCGAGACGGGGACATACGAGGAGAACCCCGCTCCCGGAGGGCGTCCTCTCCTTCCAGATTGTCCTGTGTGTCCTTGTCTGTGGTTTCAACGGCCTGCTCGCTATTCACGACGGGCGCAGCATTATTATCAGTAACCGGCGCGGGTGGGGGTGTCGGGGGAAGTCTGTATTCCACCGGAATATCTACTTGAGAAGTCGGCACTGAGATGTCGGGGAACCTCGCCATGGCTGTGGCTACCGTGTCCATGACCTCAAGGTAGAGACTCTGGTCACCTGGTTCGATCCAGCTCCCTGGATTGTCTTCTAGCGTTAATTCACGATTCGTACGAAAGCGTAGCAGCCAACCCAGGGGTTTCCCAATAATCGCTCTCATATCCTGCCATAACCCGTCGATGTGGAATTCTGAAAGGGAGTTAAGGAAATCATTCTTCTCTTTGCGACAAGCCATGTAATTCCCGGTGATCCAGTACTTGACCTGGCCGTTAAGTCTATAACCGTCTGAGGTGTAATTGAGGGAGACCCAAGGGAGAAGCCAGACAAGGGACTCCAAGTCATGTCGGTAAAGTCGTTTGATCTTTCCCTTCCAGTACTTCTCGGTGAGCAGATCCAAAGCCATGAACGGGATGGTTCCCGTCCGTTCGAGACCACCATGATCTGTTTTGTTCCGAAGTGTAGCGAGATCCCAGTCATTCAGAACGCCATATATGATGTTGCCCTTCTTCTTGGTGCGATACATGACATTTCCTTCGCTGATATCAGAATGTTCCACGCCACATTCCCAGACAAAGTAATGGCCTGAGTTGCTGAATGTCAGACCGCAGGATACGAAAAAGAAAAGAAAAGCGTACATTTCACGACCTGCAGCCACGACGACATAAACAACTGAGGCTGAAGCGTCATCATACTTTCTAGTCGTTCCATGAGAAGAACCCGGAGGATCCGCCCAGTGACTATCTTTTTCACTGTTTTTATGGGCAAACCTAGGGACACTCGTATTTTTGAGGTGTCGGTGCCTTCGTAGTCATACGAGTGATAGATAACGGGGAGATTATCGAGTAGGTCTGGCTGATGTTCGCTGACTATAGAACGCGCGGTGGAAACGATATCGGACTCGCTGGTCCTCGATTTATCGGGCCAATAGACTTTCATGACCAGATTCTCGTCGGCGAGCTTGAGAGTCTTTTCCTTGTGGTCAGGATCTGGGCATGTAGACTGACTCTTCACGTTAAAGACACGAGTACCACGACCCAAAAGCGACAGACGTCCATATTGCTGGTCTTTTTTGGGATTGAACTTCACTTTGATTTTTTTAGAGGCCGAAGGAATGGTGACGACGATATCACCTTCCTTGAACTTGTCCGCTCTTTTTCGGTCCTTGAATTGTCCCGTGTGAAGCTTCACGGCATAGGGGTCGAAATCCATATTGATTCCCCAATCTTCCAAATCGCGGAAGCGTTGGAGGGTGAGCATGAGAAGAAGATAACGAGGGAGGTCTTGGAGAAAGTTGAGGCCAGTCGACTGTATAACACCTTGGCGATCGTAGTACCAAATCCAGATGACGTCATCTGCGAAATTACACATTAGCCTCGACCGTGCAAATTGGCCAATGAAGCTTGAAAGCTTGAAGTTTAACAGGCCACTCACCAACGACGAGAAAGTTGAAGCAGTGGTTGACTACTGGGGCGCGGCACAGCATTTCAGATGCGTAAGACGCCAGTTGAATCACCGGCGGCACTTTCTCAGGACCATCATAGTCCGGCATCTTTTTGCCATCTGGTGGCTGTGTATCTGTTCATGGTGAGTTGCGATGTTCAGCATACAATAATCATGCATACCTTCTGGTGCCGCAGGATTGGCATCGTCAGGATTGGAAGCAGCAGGACTGGCATCCTCAGGATCCGGAACATCAGGAGGACCACCACTACGCAAGTTTGGCCTACCACCTAAAGGACTGATGTTAGCTAAGTCAAGTAAACAAAAGAACAGACTCACCTCCAGAAGTAGTGGCTGTTCTTAAATGGGACCCGGTCTTGGCTTTTGCTGTAAATAAATAAATGTTAGCGCGAGTGTAAAAAAACAGGCCGCGCCGCTTCACGCATACACTTAGATCGCTTTTTTCCACTGGATGCCTGGGGCCCCGTCCCACTCGCCGCATTTTGGTCAGCTAATGGAAGATATATCATTGACTACGCTTCAAGACTGCATCATGTAACGGGAAGGTACTCACTGAACGGGTCATCCAAAGGCTTCGCGGGTGCCGTACTGGGCTTCGCAATGGCGATACGTTCCCTATCGATGTAGGGAACCGTGACATGCAGAGATGTATCGTAGTTACCCTTGGGGAGCGGCTTGATGTCGTTGTCAAAAGCCTTGAGCTCGTAGGCCGTCATCACGCCACTCCACGAGAATTTCGTCTTAGGTTTTGAGGTGGCCTTCTCTTTGGCATTTTGCCACGACATAAGCGGCTCCTCCTGTGCGAGTCGGACTGCAGCAAGGGAAGTCTGTATCACGTCCGGTTTACGATGAGATCGTAGGCCATCGTGTTCACCGATCAAAACGTCTGGGTCGCATTGATGGAAGAGTGTATCGAACTCCGAACCTTTGCCAAGGTAAGGCGCATCTAGATCTTTCAATTTTTCCAAGACGTGGTTGTTCGCGTTCACGAAGGGCGTGTATCGCTGCGCTTCACCCTTAGCCGTACGACTACAAGAAATTGTTGAGAGGACATCAAAACATGAAAAGAAGCGTGTCTTTCTCACTAAGCTTCCCACTTCGCTCGCATGACTGCGTCGTTAGCGAGCGGGAGCACTGCTGCGAGACATTTTTTGAACAGCTCATCCTTAGATGCATCCTCTGGATCTGGTTGCCCTAGCAATGCGACTTCAAGGAAGTGTTTGAGTAGTGCATCGAATGTGATATCGGAGGCCTTGTAGACGTCGGAATATATCCAAGGAGCTATTTCCTTATGACTGGAATTCTCTCAGTCAAAAGACGATGAATAATGTTTTTGAACAGATTCTGGTACTCACAACAACGTTTCGTAATGGCCGGCTGCCGTGCGGGATGCCGAACCACGGTCGTTGCTCGGAGTGCTTTGGAGGCTTTGTACGTTGGTAAGTCTGCTTGAGGTGTTGACTATCGCAGCCGCCATGACGTTTCAGGCGTCCAGAAATCTAGGGAGATTGTCAGTCAATAGGCGTCAGTGAGTGCAACATGGGGATTGTAATGCCACACACAGCTCTAGGGGCGCAGACAAGGTCAACACGGTATACGAACTGGGGGGAATAGAGAAAAGATGGAAGCAACACGGCTCCTACTTATGACTTGGGATTCTGCCAAGGATAAACGCCTGAAACGAGGCCGTCGTTCATTGTTCAACTATGATTGCGCGTCTATCATCGCATGTGATCGCGTTGCACAACTTGGTCCTACAAATATTCGAAAAGAGAATAAGTATAACCTTATGTATGGTCATTCCAAGGGAGCGATACTCTATTGATCTAGTAGCACGCATTCCTGGAAACTCGTACTATTCGCTACATTGTGTGTAACAAAGTTGCGATATAGGGAGTGTTTTTACACTAGAACTTGCCAAGGCAACTAACTGTCTTTGAACAATGGAGGGAGACTCGTGCCGAGTACTTATCTTCAACCGAGGCGGCATGCAGGTTTCCGCAAGGCAATAGTCGGTCATCTTCTATCCGATTCTCATCTTTACCCATCGATCCGATCCATTTTCGCCCGAGGGCCCGGGATGGAGTGAGGACAAAGTTCTTGAACCAGCACTAGTTTTAACAATCAGCGAGGGCAGACCAGCAGTCAACGATCACTAACATCCTTAATTCTCTCATGTTTATTAATATCATAAACTCAAGAAGAAATGGAGTAAGGATATATGGATAGGGTATGCGGATTAGCTGGATTGTCTCCGAGTCCGAGCCGAGGAAAAGTCTACATGGATCAATTGCAGTATAACACCTACAAATGGTAAGAACGCTTACATATAGGGCCGAGAGGAGGACACTGAACATGAACAATGAGCGAAAGAGGGCAAATAAAGAAAATAATAGTAAGAAAAGAACATCAGTGATAAAAGGATGGTCTGCCTTTGGGAGAATACTTGCACCGCCTGCATCTTCCTCAGCTCGTGGAGAGGACTGTCGCTGTCGTTTCGAGAATCTTTGCATTCAACGACAGGTTCTCGTAGACGGCACCCAGGAAGTCTCTACACATCCGAACGGCATCTTAGATCGATTGCGATCTAACAGGCGGCCCACTCGTGCGGTTACTTCAGTATCGCAGTAAGTAACACAAGAGGATGCGTTCACAATTGGAGGCTGAAACTTGAAGGTTGCTGAAGTTGATGGATAGATTCTAGGTTACAACATACAGATGTCAAGTCTAAACATGTAAGCTAAATATATTCCATGTCAAGGGTAGCATTCCCGATACATCATACCTCATTGAAGGTGAGCCATAAATTATTGCTATTGCGAAAGTACAGACGAGAGCGGGGGTGGGCCAGACGTTCGGGAAGAAATCAGGTATAGACATGTGTAGTAAGATAGTTGCTGCAGTTGAGGCCCAAGAGGAACATCGGGGAATCGAATAAACTTCGGAAAGGGAACGCCGGATGGTAGCAGGAATATAGGTGCGGGGTAACGTTAGATCTCTCATGTCTGCATAGCGTTGTCGTCGCTGTCATCACCATTCGCATTCTCCGTATAAGCGCGTTTGCGTTCTTGAAGTTCTTGCTCCCTGAGATAAGACAAAATACACGTTAGCATACCACCAACAAAAAAACATACGCGGTGCAAAGAAGAGAAACGGGTAGAAATGAATACGAGCGTAAGAAAGAAAGGATGCACCTTAGCTCATCTGCATCGTCATCCTCCTCTCGTTTTCGTCGGGAAACGGCTCGCTGTTGTTGTTGCGGGAACCCCTGGACGGCAATATGTGCTTTGTAGATTGATTCATACTCCTGCAATGTGAAATAAGATACATTCCGATGAACCAGATAAGAATAGAGGCATACCTTAAGTTGGGTGAGGAACCCGCCGTTGGGCGAGATACAATATCTTCGATTCTGCACCATGTGTAGTGCATCTTCCCACGAGAGCCCAACCTCTTGCATAACGTACATCACAACGAAGGATGGGGATAGGCTGATGCCGCCTAAGCTTGGTGGTAAACATTCAGAAGACTCGCTAGGTGGTAAGTCAGGTCAATCGACGCACCGTTACAGTGAACCAACGCACGACCACCTGCCAATCGAGCCTGATCAATGAACTCCTTGGCTCTGCGCGAAATTAAACGTAGCAGACATTAGAAAGTAATTACAATAGGCATATTGGGCACACGAAACCAACTGTGGAAAGAGCTTGATCAGGTTCTGGTCCTCGTTGTCTCGTACATCGAGGGTCATATATTGAAAATGATCTGGGAATCGTGGGCGTACTGAGAACGCTTCTTGTGCATCTCGAATACATAGTCTAACGTGTATCATTGCGACAGGGTCAACATCAGAATCATGAAAGAGCAAAGTGGTCAACGTACATATGTGTGACCCCGTATGACTGCAGAGTCTCGAGAGACTTGGATACTTGTAATGGACCCAGGTAAAGACCTGGCAGTATCTCCTGACATTGTCTTCTCATCTCATACCTATACATTGACCATAAACTTATACGCCTCACATTGATCGAACGTGAGAATGAACGAAGACTTACGTCCACTCATCTCCGGGTCCTTGGATCAGTTGCTGTTTCTCGTCCGCGGACATCTCTTGCACTGTTTGCATTTCGATCGTAAGCGGAGTGGAATATGGAGAAGAAGTTACTGTAGATTATTAAGAAGGGAATGGACGCGTCGTGGAGGTAGCTAGACGAGAATGGGAGCGGCTAGACCCTCAGGGCTATTGCGATCTTGTACCTTGAATGCGGACCATATACATTGTTTCATAAGCTCGTTTACGTATCCCGATCAATCCTTCAATTTCGCAAATCAATTACTCAATCTTCGCCCTGTCACTTTTCCTCACGTTGGCTCTCAACGACCATAAGTATTCATACTTGAGAATATTCGAGTGAGCAGGAAAGGATATGTTGAATTTGCGTCCATCTACTCAAGTTGCTTTGAATGTGGCTAGCCTTGTTCGCGAGCTGTCTTCGGACACTTATAGTATCTCTCGTTCCCCGATTATTACACTGACGAGCAAGAAAAACAGTGTTCGTACTCTCACTCTTGCAAGGCTGTCAAGAGTATGCAGAACATTCCATGACGCCGGGCTGGATATGTTATGTTCCTAATGTACAGCGTGGGATGAATGTTACCATCAATGCCCTCAGCTTCAGGATCTACCCCTTCAATTTGACTACTTGACCCATACAGAGAACAGAACTGGGCTGTTGACCAAATAAACAGTTATGCCCCGGATATCATGTTTCAAAGACGTTATATTGCGACAGATGTGTATGCCTGTGTGTGGGAAAGCTAATGAACGGAATCCGGGTGAGCAAGAGAATCATTATAATGATACACGTCGAAGCTGCCTTGGTACAAAGTGAAACGGGAGAAACTAGCAACGTACAGGTAAGGCTAGCTTCGAAAGGCAAAGTATCGTAGATAACATTGAGAGGTGCGTTGCGAGAGATGGCAAAAGGGGCGTGGATGGAAGGCAAGAGAAGAAGGGGTCGAAAACGCGGTGACGTTCGAAAAAAAAACGATATCATGCAACATGCATCCACATTCGTGTTCAAATCCAAACCCTACTCTCCAACAGGACGATCATCCGAATGGATGACATCCATCTCAATCTGAGGAATCGCCAACGGGAGCATTGGTTGGCTCGGGTGTGAGTTCGAGGTCAGAAGCTGGCTCCGCGAGCGGGCTCTCCTTCACAGGACTTGACGAGATTGTGGGTGAGACGGAAAGAGAGTGGTTCACCGGAGGGGTGGTTGCATGAGGAATACTGTGAAGTTATGGCAACATGTCAGTTCAGTGTTCATACTGGTACCATGAGGCGTGCATGTGGCAAACACCACGGAAGCGATGGAGAGGAGGGACAGGAATGATGCGTAGACAATAAAGATAAAGCGATGGAGGATATGGAGATGGGAGAGATAGGCAAATTGCGGGGCATGACAACAATGACATAGCAACAGAGCACTCACTTCTCCGGGTTAGGAATAGCAGTGCCCACTGTATTCTGAGGAGCTTTTCCGGCTTTCGAGAGTGCGTAGTCCCCAGAGTCGAAGTACTTCCGATCCTACAATCGCAATCGACGCATACAAGCACATGTATGACGGCACTAGTGAGAATGTCATCCGCCTTCAAAGCGGGACAAAGCTTGCCTTTTGCATCTTGGTCAAGACATTCTTGTGCGAGGGCAGCTTGCCATAGAGACGAAAGAGCTTCTGCTCTTCTTCCGTCAATTTCTACACATGATTCAAAACAGAAGAGATCAGTCAGATCCTGCAAGCAAAAAAGACTTGTAGCAGTGAAGAAACCCTGAATGTCGGTCGCTAACGGCGGCACAGATGACATCCGATGGGAAAGAAGTGAAGAGAGACAAGACGAGGATAACAGAAGTAGCAGAATGTCACCGAATGTACTCACGCTAATGTCGACCTTGTTCCTTTTGGCCGGGAGCATATTCGGATTATGGCGTACACAGTCAGGCGAGAGATACGGAACGGCGAGCACAGGGGCTCTCGAGGAAGGGTTAAATGGAGGTCAGACAAAAGTCTGGGTAGAGAGTTTGCGAAAGATCCTTTGGCTGGCGAACGATGAGCGTAACGATGAAGATGACCGTGCCTCCAATTCTTCGCCCCGCCACCAGCATACAAGGCGGAGCGTGGCGGACTTTCAAGATAACTCAATATCAAACTAATTATTTTCTCGCTTGAAAGGAGACAGCCAAGCGTGCTGCGCAGCGTTTCGTACCGGAATAGCATAGCACTACATACACCGTTAGAAAGAAACAGTACAGAAAGGGGTTGGTCAATCGAAGCCGCATAACTCGAAATGTTCCTCCCCAAGAAAAGACATCTGCAACGGACATTAACAAGAGAATTGCGACCTGATAGACAACCAACCAGCTCGTCAGCACAGTCTTCATTCGTAGCAAAGTCAAGCATATCGTGATTCTGCCATAGGTCATCTGCAAGTTCCGGTGGAGTACCGACCGCTTCCACAGATCCGCTATCGTCAAGCTCCTGTTCGGGAAGCCAAATAAGTTCGTCCTCGAGCAGCGGTATGGGAGAAGCAGGCAAGTCCAGGTCTTCCAAGAAGTCGTCGGTCGGGACATCATGTATGAAAATATCATCATCGAGAATTTCATCCGAGTTATCGTCGTCCAAAACATTTAGAGGAAGGTCGTTATCAGAGGCGTCTAAGTATTCGTCGAATTTCTCTTCGTCTTCATCACCGTAATCGAAGGGATTGTCGATGTCAAGCGTCAAAGATGGAGACTCAGTATGTTCAAGTTCGGCGGGTGTTAGAGGGGCTTCATCGACTGTCGACTGCGAGGAGGTATCTGGCACCAAATCGAATACAGCCGCAGTATAGGTAGAGCTCAAAGTCGGGAGAGGCTAGTTCCAGAGAAATCATTCAAAATAAATGGAATATTTGGACAGCGTGAGGCAAACTTGAATGATGAAATACCTTGAATCGGAAAGGTTTGATCCTGTGCTTTAAAAAAGTGACTAGAGACCTGTGTAGCATCTGTTCCCTAGTTAATGTCCGTTCTGGATCCGGAAATCCCTCTAGGTCTTCGTTAGATAAACCTAAGTATCGCGACAAAGCCGCAAGGTTCGCGGCGATTATATCGATATATTGACTGTTCAATTTCTGTTACAGAAGATGAAATATATATCACCGATCATGGGAACGTGGAACTCATAAAGAGTAGCTCACCTTCAGAGCTTTCCGGGCACGTTTTCGAAATGTGGGGTCCGCCGAACGATCGACGATGTTGAGAAGGGATCGACATATGGAAGGCAATAGCGGTAACTCCGCGTTGATTTTCTATCAAGAATCAGTACTCCAACTGATTCCCCGTAACATCAGAAGAAACGAAAGATGGTTACATTGCAACATGACCCAAAAATAAGCGGGTATCGACTGGGCTGGAACTTCAGCAGTGTGTAGCAATATGCATCGTTGCTACTCACGCGATGAGGTGATGTGTGATAAAGCGGTAGAAGACATTGCCCAGCACGGACATGAAGGGGAGGTAAGCGTGTGAAGCGAAGGGATTGATAGCGAGCAATGGGTCTACAGATAGGTTAGGACAGCACTCTAACGACCAACCATTGTATGCACCTTCGACATGGTTCCCGGGTATTGAACGGCATGAGAAAGACAAGTCAATCGATAGCAAGGTTAAGTAAAGCGTGCAATCTTCAGGGTCTAGTTGAGAGCAGGAAGAGACAGTAACTAGTACGGAATTAGCCTGGATTTGCGAGGAGTCAGAAGCAACCGAAGAGTCGGACATTTTGTACGGCCATCTGACTCGTCCAGATACAGTTCAGAAACGTTTGAGAGGCCGAGTTGTCCAGAATGCTAGGGACCAGCCGAATCCTAGACGTGAGAAACCAGATCGAAGGAACACCTATAAACAAGTACCGATTGCAGAAAGTTCACCAAGTAGAGAGCCAGAGCAGACTCTTTTAGGTCTTTGCCGATTGTTGGCGAACCATCCATTGTCGCAGAAATAGAAAAGGTCACGTCTGACTTATGAATCACATCTAACGAAGGCGGGACGCGTGTTGCCATCTTCAATACCGTGTCGGAGGCACTGCCTGCAATGAGAAAGTGAGTCGAGTTCAAGGAGAGAGTCATATTGGGGTCTCGTGCACGCAAGGAGGAGGTGCAGGCTATAGTAGGCATTATTGTTGTCTAGGTCAAGTCCAGTGTGGTGGTCGTCGGCACGAGGAGATTCGGTTATTTTGGGGAGATAAGATGCAGATAAGGGGTTATTAGGGGGCTGGAAATTAAATATGTAATGGATAAGGCGGGTGGCTGAATCGATCACCGCCCCGTCTGCCAGAATCGCCTTGAGCCAGGACTATTCCTTCCTCCTCCAACACATCTCCACCGCGTCCTGGCGGCATATACTTAGAATAGACGGCCATGGTATGTTCTTTCAATATGTTGACTTATTTTTTATCTCACCACCGTCCCTCACCAGTCGCATGAGCTGGACCAGAAGATCCAAGATGTTTACAAGCGCATACAGACTGAGCGCAAGGTACTCGAGGCATCCCAGCTCCTCCGTCAGGCCACAACAAATCCAGACGTATTGAGGCGAAACGATGCAGCTATCAGGGAAGCTGAACGTTCTCTCTCCTATTTCGAGGATACCCTCCGAGAGCTCCAGTCTCGCAAGATGATGCAGTCGAGACGCGATGATCATTCACGATCGGGTAGTGCAGGCTCGTCTCAGGTAGTTTTTCTCTACTCTGCACATTCACAGGCAGCCTTATGTGTGAATATTGTACTCTAGGCTTCGTCTTCATCCACCTATGGCATCCCTGGCAATCGTGCCCCCCACTCTCCGGAAATGCGTCCCCAACCAGGCCTACTGCCCCAGGATCCTGTGAAACCTAAACCATATAGCAATCTGGACCTCATAAAGGCCGATACTCCACATACGACTGCGAAGATAGCGCGGATGCTGCATCAGCTTGAATTCAAGCTGCAGGTTGAAATGCAGTACAAGAAGGGTATCGATAAGATGGCGAAGCTATACCAGGCCGATGGCGATAAGAAGTCCAGGGCCGACGCGGAAAGTAAGAAAATCGAAAGTGAGCGCAAGATACAACTCTTGCAAACTGCCCTCAAGCGCTACAAGAATTTGCATATTCTTGACGACGCGGATGAGGATGAGACTAGTATGTATCCTGTATTCAAAGCTCAGCTCCCCCGAAAACTCATAAATGAATGGCATTAGCTGAGCCTGGTCCCGTCGGGCCTGGTGTGGAGGGTGAACGGAAGGACAACCTCCGTAACAAACCTCTGTCTGGAAAGCTGCAAATTTCACTCAAGGGAGCCAGAGAGCTCGATCATGCGCCCATTGTAACCAGTGGACGCTTACGTTCTGCCTCGAAAGCTGTCGAAACCTATGTTTCGTTCAAGGTTGAAGGTACTCAACGCGCCCGCTCACACCCGTCTCGGACAGATCGGTGGATGGAAGATTTTGAAATCACTGTCGAGAAAGCTAATGAAGTTGAAATTGCGGTGTTTGACAAGCAAGTGGGCGAATTGCATGCCGTCCCCATAGGCCTTCTTTGGATCAAGATCAATGACCTGGTTGAGGCGCAGAGACGTCAGAAGGTGATGGCGGAGACCGGTCAAGGTGGTTGGGTCACCGCACATGCCATGAATGGTGATAATCCAATGATTGGGATGGCTGGGCAAGGCGGAGCTGGTGACATGAATGCTCCGATTGGCTTTGGCGAGAAAACTATTACACCTTCAGGTTTCACAGCGTCATCAGGCTCTGAAGGCGTCGAAGCATGGTTTGCTGTTGAGCCAGCAGGCGCCCTTGCGTTGCATCTCAACTTCAGTGCGTTGAACATAACTCTGCTTAGCCTTCTTTCTGACGTCGTTCGATTTTAGTCAAGGAGAATGTTCGTAAACGCCCTCTCGATGCTCCTGGTGGTCTCGGCCGTCAAGGTGCTGTTCGCAAACGCAAGGATGAGGTTCATGAGATGAACGGACACAAGTTCGTCCAGCGACAATTCTACCAGATCATTCTGTGTGCATTTTGCAACGAATTCCTACTCAACGCTGTCGGCTATCAATGCGAGGACTGCAGGTACACTTGTCACAAGAAGTGCTACGAGAAGGTCGTTACTAAATGTATATCGAAGTCGAATACAGGGGTAAGTGGCTACGACGGAAGCTACCAATCTGAGTCGACTCACATTCACTTACTTTCTATTATCAGGATGACGATGCTGAGAAGATCAACCATCGTATCCCTCATCGATTCGAGCCAATCACCAACATCGGCGCGAACTGGTGCTGCCACTGTGGTTACATGCTTCCTCTTGGGCGCAAGAACGCACGTCGATGTACGGAATGCGACATCACCTGTCACGCCAACTGCGCCCATCTCGTCCCCGACTTCTGTGGCATGTCAATGGAGACTGCCAACCAACTCTTGCGAGATTGGAAAGACATCAACAAGGCTCGTGGGGGAAGGACGGCCACATCTTCTCGTCCACCTCCGCAAACCGCCGCTTCATTACCACAAGTACAACAATACCCTGGATCCCCGTACCCGGTTGATCAGTTAAGTGCTGGTATGGATCGTATGAGGCTTACTGCGAGCGAGCAGCCGCCTACGCCATCTAAGGCACCTGAATACCAGTATGGACGTCCGCAACAGGATATGCGTATGCAACAACAACAACCTCCTGCTGGGTATGGTCAGCCCGGTCAACGACCGGTGCCTGGAGGTCGCGCGCCGTTTCCAACCGAACCTGTTCAGGCGCAGCCTCCGAGACCTGCTCCTGGGTACGAAGGTGCAGATGTATTCCAGGCCGCAAAACCATACCCCGGTCAACCAGCAACTCCAGTACAAGTTGCGGCACAAATCAGAGTCTCACCGCCTGATCGACAGATGTCGTTGCCGCCGACATCTGTACAACAGCAGCAAGTGCAGAAACCTGCGGCAAGGAAACGTAAAGTTGGTCTAGATGACTTCAACTTCCTCGCTGTCCTGGGTAAGGGTAACTTCGGTAAGGTCATGCTCGCCGAGGAGAAGAAGTCGAACAACTTGTACGCCATCAAGGTGCTCAAGAAAGAGTTTATCATTGACAACGATGAAGTCGAGAGGTGAGTTCGCCTGTATTATCATTCCGTCATTGGAGTCATAACCGACACTCTGTCGATTGTAGTACTCGTTCAGAGAAGCGTGTGTTCTTGGCGGCTGCACGAGAACGGCATCCGTTCTTGCTCGGGTTACATTCATGTTTCCAGACGGAGACTCGAGTCTACTTTGTCATGGAGTACGTGAGCGGTGGAGATCTCATGTTACATATCCAGCGTAGGCAGTTCTCCCTTCGCCAAGCCAAATTCTATGCATCAGAAGTTCTCCTCGCTCTCGAGTACTTCCACGCGAACGGCATCATCTATCGGTAAGATATTTTTTGCTTAATGTGTAGGATAATACACCTCATCAAATTCACAGTGATCTCAAGCTCGACAACATTCTCCTGACATTGGACGGTCATGTCAAAGTTGCCGATTACGGTCTTTGCAAGGAGGAAATGTGGTTTGCTTCAACTACTAGCACCTTCTGTGGTACTCCCGAGTTCATGGCACCCGAAGTACGCTTGTTTTCTTTCTCGTATATCATTAAGTACTGACTAGTGTCCATGCGTAGATTCTGCTTGAACAACGATATGGTCGTGCAGTCGACTGGTGGGCTTTCGGCGTTCTAATGTACGAGATGTTGTTAGGACAGTCACCTTTCCGTGGTGACGATGAGGACGAAATTTTTGATGCCATTCTCGAGGACGAACCCCTTTACCCCATCACTATGCCTCGTGATGCTGTCTCCATTTTGCAGAAGGTACGTATCCAATTTTGGTATCGACTGCTCTTGTGTTCACGCCCCGGTTATGCAGCTCCTGACGCGTGACCCAGCGCGACGACTTGGCTCCGGTAAGAGTGATGCAGAGGAAATCAAAAGACATCCGTTCTTCAAGGATGTCAGTTTCGATGATGTTCTGAACAAGCGTATACCACCACCCTACTTCCCCACCGTCGTACGTTCAGTGATCTATTTCATGTGGAAGCTATCTGATCACTCTGCCCTGGTTTACAGAACGGTAGTGCGGACACAAGTAACTTCGACGAAGAGTTCACGAAGGAGCAGCCAACACTCACTCCTGTTCATGGACAGCTATCAAGTCGCGATCAGGCCGAATTCAATGGCTTCTCATGGGTATGTCTCTGCTTTCACCGTGTTCTCCGTTCTTTGATTTGACATCTTCGTGTAGGTGGCAACCTGGGCAGAGATGTAGAAGATGTATCGATGTTAATGATAGTGACCGTTTAGTTGTGGTTTCGTCGTATTTCCTGCTATTATTGACTTTGTTGTATTTGGATATCGATATACCTGTTGTGCTCAAGACAACGCCTCTCCTCTTTGTATCGCCTAGTGGACGGTTTATCATTACAGTAACACAGTAACACTGCTGTTGTCTCCGTCTTGAGTGTAAAGTAAAATAAGGCTACTCGGCGCGTTCACGTTCGCTTTCTGCGACAAGGACGTGTCCACCCGTGCCTGGCAAGCCCTGCATCTGCTCCTGCTTGGACACAATACCCTCATTGGGTTGACCGCGCATGAGATCCTGGAAGCTCTGCCACAGCTCGGCTATGGTTTCGTATTCGCGTGTCATTCCGAGTACTTCTTCGAGCTTGCGGTTTAGATTGTTGCTACTCGAAAGAAGTTCCTCGAACCCCTACTCGGCAATCAGACAAGCCAGAAGGAAAGCAAATGTCCACTCACCGATGTGATTTCGGTTGTCAACCGATCGCGTTCTTTCGTGAAGAATGTGTTTTCTTCCAGTTGTGATGCCATGACGCGTCGCTAGGAGTGGGTATGAGCGAGAGGCACGCCAGAAACTTTATAATTGGCGATACAATTTCATTCGTTTCAAATGTACATCGAGGAAGAGCTTCAAGTCGCGTAGGTTGTTCCTCTAGTCCAAATCCCCTGCCCTAAACTTCCCCGATCATTGAGTGATCGTTTGGGTACTTTCACAACCTGTTTAGTGCATCACTGCACCACCTTTATGACTGTGAAGAAATGACCGTTACCTATCGACAATATGCGGGTGAAGATGATCTGAATGCTATCATGACCCTCGTTCAGTTTGAACTGAGCGAGCCCTATGTGATTTACACCTATCGGTATTTTCTTGAGAGTTGGTAGGTCACTTCGCTGAAGCCTCTTGTAATGCTAATGCACATTCGCCCTAGGCCCCACCTATCAATTCTTGTAAGCTCGGCAGTGCACGTCGCATAATTTTATCCAATGGTCTCCAGGCTCTTTCGCCAGAATCACCAGAACCCATCGGAGTGATCATCTGCAAACAAAGTATGCATCGAGATACAAGGAATCGGGGTTACATTGCCATGCTTAGCGTCCATAAACGATACCGGAAACGGGGTATAGGTGAGTAAGTGGAGAGGTACTTGAATGGCAATATTCACCTTCCTTTCTAGCAACGTCGCTGGTCAGACAAGCTATTGAGATAATGATCCAAAATGGCGCAGATGAGGTGAAGCTGTGGTCGTCTCAGGCTTGCGCGATTCTAATATTATGACAATTATAGGTTGTGCTCGAGACAGAGTACGACAATGTCGCTGCACTCGCCCTCTATGAGTCTTTAGGATTCATTCGCGAGAAACGCCTCTACCGGTTCTACCTGAATGGGAAAGATGCCTTCCGGCTGGTCTTGGCTGTGGCACCATCGCAGAGGCACGTAAACGTCCCGGATGCTGCGACCGCCACAGATGCGCGATTGTCTTCTGCGCCTCAAGATTCGACAAGACCTGTGCTCATACCCCGAGACACCATGTACCTGTAACAACCTCCGATGAAACTAGCCGAGCGGAACGTATACCCCTAGAATACAATGCTTATCGAGTAGAATCTGTATCATAATGCCAGCTTAACGAGTAATATTTGTTGCAAGGCATTTGCAAGGCATTTGACAATGCCTTGAAATTCATTAGGCAGATCACTAAAATGTACTTCCCACGTGGTAAACAGGCGGTAGCGCACGGAAATAGGAAGAGCGCAACTTGCTCTCATCCTCCAACATTTCCCCCATTCTTGCAGACAATATTCCTCTCAAATTCGTAAACATAGACTAGTATCTCTCTTTGTATTCCTATTATCTTCCTCCGGCGGGCCTTGTCTCTCCTTAAACACTGCTCGCGGGACTTTTCTCACCCATCCTAGGGATCCTCATATCCTGGACAGAGCATGACAACCGCCTTCTACGCCACTCAGCACTCAATGGCGATCTCAGGCTACGTCTCTGAACCAGTCAATCCGCCTCAGCCCGAGGAGCAGTACATTTCGACTTTCTTTTGTCGTGCGCTTTATGATTACCAGACCGGCGACGCTTCATCACTTTCCTTTCGCAAGAACGATATCATTGAAGTGCTGACTCGTCTAGAGTCGGGATGGTGGGATGGTCTTCTGGGAGATGAGCGGGGATGGTTTCCATCCAACTATGTCACTGTCATCTCCGACCAAGAAGCGGAGGCTGCACTCGGTGCTCCCGACGCTTCAGTTACACAGTCATCGGTTACAAGTGATTCTGTGGTGGACATGGCTCACTCTATGTCCAGGGCACTGTCAGGATCAAGTGGAGAGAATGATTGGTTAGACTCGGAGGTTGACTACCCTGCCACGAAACAGCTTCTCAACAATCAGCAGCAGCCGCAGACGAATGGTCATACAAATGGCTCAGGTATTCAGCACAATGATTTTTGGGTCCCTCAGGTATCCTCGGATGGCCGAGTAAGCATGAAAATTGTTCTGTTCACGGCCAGTACTGAACAATCACAGATATTTTACGTCAACACGCAAACTGGCCAGCACTCGCGAGATCTGCCGACAGAGGTCGAAGACCCAGATGGTGAACTAGCCGCTCTTTCACCGTCCTCCTCTCGTGCCCCTGTAAACACCGCCGCGGTCTTAGCTGCTGCACAGGCCCTCGGTCAAGCCGTATCTAGCGACTCGAATGGCGCTGCCGGATTTGGTCTCCCCCAACGTACGCGAACTCCGGAGCCATGGGTACGGAGGCTCGCAGACGACGGGTTGTCGTACTACTATCAGAACAGACTGAACGGCCAGGTATCATGGACACTTCCCGAATCTGATGAACCCCCTGCATACAGCAACGGACGCTCGGAAAGCAGCACTTCCATATCTACCATGGCATCCTCGAGTCAGCCGATGCAACGTTTACGCTCAGGTTCGACTGCTTCTCGCACACGCGGGAGGAGCGATAGTGCGGCTGCCAGCGTGTACTCTGACGATTCAGATGTACAACCACTGCCCCGTGCGCGCGCCAGAGCAGAATCTTCGGCAAATGGAACGAAAGTGGTACGACCGCTCCCTTCGCATGCACGAGCACAGGAGCAGTTTGCTTTGACACAAGCAGAGGAGATTGCGAAGTCGTTGCAAAATGCATTGTTCCCTCCCCCGCCAGAGTTGCCAATGGAACTAGCTCAACATGTTCGAGACGCAGTAGCTTTAGTGACTGATTATTTGCAGGCAGCAGGTCCGTCAAGGAGACCGGAACAGGCAAAAGAGATCGATAGCCGCGTGTTGGGCGTGGTGGCAGCTGTCCGAAATTTACTTTATTGCACTGCTACACCGACAGGACATATACCCAGCCATCTATACCCGCGTGGCTCGGACTCAAGATCCAGCTCGTCAGCGCAAGGTCTTCAAGCTCATTTGAAGGCCGCACAGAGAAAAGTTGCAGGAACGTTGTCGAAGCTAGTACTTTCGGCCCTGGCATTGCAATATGATCCGGTGCAATCTATCAACGACAAGCCGAATCGAATGGAATCCGATGCGCGAGAACTCGAGCGCTCCGTTGCTGCGTTCGTCCTGGAAGTACAGAGGTTTCAGCAGGAGCATCCTTCGTCTGGCGCTCAGCAAAACAATAACGTCAAGCGCTTACGTGGTGTCTTTGTTTCTGAAAACATTGGTCTTGCTCTTCCTGGCGCAGGAGTGACGGCAAGCTGGAAAGGGTTCGGCTATCTCCCAACGGATTATCATCCGTCAAGAACACTGCGCTCTGATCTTGTTGCGGAACTTAAAGCTGCCGTGGGTCCTCTCAGCAATAAGCTGCATGAGTTAGTTGCGGTTTCGCATGACAGTGCAGGTGAGTTAGCTATTCATACTAGTGACGTCGTTTAGGACACTCAATACACTCCTTGCAAAGATCTTTTGCAAGCCGAAGGTCAAGGTATAACCGCGTACCTCTCGTCACTCTTGGCAGTTATCAACGATATCAACGTTGCCCAACATGTTGATATTGATGGTCTCCGAGCGGAGTCTGGTGCTACCGCCATATACATGCAGTACATGCAATCGGTAGAGAAGGCTCGACACCTATTGCGAACGCTGGAACTTGCCACTCAAACGTTATATGACGATTCTGCCTCACTGTTCCTCACGATCCAGCAGTCCCACGTGCAAGAGCAGTATTACGACCTTTCGTTCGTGGATCGTTCAGTGCAGCATGACCATATCGATGCCCTTGCTGAGGCGATATCGTCAAATCTCAGAGTAGTTACTGACGTTCTGGAGGGAATGGTCGCCGTTGGCCACGACCAGGCAGATATCGGACAAGCTACGTACAGCACCTCTATTCAATGGCGACAATCTCGATTAAGCATCCTCGATGGCGCTGTTGACCCTTTCATGCAGCCGCGACAGCCAGAGCAGGAGGACGTTGTCGATATGGAATTGGCCTTTGCTCGACCTGGAATGAGAACTATGACTTCTATGGAGACGGGCGGTAGTTCTACACTCTACCAGAACGGTTCTCAATATTCCGAGACGTCGTTGGGAATGTCTGATCGCTCAAGGTCGGAGGATCCCAACGAACCTGTCACTCCGACGTGGCCATCACAGGATACTTCGGATGCTGGTACCTTCATCGGTGCGCCTTCGTCAAATGATGATCTATTGGATGGCCAATCGAGTCCTCTACTCGACGATTTCGATGAGGCGGGACGTAAGTCGTCACCTTTAGTCGTGCCCCCGTGCCTCTCTGACGCTCTTGTTAGCATCCTCTGTCAAGTCGCCACCTCGTGCTGCGAAGTTGATGAAGCTTCTCGGTTCGGATGCACCACAACACTACCTGGCTAAGCTCAATGCAGACGCTAAGCCGTGGTATCTTCGCCCTAATTATGATCAATCTGAAATCTTGATCGACCCGGATGGCGGTGTCCGAGCTGGGACTACGACTGCTTTAGTTGAGCGATTGACGGCACACGAACATGGCGGTATGTCTATTACGAATGGTTGTGAACATTCGTCGTTGACGTCATGCCCGATTAGATCCTACGTTCATTAAGAATTTCTTGATGACCTTCAAGTCGTTTATGACTTTGGATGAGTTGTTCAACCTCCTTGTTAATCGGTACTGGATCAAACCGCCGGAAAACCTCAACCCAACGGAGTTGGAGGAATGGACAAAGCTGAAACAGCACGTCATCCGGATGCGGTATGTTTATTCTCCGTTTCATTGTGCAACATACTCAAAATGTCCTCGTAGTGTCTTGAACACCTTTAAAGCCATGGTCACTGATGACGATCTACTCGAAAAGGAGGACATGTGGATTCTGGACAGGATGAAGGACTTCGCTTCAAATCCTGAAGTTGTATCTTTCGCAGCCGCTAAGCAAATCATCATCCTGATCGAGCGTGCAGTAAGTGCCTAGACTCTTCCGGTGAAAGACACAATGTTGATGACGTCTATTAGCAAAAGGGAGGCGATGGTCCGATCAAGACTACAAATACCCTTCCCAATGCTCCACCAGCACCTATCCTACCTAAATCATCAAAGAAGCTGAAATTGCTCGATATTGACCCCGTGGAACTTTCAAGGCAACTAACCCTGATGGAGGCCACTTTATACAAGAAGATTCGACCAATGGAATGCCTTCAACGTTCCCGTGAGGCGAAACCAGGAAAGACCCCCGACAATATCACGTCGATCATTCAGCTCAGCAATAGGGTACGCACCCATTTCTAATGCTCTCATGGGTCCCGGAGCTAATTTTCATGCTTAGATTGCGAATTGGGTGGCGGATACCATCCTCGAACGAGAAGACTCGCGGAAACGAGCTACGATTGTGAAGCACTTCATCAGTGTGGCTGATGTAGGTGTTCCAAGAGGTCTTTTGAAAAGTCCCGTATAGTGACGGCTTTCTGTAGCGTTGCCGAGGAATGCAGAATTTCTCTACCATGGTTGCCATCATTTCTGGTCTCAATACTCCTCCTATCCGTCGTTTGAAACGTACCTGGGAGCAAGTGAATGCAAGGTTCATGACGCAACTTGGGACGTGCGAAGCAACCATCGACACGAACAAGAACTTCAATAACTACCGGTCGACGCTGGCTAGAATCACGCCACCTTGTGTTCCTTTCATCGGTAAGTACTTTCATGCATTTTTCCCGTGGCCCAACGTTGAGCGCTGTCATTATAGGTGTCTACCTCACTACGCTCACTTTCATCAATGACGGTGCGGAAGACAAGATCTCCGGTCAAATGGTCAATTTCCGCAAGCGTCAGAAGGCTGCTGAGGTCATCCAAGATATCAAACGGTGGCAGGCCATACCGTATAGTTATCAAACCGTTGCAACCGTCCTCGCGTACCTTGAAGAGTCCTTTAATAAGTACGGCGACGGTGTGGACTATGGTGATCAATTCTGGAATACCAGTTTGCAGCGAGAACCAAGAGAAAGAGAAGACGAGAAGATGGCACGATTACTGCAGGAAAGTGGTTTCCTATAAACTATGCACGGTGTTGGGGATGTACGCGTTTTATTATTACTGTTGGGATTGCGTCGGGACTGATCATGATACCTGGATATCGGTCATTGTGCTATCTATATGTATCATTCACCATCGCTTGACTTATGCTGTACAATTTATACTTCGCTTTCGGTTCTTTGCATTCACAAACTTACAATGTTGGAAATATCGATAATACTATGCTCTTTCTGCTATGATTATGATGCCTCCTTTGTGTTACAGTTGCTGAGGCTCCGTCTAATATTACAAAGGTTTACAATGATATTGTACACATTATTGCAGAAGTGTCTCGAGGCTTCTACGAACTCGATCCTCTAGCCCCTTCCCAATAAACACTAATTTACCCTCGCCAGGCAAACCCATATCCGCCGAGGGGGTCTCCTGTATTGACGAAATCTCGTACAAACTTCGAACGCCTTGCAATACATACGTCTCTCCACCCTCAACCCTAAATATACCCTTACATCGGAGGATTTGTACAGGCGGCGAACCTTGAGGATCATCGGGCAGCCGATTCTCCCAAAGGACTGTTCGTATCCATTCGTCAATTTGCTGCAATTTCGACTGTTTGAGTGGAGGACAGGAGACTTGGAGACTTGATATTCCGCGGATCTCATAGTGATGTGGATCGCGTTCATGGGTATGATCATGACCAGCTTCGCTGCATGAAGAATCAGGATGTGAAGCATGACTATGTCCAGCCAGGGTTTCCTTGGGAAGGACTCTCCTGGCTGAATATGCGTCTATGCCCATGATGTATCTCAAGTCGATCTCTCCTCGAGTTGTTCGGTAAATTGTTGCCGCTGGGTTAATATGACTGACAAGTTCTTGGAGGTTATCGAGTTCAGGCGGGGGCGCGAGGTCAGACTTATTCAGGAGGATCACATCTGCACAGGCTATTTGCCTAAAATTGGTGTCAGTAGACCCTCAAGATGTGAGCTGTGAGCTATTTTACCGGAGGCTCTCGCCGATTCCGTTAGAGGCGTGGTCTTCTTCCATTTGCTACGCCAATCAGAGCGTTGACGAAGTTAGATTTTGGATGAACTAGGCTGATATTCTGACTGACCTTCTTTCCGAAAACTGCGTCAACTACACAGACGACTCCATCAAGATGGATATCTTTACCCAAGCCTTGAGCAAATTCTTCGTTTTGCCAAAACATAGATGCAATCGGACCTGCCCACCCATGTGAATGTGTTAAACATGGTATGAATGCTCAACATTGGGCGTCGTACACACCTGGATCTGCTAGACCAGTCGTCTCCAGAAGAATATGGTCGAAAGCGCCTTTGCGTTGCATGAGCTTCTCGATAGAGGCGATGCCAATGTCCTTGATGCTACAGCATAGACATCCGTTTGCGAGTTCGAGGAATTCTTCCGCTGGTTCGCTCTCAGGCTCGTCTGGTGAAGAGACATTGATCGTCTTTGCTAGGAGTTGTGAAGTAAATACAGATGCTGGAAGCATTGAAGTTATATAGCATACCTTCTATGTCCTGCAATAGATATGTCAGCTTTCTGTTGAATGAAGAACGTGAGGAGCATACCCACTAACCGCAGTGTCGCCAAAGTCGTTCATAATAACTGCAATGCGGTAGCCATGACGTTCGGTCAATATGCGCCTATAAACAGAATCGATATGTTACACAGTCTCTCACTTGACAAGAAGGTTGGGTCGTACTTGATCGAAGTTGACTTTCCTGCTCCCAGGAACCCACATATGATAGTGAGTGGGACAGTTTTATGCTCAGCAACCGCTGAAGTCTGGCTGTCCTCAGTCAGCAGCGGAACATCGGATTCGACGAGAGTCCTGAAGCATGACATTTTGTCAGAAATAATCTTTGAATGTTTGGTTATACATACGGGATATCGTCGTCGTCCATGTCAAGAATGTGTGTTGAATTCAAGATGGCGGTTTCTAGCAATTGGTGCATTCCGTGGTGGGGGTGTCACTAAAGAGTGTTACGGTCGTGACACGACGCGTCGAATGGAGACGCGCAAAGTCGCGACGCGTCTGTATCTCTTACTTTCTACCATAGACATCCACAAAATGGCTTCATCTGATCCTGCAACGATCAAAAAGACATTACAGCATCACTTTGGTGCATACTTGGGAGATGATGTGCTGCAAGAGTGTAAGCCAATCCGTACCTGTGAACACGTATCTCTGAGAAAGTGCTGGTATTTGCAGGCATCCAACTGTGCAAAATGTACAATGTCACAGGAGAGGATCTTTTCTTTACCTATGAATCGTTGGTATACGGACGTGGAGGGGCTCGGCAAGTTACGCCCGACAACGTTGCTGAAATCAAGCAGAAGTTACAAAGAGACCTGGAGAAGCAGAAGCGGCAGTTGGCAAAGAGTAACAGGCCAATGCTTCCAATGCGTAATCTCAATGGGCTGATGAAATCTGGGGGTAACGCTGACTTGCTGAACCGTCTGGGGGCGTCTTCGAAAATCAAGGTCGAATCGCCGTCCATCGGTATACCTTCGGCTGGCGAGAGCAGTAGGCCGATATATAGGAACAGTTCGGTGCAATTCACACGTCTGGATGCACAACGTTCGAGTGAACAGCCCCAAAAATGTATGTCTCTTTGTCGAGCTAAACATTCTCGGATATCAATACTTCAATTGACACCTAGACCGATATATGTATGAGAAGATCTCTGAACGGAGCGAAGGTGACTATTCTAAGATCAAGTTATTCAGCTCATATTAAACGAATCGGCTAATAGTTCTAGATGACCGAATTGAAGACATAGCGCAGATACTAAAGAATCATTATGGCATTGCTGATTTCGGAGATCCAGCAGCCAGTACAGAGGTCAGTCAAAGTCTTAGTTTCTCCAACCTACTTTCAACATTGCATCTCGTAGGAAGACGTAGTTGTAGTCGGGCGTATAACTATGGACAGCGAATCTGCCTCTGCAGAATCAGCAAAACTCAACGAAGCCTCTCTGACTCTCGAGTCATCGAGGATGATGGGATCAGGTGTGCGGGTGCCTCTGAAGTTTGATCCGGATGTGCGAATACGACAGGCTGTCCGAGGTACCGGTGGACTTGGCCTATTCCCGGGAGCCATTGTCGCCCTGCGGGGTAAGAATGGTGGAGGTGGCTGGTTCAATGCCACCGAAATACTTTCGGTGAGTTCTATCCTCAGCTTTTGTGCCAGAGGGTATTGGATCTAATGCCTTTTGTATGATAGCTACCGCCACTGCCTCCGCGAGAGCGGCCAGGCCCGAGCAAATCGGAAGGAGGCTTTAATATGCACGCCGCTTGTGGACCTTTCACAACTGATTCCGACCTGCAATTTAAACCGTGGCGGGCTGTAGTGCAGAAAATAAACGCAGATCAACCAGACGTTGTACTTCTGGTGCGTGCTCATCTCATCTTCCAGACTATTGAAACGGTACAACTGAGACGTCTCAGCTCGGTCCATTCCTGGACTGCAATCACCCGAGTTTGAAGTACGGTGATATTGATGCTCCACTACCGGTTATCTTCCAGCAAACTTTCATCGAGCCTTTGCGTGACTATCTAGATTCAAAACCTGGCGCGCTAGTGCTCATTGTCCCGAGTGTACGAGATTTGCTCAATGATCACGCGGTATTCCCGCAAGCTGAGTTCGGCAGCAGCCTTTTCAATGATCCAGTAGGTGTCGCAGTCTTCTGAAAGTACCACATTTACAAGACCTTTGATAGCGGATCGTGCTCTTACCGAATCCATGTCGATTCGCTGTGAACGACGTTTCGTTCGCGGTCACGAGTGTCGACGTACTCTTTCATCTTCGTAAAGAAGAGTTCGTCAAACGCGCGACGGAAGTGGAGTCAATCGGGCCTGAAGGCGAGGAGATCGCTGTCGATCCTATGGCGAATCTCTGTCGACATATATTACAGAAACGAAGGTTGATCTTTTTTCTTCGACAATACATAGACCTGTTTCACTCAGCGCTATGTCATTTAGCTTTTACCCATTATTCCCAACGCCAACCGACCTCGCACATGAAGTGAACCTAGATATCACTCACTCCGACTTCCTGAAGATACCGGAACAACCAGATGTCCTTATTATGCCCAGTCGATTACGGCAATTTACCAAAGTAGGTGCCAATGTTTGATTGTTTCTGTCGGGCAGTTCATTGATGTCGAATAGGTGATTGAAGGAACTGTGGCGGCAAACCCTTCATTCGCAACGAAAGGTACATATTTGTCCTTGAGTTTCAGTGGAGATCGACCACAAAGTGGCGTGAAAGTCGAGGCAGAAATATCCAGACTAGACGCATAGGGTTTTCATGCATTGTTTCATGGTTCGCTTTACTATAAATTATCATGTTGTCTGATTATACGGAATATGAACACGACGCAACAAATAAGATAACAACTTTCAGGGAATAGCGCGCCAGAAGGTCCTTTGAATGAGAATGTGTCCGCCTGAGTTTGTCATCTCGTAATCTGGCCAGTAACATGTCGGTTGCCAAAACGCAATGCCAGCGGAAATCCTATTCTCAAAGAGTTGTATCATGGCAGGCAGATATGTTTCTAGATGTATCACATCATGAGGAAGTTGACAACCTTGGGATGGAAGAAAAAACTCACCTCAATGACAGCCATGCCAAGGCTTGACTGGATGGCGCTCCATGAAGATGGCGACGCAAAGTATTCAAGTGGGTAATAAGTGGATGAGTCTCGATAAATGTGAGACTTATCCCCTTGTTATATACTTGAATCGGTCTAATCACAGAACAAGTGGTGTGTCAACGTATTCCTTGACATCTTGCACCTTTGCTTTGTCGATATCCTTCACAGTCCGGCCATGATGACTCGATCCTAGTCAATCTAAGAAAGTTATCACAAGCAGTTGGATTTAGGCGGTACTACGACAAACCATGGTATGCAGCATTCACAACGGTCGTTATGGAGCAAATGGACGATGAAAGTCAAAAGCAAGGATATCCTGGAATGAGGCCTTGAGGCAGTCTTTTGAGGCCTGACTAGCGGGCCTGGGCGGGCCGCCAATTGACATCACTAAACAGCTACTCAAAAGTCGACAGAGACGGCGACCTGTCTCTCTGCATTCGGTCCTCTCATCTTCACTTAACTTGGACATTCACATATTTCAAGTATGGAACACAGTACCAAACCTAGCTCTTCAAAGCATGACCGCGCTCATAAAGGTGAACGCGAACACCATAGCAAGAAGCGACACAACTCAGAACGCGATGCTGAGCCCTCGAAGAAAAGAAAACGCAAAGACCACAAAGTGGAGCCTGCACTACATATTGTAGATCAGGCGTCTGATGATAATGAAGTTTGGGAGGAGAAGAACATAGATATGGAAGGGGAGGAGGTCCGTTCTGTTGTTTTCCCTCAATCTTGCGTGGTGACTGAAGCGATAGTTGTTTAGGTTTTGGCACAATACATACCTACGGCAGAGAGTCTCAAACTGACTTCCAGATCTATATCTGAACCGTCTGACCCTCCTCTACCACCTCCAACCACGCTGCAGACATATCTGAAACGGGACGAATGGATGTTGGATCCCACGGCTATGGATGTCGTTCCAGAGATCGGGTCTCGTATTCCCCCAGGAACGCCTGGTGATGAAGCAATGGCAGATACCAGAGACGTAGCAGCACCTGCAAAGTCTCTTCCTGCCGGCACCGATTTCTTCTCGTCGCTTGGGACAGAACTGCGAAAGAAACCGCCGATCAACACCCCTGACCTTGACAAGGTATGTAAGGGAACAGTGTTTGTATCAATATATGTACTAACTGCAAATTGTCAGCCCAAGTTCAGCTCCAAGGAGCTCAATACATCTCTTCGAGATGAGAAACCTATGGAGGAGACACCTACTACAGAACGCAAGATCGTTCCGGGAGGGCCTGGATCTCAATGGCGAATGATGAAGCTGCGGCGTGTCTATGAGACTGCAGAAGAGGAAGGCAAGAGTGTTGAAGAAGTCGCTATAGATCGATTTAATTCACTCGAGGCATTTGAAGAAGCCAAGGAAGAACGTCGAATATTGGACGAGCGTGGCGGAAGACGGCATGAACCTAGGAGTAGTGGTAAGAAAGAGAGGGGCAGGGAACCGGAAGGGGAGCGGCGGTACATGTTCACTGATGTTGCGCAGAGCGGGGCGTCGAGTCGAAGCTCCTCATTCCGAAGACCAGACATCGGTGATAGCATGCCTTCAACGCCAACTCCTTCACGATTTCCTGTACCTGCCAATGGACGCGGTAGCTCTTTGAAACCGGCTACACAAACTGGTAGTGCTGGCGCAGGACCTTCAGGCGTCTCTCATACACCTATACCATCAGTCATGACTCCCACTCATGCTCTTCCCGGACCGTCGAAGCCTCGTGCGCTTTCTCCTTCATCCCTGAATAAACTCCAAGCCAAAGTCTTGCGAGCCAAGCTCATGGGCGTCCCCAATGCTAGCGAGCTTGAAAGAGAATACGAAGAGGAAGTGCGGAAGTCGCACGGCGAGGGAGAAGAGGGTGAAGGACCCGCGACTCGTGTAGAGGTGTTACCGACACTGGATGTTCGTGGTCGGCTGTACGATGTAGGTCAAGGCAAGGAAGATGCGCCTCTGCCTCCCGGCAACCGCAAGAGAAAAGAAAAGGTGAGCATGTCTTGAAAATAATGCTCTAGCATTATCCTAATGATTCTTCAAGGTGGAGACTCGGGAGCCAGGAACAGGCGAACTTGTGAGGATAAATCCAGATGATGATTCTGTCACCTTGGGCGAGCTCCTTCGCGAGGAACGTTTCGGTGCAGGTGCTGCAGACCAGAAGAATCTGGACGCGGAATACGCTCGCGCTGTTGCGACAGATGGTGGTTTTGAGGTAGGTAGTTTATCCTATTTTACGCTACGTGGTCACTAAGGGTTCGAACAGAATGATCTTGACTACATAGACGAGAACCTCGACATGCTCGCAAGGAAGAAGATGAGAAGTGATGCTATGAAACGTCAATTCGCGATCAACGGTAAAATTGTGTTTGAACGTCTCCAGCAGTTAAACTAATACCTCTCCTCAGACTATAAGCGGACACAACAAGCTCTTGCTACATGTCCGTTCTGCTTTGGAGAAGACGATTCTCCCCCAAAGGCACCAGTTGTTGCTATGGGTACTCGAGTATACCTCTCCTGCACACTTCATGAAGAGTTGGTAGAAGGCCACTGTCTGATCGTGCCCATTCAACATCATCTAGCCATGTTGGAGGGTGATGACGACGTATGGGACGAAGTCAGGGTACGTGTCTTCCTGTTTCCTATTTGGTGTGATTCCTGATGCCTTTCATGTACAGAATTTTATGAAATGCTTGATGCGCATGTTCGCTGAACAGGACAAGGGCATTATCTTCTACGAGACGGTTATCTCGTTCAAATGGCAAAAACATACCGTGATCGAATGCGTTCCTGTTTCATGGTCGAAATTCGAAGAGCTCCCAGCATACTTCAGGGTATGTTCAATCCACTTTTCCTAGCTTTCCTCGGCTTACGTTTTTCCCGCAGGAATCTATCCTTATGACGGAGGGGGAGTGGACGCAACACAGAAAGCTCATTGATTTCTCTGATCGCCCTGGCGGGTTCCGAAGGGCAATGGTACCGAACTTACCTTACTTCATGGTCCAGTTCGACTACAAGGGTGAAAATGGTTATGGTCACGTCATCGAAGGTACCGACAAACCCGTCGATGAAGACGATGCTAGGGTAGACGAGAACATGGATGGAGCCGATTTCCCCCGGTAAGCGAAAGACACCTCAACGTCATTCCGCATCCACTAAATTGTTTCACATTTCTGCAGATACTTTGCGGCAGAGATCATAGGAAACCTGATGGATATGGAACCGCGTAGGTGGAGACGACCTCGTAAGATCGATTTCCACCACAACAAGGATAGAGTGGCGAAGTTCAAGATAATGTACGACAAATTTGACTGGACTGGAATGATTGGAAAGTCATGAAGACCAATGGACTATCTTCATACGTGTATCATACTGTATTCTTAAGTGTAAGGTAATGTACAATTATATCCTTCGTTGAATCCGCTTTGGCCTTTGCGGAATACCGTCGGGGACCTGCCTGCCCATGAAAGGTACGTGCACCATCAAATCTCGGTCACCAGTCTAGATCGCGCAAATGACTTTGGGATCAGAGCTGGCACTAGCTCAAGAACTTCTATTTTTCCTGTCACTTGCAGGCCCTTGCTGCCTTCGGTTGGCTTCAAACACGAGTGTCTTTGACCTCCACGAGGCGAGGACAATGGAAGCCGAGACTTCGGCAACTTCCATAAGAACGAACCTCCCTTACCGTGTTTGGACCTTATTTGATTGTGGTTCAAGGTCAGCCTCTTTGACCCTCAGGTATAAAGGCACCCGCACGGATCCTCCATTCCCTCACCTCTCTTGTCTCTCAGCCCCCATCTTCTCCTCTCTCTCAGTCACGAACACTATCCCTTGCGGCCTATGCCACACTCAAGGGTCAACAAAGAGACGTTCAAGACTTCACCTTCAAGACGCGACGCGACGCGATGTGTTGTGGCCACACTTGGTGCTATCACATTCCACCCGCGGCTGACACTTGTCTACGGAATCGTTGCCTTCTGGTCCGTTGCGACTACTTTCTGTTCCTTGCCCTAACGTCTCCCTCATCATTACGCCTCGTACTTGAGGGGCTAGGTTGTGTTGTACGTCTGTGGCCATCGTCACCCTTGCTCTGATCTCCCTCTATCGCAGCTGGTCGCGGCGTTGTATCCTCTTTTCTGGGACTTTGGGTTGTTTACACGGTGGCGGTCACTGTGAGTGTCTAGCAGCTACTTCGTGGACGACTGACTGCTCGACGACAACTACTGCTCTACTTCAACCTTCGGTCTCTCTAATGTTTGCGGTGACTTTTATCTGCTCCATACCCCTCCTTAACTCAGGACTGATGAATGGGATGAGTGCCGGCTCCAAGAAACACGCAGCAAGACATAACGTGTCCGGTGGCGTAGAAGACCTGCAACCTGTACGCCTCCCCAACCCACCATTCAAGACGTGGGTCGCGCAGTGGGTAGCTGGAGCGGTGATGGTCGTCTCTTCAAGAAGGCACCAGGCCTCGCTAGCCTGTGACCCGCAGAGCGCACCCTCGGCCACAAGCCGAGGGCAATAAGATTTCCAAAGTCAAGTTTAAACAAGTTGCCACCCGGACAAGATTCTCAAGCCTTGGTCCTGGCCAGCGAGACTAACGGTGGTGTTCGCTCTCTTCCTAGGCGACTTCACTTATACTTGACCGAACTGGCTCGTGCCATCCAAGTACGCCATGTCATGGTTATCTTTTCTGCACCGGCAAGCTTTCAGCAAGGTCATGGTCAACTTTACCACCTCTCGACTGTCTGTCTAGTACAACTTCTCGGCCACTCTCCAGGTCCTATGGTCTCTTCTAGCAATCACTCGTTCAGATACCACCTTCAATTCATAAGGACCTTGAGGTCTTCGGGACAATTACTCGCTGAAAGGGGAAATTGACATGCACCTGGATCAAGACAAAATTAGTCTGTGGCTTCAGTAGGCGACGTACCTCCTCTGTTTCTACCGCTACTCTCAGGCTCATCAGGTTCCGACTACCATTCAAGACACCGCTGCCCCATGATGTCGCCTTGGTCTCGGTCTGAATCTTCCTTGCTCCTGATCGTTTCTGTCTCTGCGTCTTTCTGCGTCTTTGACCCATGCCTCGCCTTTAAGTCAGGTGCATCTATCCAGGATAAACGAACTGGGCGATCTGCTGGCAGTCACCTAAGACTAGGGCCCACGGTCTTTCCCAATAACGGTACTTCACCAAGACACGCAACGTACGGTACTCACTGGGTGCTCTGCTACAGAACAACTTCTTTGAGACTTCTTTGGCTGCATCCATTGATTGCACTCCTGGTGACGTCTCTCATTTGCTTTTCTCGTTGATTGTCTGCGGATCAAACTGTTTGGCACTCAGTGGCCCACTTCCATGTTAGGCGACGTTGACACTGATTCGTAGGAGCTCACGGCGTTCTTAGCGACACAAGCTACTGTGGGGTTCTTTACTGCGAATCTCGACATCTGACCTGGCTTTCGTACGTACTTCGCATTACGAAGGACCTCTAACCATGGTATTCTTTGGCTTCGGCCAGGTCCTGCAATTGGCATGTTTCAAATTTCAAGTCTCACAAAGTCCTAAGATCAAGCAAGCTCAAGACTCCTCAAGGCGCCTCAAGATTCCTGAGGGAGGGCGACTTCATCTGGCACGGATGGGGTCGCCCTGGTGCAGACCTTTTCGTGGTCCTCAGGATAAGTACACGCTCAAAGACGAAAGTCGATGAGCGTGGAAACTAGCATGCACCTGAAACCAAGTTTGTGCTCGAACTAAGGCTTCTTAGGCGACGTTCCTATGGCTTGTTTTGTGTCTTCGATTGGTCTTTCCTGCGAGGCGAAGCGAAGACGTCGTCAAGATGAATTGCTTACTGGCTATGTGGTTCTCTTCTAGGCGGTCTCTCTAGTCTGATCCTGGGTGCTGGACTTTCACTGTTGACGACACCTTTCTGGGACTCTCTGTGCCTTTTAGTCTGGGATTTCTGGTGCCCGCGCGAATGACCTTTGTATCTTCGGCCAGGAAACTTGTTCGTGAGTTGACTGTCTTCTTGGTATACAAGCCTGGTTTCAAGTCCATCATCTGCCTTTGGTAACTACGCGATGACCGTCCAGCGATATATTATCTGTTCGCCTTGCTATCTTGCTCTGTCGATATCTCGCTTTCTGGCTTCCTGTTTGCTGTCTCTCACTCTGGCGACACCGATTCAAGTTCCAATATCGGTCCTCAAGGCCCTGAGGGAAGGATACCTACACCTTGAGCAAGTGTAATGTGTCCTGGCACAGACCTTTTCGTGGTCCTCAGGATAAGTACCCCATCCTGGGGGAAACTAGCATGTGTCTTAATCAAGTGTATCGGCTCAGTACAGTGAGTGCTATTTCGTTCAGCGATGCACAACTGCGCCTTGAAGGTTTGCTACGGTAAAGGAATCGACTCGTGTATGTCGTACAATCATAAATGTACTACATGAAATATTGTAGTTCCGTCTAATAAACGTATGGGATGATCATATCTGGTGTCTTCTTGGCCCACCGCCCCCATTGTGCCCCAAACTGCTCTTTCAGGACGACATCCTCCTTCTGCATCCTCGTCCCCAACCATGCGACCAACGTTGCAACAAGCGAGAACATCACCGAAGAAAGCAGTTTTCCGCCGATCGTCTGCCACAATCCACCCTCGTACCACCACGAACCTGGCCCAAATTGACACAGGAGCATACCAGCGACATGGACCAGTGCTCCAGCATACGCTGGATGACGCATCCAGGCGTAGGGCCCGTCTGTGATCAAGGTGTGTTTCTTGCGTACTGCAAGTTCGAAGGTGAAATGGCGTCCAAGTTTTTGGTAGCAAACCATTCGAAGCCCGAAACCTAAGCACGCCAAGAGGAAGCCTAGTCCAAACGTGGCCGATAGACGAATATGTAAAGAGGACAACGGCGTGTAGTTTGCGCTTGGGAGGAGCTTGCACAGGAGGACATACACCTCACACAAGGAGACTACATGGCTCACAACCTATATCCCAAGTCCGTTAATTGAGAAGTGAAGTGAATATAAGTGTACTACATACTCCAATGCTTTGTGGCAACCATGACGCAGCACTTGGTATGATATCTCGAGTCTTCTTGTTCACCTCGAACTTGAGCCGTTCATTTGGAGTTGGTGGCGGGTTAGGAGGGAACATGACTTTGTGCACGGCGAACGCAAGGATAGGCAGCAGTGGCAATCGCACAATAAATGACGGGTCGCGGGTTGGCATCTTGCTCGTAAAGAACAATGAGCTTGCGGTAGCGTAGACACTGGCAGTTGGTCATTTGGAGTTGGGAGCACTAACAGGCTACATGATTTCCGATATTAATACCATGGAGCGAATAGAAGCGCATCTGCCATGGACGTAATATTGGTCCAAGATGATGGCCGAAGAAATACTTCGAAGGCTCAACTACCTGGGCTCCTTTCACCCATTGCAGAAAGTTAGTTGTCAGACCAGATAAGGTTGAAGATAGGGAACCGTGGTGCATACTTGTAATGTGCACTTCGATACAGATGCTCGTTCGACCAAAAATGTTCTTTCGATAGATTAGATGATACAAATCTGTATCGGGCCAACTTGAGGAGCTCCCGGACAACATCCTTGGAGCACTGAGAATACGATTTATGTGGAAGGCAGCACGCCAGTAACAGACTCGAGGACATCTCCTTAAGTTGGCTTCCTCTGGCTTGGATGACATTCTAAGCGGCCTATATCACAAGGAAACGTACGAGGCTGTTCAGATGCCTTCATACATTGATAACTAACTTGAAGTAGGTACCCTGTATACTTGATTATGCTTTAACATCCAAGATTTAGAAGACAAGGAACATACAAGATCATCACGTCCTGAAATCCAAATCACGGTCACTGCGACGGTTTTGCTCCCGGGCCACTTGCGTGTTGCACCGCTTTCATAGGTAAATATCTCTTAGTACTTTCTACTTGGCCCCGGATGCGTACGGTGAAGAAGGTAGGTGTATCGCAGTGCTAACACCAAGGCTCCGAGGGCCTCTGAATTATACGCGCCCAGCCTCTATCCAAAAACACCTAGTCCCCTCCCCTGTTACATCGTAACGGACATCATTCGCTGATCACCGTTCGTTGCCATCACAGGCATCACTTAAACATTGCATACGGTACATAGGTCCTCAGTTTCTTTAAATTTGTGTCGAATTTGTGAGCTGAAGTCTCAAGAACATCTTGAAGATGTGATAACTATAAGGCTGACGCAGAAGACATGCATAAGAAGCATCTACTGTAATATGACCTTGCCGCGACTCTGTTTTACAAGCATGCAGTTCCGGCGGGTTATCGTGATCAAGACTAGGACCTGTGACACCATGTACTGTAGATCCCGAACCCATCACGTTGAAATAGCTCTTAGCTCCATGTCCCCATCTCGCCTGGTTCGCAGACAGTAATGGTATCACAGTGCGTACAACTCCATGTGCAGCAGCATCGTGATGATTAATACGTTCATAACACTGACAGTTGAAATTTGAACGCCGGTCTTTTACAGTCTTGCAACAGACGTTTAGATTTTATTTGCCGTATTTGATGCGCGTAGTGTCAAACGCTGCATTGAAGCTACTTGCCTCCGAAGCCGGAGCGATTTGTGCGTCTCAATTCAGTCCTTCAATTTAACAACGAACGCCGTCGCTGTTGTCATAGCCGAAAGACGCACATAGATGTATCTCTAGGCCCTAGCGATAGGCTTCCCCATCTAATCACCCAGTTGTTGAAAGGACATAGCTCACTCTATTACCACTGCAGGTCGGTGAACTGGGCGCGGCATCGAAAAGAGCATGATCGTCACGGTGGCTACTGCTCAGTTGATAGGTGCTTTTTTGTACACACTTGGATACGGTAGGTTCTGTTACTCTCTAAGTTACGTATCCTAATTCTCGTGCCTAGGTGTTTATCTGGTAGTCTTTCCTCGATGTCTAGCTCTTCTCAGAAGGATGGAGGTGAAGGGTTACGTGTTAGTATATCTCCTGTTCACCTTGGTTGGGAGCTTCATTACAATCACAATGGTAAGTTTAGCTTTTACTGTGCGATATTATGCACTCGTTCAACGCTGTCTGCATTGCAGCATCTGATAGCAGACGTATGTCGTGCCATGTTCGCCTTTACTACGAATTGGGACCAACCGTCGTATCCCGACATGTATTATTCAAATCTCGACACGACCCTGACACTCACGAAGAATACCTGCTACATCATCGTGACCATCATCGCAGATGCACTGATTGTAGGAGGATGCTTCGTTTGTTTATCTTTGATTCCTTTCTGAATTGTTTTGACAGGTTTATCGAACCTTCATCGTTTGGAACAGGAGCTACCGAGTTATCATCATACCGATAGTCCTTCTCGCAGGAGATATTGGTAAGTCTTCTATGCGTGTGGTTCTTCTATCACTCTCCTAAACGTTGCAATAGCTACTTCCATATGGTTCGACTGGTCACATACGGCCGGTAGCCCTGCTGACATGGTCATACATTCGCCAACTTGGGCTTCTCTCAAGTATTTTTGCGCATTAACACTCGCGCTGAACGTTCTTTGTACATGTGAGTACTGGCTTCTATGACTAGTACGCACACACTGGTTTATCTCGTTCCTATAGGCATGATTGCTGTTAAGATATGGTGTATTCAAAGGGACGTCGATATGCTTGTCTTCCAGCGAGGCACTCGTCGTCTGAGTAAGATCCTTGCAATCATCCTGGAATCAGGTCGGTGAAAACTTTGAAGCACGTCATGTCTCTTATCTTCGTATCAAACCAGCTGCTATCTATTCCGCTTTCCTATTCGCTGTACTTGGTTTGACCATCGCCGAATCTGGTGCTATGTTCATTGTACTCAACCCGGTTCGTCCCATATCATCTTTCCAAGGTAGAAATGCATTGATCTGTAGCAAATCGACCTTCAGATCCCACCCGTTATTGTGGGTGTCATTTCGTTGCTTCACTCATGATAATACATGTATTGATGTTACACGTGTCGTAGGGTATTGTGTTTGCGTACATGATCATCCGCAGTTCCAACACCTCGTCTCGCGTTGACATGTCGGTCGCGCTTGCGCATCAAACTGAAAATAACCTCAGTCGACAAACGACAAGGCGCACACGGTCCCTCTCGAATAATTTCCATTCAGGCATGGATCAATCCAGCCAGTCGGATATTGGGACTGGCGCAGAAAGTTTACGGAAGGATGATCTGGATGCCTGATTATTTAGTTTGTATGATATTTTATCATTGTAGTTCATAGCTGAATCTTATAGAGTAGACATAATGTATTATTTCCACGCGATTATGTTAAACCATGCAAGACGTGAATCTGGCCTACTTGACCTCACGTATCATAATTGAAGCTATTTGCCTATCTGCATGACCTTTTGAAGATGTATGTGGGACATCAGTTGTCTGTAGAGGTTAGGTACGCTTAAACTGTGTTCTTGGTGAGGCTTGATCGTTTCTGTCAGGTGCACGATCGCAGGCTGTCGCCCGTATCTGGGTAGATGGGGAAGGTTTGTTGGTGCTTCAGAACGAGCGAGGTGAATTGCTTGAGCTTCGCATGATAACATGCAGCACGGTTCCCCGCAATAAGTCTCGATAAGGGCGAATGGCAAGTTCGAATATCGAACGACGTGATCTGCTTGACAATGATGCTGTACTCCAACGAATGATCTTGTACCTCTCTGTATCTATGGTCTTGGATGAAATAGGAATTTAAAATTGAAGTTCTATTTCCTCACTACAAACTCACCCATCATCAGCCATCTGTCCAAACAACCTGAAGGCTCGGGCGAGAGTTTCCAATTACTGCGGAAAGTAGATTAGATTGCACGATGTATAATACATGTGACGAGTTCACGATGCTTGCGCAGACTCGTCCGGGATCCTGGGAGCAGAGGTGGTTCGATAGTGCATCTACCTTAGTTTTCTTGCCCTATGGGACTTCCTTTGTCTGAAACATTGCGGTGATCCGAACTGTCAAAGCTGATGATTGATTGTGCGTAACCATGTAACCCTCTTGGTTTGACTGAATGAGGGGAGGTTGACATGTATGCGGAATGCGGAGGGGAGTCGAGGTGTATCTCGGTTTGGACGGGATCGTGCGTTTGAGTTGTATTGGAGTTGAGTACCGTGCTTTGCAGGACCGTCGTATTGCGTTTTTGCTCGGCGCTTCGGAGTATGACATACAAGAATACGATACCCTGTAATAACGATGTCAAGGGGAGACCGTGTGGCAAACAAACAGAAGACGAACAATCATGGGTGGCAGCTGGTTACGCCGAGGTCAAGCACGTTAATCTATTTTCTCCCTGTAAGAAGGGGAAAGACTAACCATGTTGAATATGATGTACAATGCATTACTTCTCGCGACGGCTAGTATCAACGCTAGAAAGAGAAACATCGAATAGATGGCAGCTAAACGTCCAAGTGAGATTCATGAGCCTTCAGGTAACAGTGGTGTTACAAACCTGATTCGATGACAAGCGCCAAAGCGCCATTGAGTCGTCTTTGCCTCGTAATAATAAATTTATTCAGAAGGTGACGAGCCCTGAAGATCTTGAATACGATCAGAGCTATAGACAGCAGATATCAGTGCTTGAACCATTGATAACTCCAAAGAATATGCACATGTGCAAATGAAATTTAAGCCCAGCGTCAATGCGAAAAAGGCGAGAAGCTGTAAGGATGGCGCAAAGAACCCGGTGGATGGAGGCGTCGCGGTGAGGCCCGTCGCGATGACAATCCAAACGGACTTTCCTGCAATAACAAAGTTCATACGAAGAACCTTCCAGCAGGATAGCAAGCACTTACCTGTGTCTGCGCAGCAGAGCACAACAGGAAACAAGATGATACGCCAGTCACGGTTCCATATCATGTATGTGCGGAAAACCTACGAGAAATGAATGCATGTTAACACTTAGACAATGCAACTTAGTAAATCATGCGTACGATCAGGACATCCATGATGAGCGTCGTGATCACATACCCCGACATCTTGAGGACATTCAGCCTATCATTGTTGATACTGTAAAAGTGGTCGGGGTAATTTGGTACATCAGAATGACTGGTGAACGCTTCTATGACTCGAGCGAAGTTCGCCGAAAGATGCTGTAATAAAAAGATGTGAGCTGTAGCACAAGCGATAAAGAATGAAGAACAACTCACAACAGTGATGGCTAGAAAACTGATTACGAGAGTGAAGATAAAGTAGTTCAATATCCTTCCCCTGAAGTCATTCCTTAGCAGGATCCGAATGCCCTGAGGTAGTATGGCGATGTATGCACCTAATCATAGATGAGAAACTTGTCGAAACAGCATATCATTGACACGTACCGTACATGAGTGCCTCCCAGAGGGTCCCACCAAGCTCGGCATTCGCTCTAGATAGCATCATACCACAGGAGACTCGCAAGGAATAACGACTTCAGCTCTCACTATCTCCAGACTTTAAACATGTCGGCACATCAGATAGTAATTACCGGCATGATCCATCGCACACCGGTGTCAACGCATCTAGAGAGCGTCATGGATTGACCTTGGACTTTTGAATGGAATCTTCCAGGTACTGTCAACCATGTGATGTAACTCAAGAAGAACTGATGAAGGCTATCCAAAACATACAGGATCGATGACAGCGTATGAGAGCATGTGCAAGCCGGCCGCCCTGTGTGACTGAGCAGAAGGAAGCTGCGAAGGAATCCCTTAAAGAGGCTACTATGCAAACCGTCTGAATGGCTCTGTCACTTAGTGCTATCTAGTTGCCATCTGCTTGAACGATTTGAGCTAGCAGACGTCTGTCACCTGTATATAGCTCGGGAGTATCGGAAGGGATTGCATGTCAACGTTAATCTAACTAGCGAAATAAGAGGACTAATATCAGTGGACCGGAACGCGACACTTAACAACTCGTCAAGGCGAGCATCGCGTCCAGATCAGAGACAAAGGATCGCCAGCTCAGAACTGAAAATTCGGACATAGAACGTCGAGCGCTCTTCATATTCCGACGGGTGAGGTAGGACGAAGACCGAGACGTTTGATTTACGATTGGCGTTTGTTTACCCAAGTATTGGATCCACCTGGATGATAACGATTGACTTGAACAAACGGTGGCCGCGAGAAGTATCCTGAGAATTCGCCTGACTGATTAGGAATAGAATAGCTTGCAAAACAAGCCGACGCTAGTGAACCGAGGACGGAGTAGACCCGCAAGTATGCTGGTTTCGAAGGCAATGAGAATCGAACTCACAGAAGGTCGAAATTCTATAACTCCGGTTGCACTCCTTCCGATCTTGCATTTGGTTCAAAATTACAGGAGAAAAATGGCAAAAGCGTTTGGTGACATTGCGACAAGCCAAACCTCAACAACTTTGCAGCGTGAGTGACGTGTCGACTGTACAGACACGCTTCATAGAACATCAATCTTGACAACGATTAAGCTTCGAAAAGATGTACAAACTGGATCCATCCAATTACTCCGTTCTATGAAGATCCTCGTCGTCTGCCTGAATTCCTCTAAACACAAAGGAAACCCTGATACCGGAAGTCAAATAGAGTCGTAAGTGGTGAACGAGGTCGAGTCGTTGATAAAAGAAAAGCTCGCAAGGCGCCGATAAACATCGGCGCAACGGTCCGATCGATCGGGAGCAGGCCTAATTCTTAGTCTGAAGGAACCACAATGTGACAAGACGCACTGCACTGTGTTTTACCGTTCAGAGTGCTCAGCTAGATAATAGCTCTGATGCATCCCCACTACCAGTGAGTGTCATTCCAGGCTTCATAGCTGCGTGAAATCTGAAATTGTCCGCGGCTAGTACGTTAATGACTCTACTTTCAAGTTGTTTGTCATGGATTCCTACTCTCTGAGTTCACGGTCATACAAAGAACCTTGTATAAGGATACTGAACTATAAATAATATCGAGCTGAAATTGCGTCGCAGGTTTAATTGCCCCCCACGGGGTGCACTTTACCGAGAAGATCCTTCAGATTCTGTATCGAAACGTCGTCGATCCACTTTCTTCCGACAGCAGCCAGTGTCAGCATTCCGCAATCCACATTCCAACACTTAAATACTTTTGTTGCGCCTCGTCTGGCCTGCATTCTAGTCGTAAGTTGCCGAAGTTCAATCAATATACCAATTGCATGAGAGGATCTAGGAGATTGCCAGAGTTGCCAAGAACAGCGTTCTACTATCATTATAGATACATCTTCGAGACATGGCCTGGGTCTGCTGTGACGTTTAGAATTGCTAGTCTGACATCTTCCGTTGAGGAAGTCGACCCTTCAACGTAGGATACACTGTGTAGTCCAACGTATTAAGAATGTAAATGTTCGCATAGTACATCGTATCCTCATGATCGGCCGGCAACATATATTCTCAGCGTTCGACCAAGTTGAATTAACAAATATATTGGTGAGCATAAAGTCGTCTATTGGCGGCAGCTCTCCGACTTCAGAGGAAAGCTTATGTAGCGGACAGGTAAATAAAAAAGTAGCGGAAATGAATATGAAGGGATATTTGTGAATACGTCACCTGCAAATCAAGTTTAAGGCATTGCTAGTTTCCCCGCTCGATAACCGAGTTGGCTGAGGTAGCGACCTCAGTCAGCTCTCGCTACCTCAGCCAGCTCCCTCATCGAGCGGGTACTTATCCCGAGGACCGCGAAAAGGTCATGCCAGGAACAGATACAACCGTGCGCGACGGTGTCTCCGACCTCCCTCAGGATCTTGAGGGTCGATGGTGGAACTTGAATCGACGTCGGGGGCTTGCCCGCATTCACACATATGCCCCAACAGCTCTTGTGGCTCGGCTCATTATCATCTCTTCAATGGCTATCCACGACGGGGGCTTGCCTTCTTCTTCAACTTGATCTTCAGGTGCCAGCTTGCTATGGTCCTATCCATGGGGCCCCGACGGCTGTGTTCAAGGGCTTTTTCTTGCTCTTGTAAGTGTCTTTCAGATGCCGTCTTGTTTCGTCGGTCTTACACAGGTGCCTTAACAGCTCTAGTGGCTCCATCCAATACCTTGAAGTCATTGCTGCCGAAAAGGGTGAGACGGCTGAGTGAGGAGAAACGCACCGAAGGATGTTCATGACCAACGCCACCAATGCCGATTCCGCCAGGGGGAAGAATGAATTAAAAGAGACATGATGACGGGCCACATGAGGATGAAAAGAAGATCAAACAAAGGCGCCAAGGTCTTGAGGAATTTTATGCGGTTCCACCCTCTTGAGAACATTGACGCCACACTGTCCCAACGATGATGAGGTCAGTATAATGATAGGTGGACACTATATAGCGGTCAGAAACGTACCATATCGTCATCCAAGGATGAGGTTGTCGAGGATGAGTCGTCAGCCATGTTACGCCACACGGCGACGACGATGAGCACTCACTAGGTGGTCCCATCGAGGAAGGCGTCGGCCAACGACTGAGCTCTGACTCAAGACGCATGAGAAAGGCAGCTGGCTAGAGAGGGGAGGATGGAAGCAGGAGACAAGAGATGTGAGGAGAGTCGAGTGAGAGTGGGGGAAATTTATACGCGGTCAGAGCTGAGTTCAATCTCCGTCCAGAGACTGGCCGTTTGCCGCCAAACCAACCACTGTCCCAAAACGGGCACAACATGTTGGACTTTCGGGACGATGCCGGAGGAACGGAGTACAATTTTTGCGCTTCTTTTGTTTGCGTTCCTTGGCTACCTGCCTTATTCATGCGAAACGGCTCTGCAAGGAAACATGTGGTTGATGTCATTCCAACATTTCGTTGTTCCAGATCACTTTGGATACGTCCTTTAGAAAGTCTTCTATTATCTGCCGATGATCACGGTGGGTAAGATGGGCGGGAAGAATGGAGATGCTCACAAAAGTGGCCAGCCGAAAATGACTGGAAGGTCATTAGTGGTTCTGCACTCATTTATCGAACTACAACAGCATCACTGATAGAAGGGCGACAACTGAAAGTGGTCAATGGATGTTGAGAGGATATCAGAGCGTGTAGGGACTGCCTGTATTTGTTGTCCGCGTGTTGCACCAGCATGTACCATAATCAGCACGAAGGCATCCATAAAGACATTGGTGAAAAGATACGCACAACAAATTTACCAAGACGCCCAGATACAACAATGAATAATCCAGGGCGGTAAAGACGGAGGATGTTTGGGTGGGACCGATAAGTTGGCTACATTTATACATATGAGAAATGCGTAGGACGGCATTCCCCATCCAATTACTCTACATCACCGGATGTATTACTGGGGTATACGATTCTGGGACAGCTGCTTCACATGAGAATCAAAGAAAAGGAATGTGAGGGAGGAAAGGAGGGACTTAGATTGTATAAATGAAGTCTGGATGTCGATCACCCAATTCTATCCACGCTTTCTCGTTGCATTTCCCCTCGGCATCGGTATAACGAGCTAGTAGCTCAGATCGTCTCTGTCGTTTGATTTTGTTCGCACGAGTAAGGTAGAGAAAGTTGATCAACGATCCTACAACAAGACCAGCGGAACTTGCAGGATGTTAGTCCAACATATGGAAAGAGTCAGAGACAAAACTCACAATACCATGTTCAATATAGTGGCCCGTCTGAACTTGGGACCTTCATTCGACGGAAAGCTCCAGGTGCTCAAAATACCACCCTGTGCAGTTATAATTGGGCAACCACTTTCGTAAAGAGCTGGTAAGAACATACCGCATTAGTTGAGACGAACCCTAAAGCAACGCTGGTTGCACGACGGTAATACGGCTCAGAATTGTTCGCGATCCAAGCCGAGATAATGGGCGCGGTAGCGTACACGCCTGGAACGGAGAGGAACAGAGATCCATACGCCATGGATACACTATCCGCGGCTAAGAATATCGAGAACCCTACGACAGAAAGCATGCCAAAGATCATGACAGGTATTGCGCGAGAACGATAGCGGTCTGAAAGGTATGCGCCAAATAACGATACTGCGGTCCATTTCGCCAAAAGGTGAGGCCAGGCAATGGGGCGCTCTGATAAGGTGATAAGACTCACCGAAGAAGGCGACGGCGAATGGGCCTACACTGATTAACTGAGTACGGGTAGCGCTGAATCCTAGTCGGTTAACGACAGATGGCAGGAAGAGGGCTTGGGCATAGACAGTCAGACCATTCCCGAAGAACATAATGAATGTGATGATGACGTGTGGCGAGGACAACGAGCGAAGGACCTCCCTCATGCTGAATGGCTCATGAACACCTACGGTAGGTCGATCCTTGGCAAGACGATGTGCAATGATACTGTGGTGTTGATTAAGACCGCGTCGTGCGAGCTGATGAACACCTGCTTACTCTTTCTGGGTTTGTGTCAAGAAACGAGAGTCTTGTGGTGTAGAAGGCACAAGGAAGAATGCGACGACTCCTACCAGAACCGTGAACAAACCTTCCTGTTGTATGACTCAAGATGGGTTGGATGAAGCTTCAGATAGAAAAGAAAACGGACAATGATGAAGATCCATGCCCATCCGGGTTTGCCTCCAATGCCGTGCATGTTCTGAATTGCTGCCGCGAGCAATCCAGAGAAGGCGCCAGACAAAGATGCCGCAGAGAAGAACAGAGCGATGCTTTGATGTAAATCAATTATAAGTGATATGAGAGGCGAATAAAGACAAGCATACCGCATAGAGAGCTCCTCTCTAGTGTAGAACCCAGACAAGTAAAGTACGATTCCGGGGAACATGGGACCTTCCACAAGACCTAAGAACGCTCTGGCGGTTACTAAACCAGCAAATGAAGACACTACGCCTGGAAAGGAAACGAATCAATAGACTATGGAATTTGCGTGAAGGTACATAAAGTAGTCACCATGAAGAGTAACGATTGCACCCCAGATAACAAGTAAAGAAGGCATCAGCAGACTGGGTCCAATCCTTCGGAGGAGAAGATTTGACGGCAGCTCAGCCGCGATGTAGGGTCTGCAGGGACTAACATTGAGCTGTACTCCAAGAGAAGAGGTTCAGAACCAACACGAAGGTGACCGTGACCGCCACCTGATATTGATGATCTGTTAAGTGTAGATCTGCTTGAAGACCAGCGACGCGAGCGTTCCCTTTGGTCGGGAGTGTTAACCAGAGATTGAATTGCAGTAGAGGTGTACTCACCGATGTTGGCTCTATCCTACACAGCCAACGCTTAACGCAGTGCGGCGTCAAAATATGTTGTTACATACCAAGAAAGATAAAAGATAGAACATAGTCATCAAAGGCAGCACTGTACAGTCAAGTTTCCGTACGGCTCGCTTTTCCGCGAGTTCGTCGACAGGATCAGCTTCCCATTCCGAAGATTCATTAGGATGCCCATCTTTCACCGTCTTGATGGGAGTGCTATCGGTATCGGACATGACGTACAGGGCAGTTCAGAGGGGCAAAAGAAAAGAAAAAGAAGGGATGAACAACACGATGGGTGCCAGATGGCAACGATCTGCATGATATATACTTTCTCGCCTGAGAAATGAACATTGGCACAACGTAACGGTGTAAAAGCGGTCAGTGTGTTGACATGGCACTACATTCAGTACTCAGTGGTCTGTTTGCCATCGCTCTATAATAGATCGCGTTGGAAGAATCATCAGGAACCAATTCTCGTGAGAGGGGAATCTGAAATACCTTTCGTTGCCATCAGTTCCATTGGACAGTTCCAAAAGTCACACAGGCGATTTTCTGTGAGAAACTAAGTATGTTGCATTGTCACTGCATTCTAGAACGTCTCTAATGGTAACAAGAGTCTAGTTGACGAGGACAAGTAAAATGAAGGAAGACGGCCAGATGGACTCGGACGTCACCAAGAAAGGAGGTGCACCGTGCACAGCCACCCCACACTATTCGAATCTTTGCTTTCTACCGCTAATATCACTAGCTGAACCTCAGTTTCTTTCTTTTCAACTTCGATGACATCTTTTATTATCAAGGCACACGAGGGACGTGAACTCCCAGACTCCTGGAAGCAAGACCCAGATTGTCCGTTTTGCCGCATTATTCGAGGGGAATCTCCCGCCTTTCGCGTTTACGAGGATGATAGAATAGTCGCAGTGCTAGGTTAGTGCGTGGGGCTCACTACAGATTCGTGTAGAGTTCTGCCAGGGATGTAGGTTAATCGTCTTCCCTCGAACTCTAGATATTCTTCCTCTGAGAAGAGGTCATACCCTTGTGATACCCAAGACGCACTACAAGCGAGTCTCTGAATTGCCTCCAGACTTCGCAGCCGCGACTGGTGCTGCCATTTCACACATCGCAAACGCATTAACTAAAGGTCCGGGATGTGTTTGTTACTGGCCTTAACTGATCAACTTTTTGAATAGCTTTGGATAACACGGGTTTGAATATCGTCTGTAATCAGGAGTATGCTCAAGCTGTTCCGCATGTGAGGATCTCCTAAGCATGATAACCAAGAACTTGCACTTCCCTGTCTGCCTAGGTTCATTATCATATCATCCCTGCACCTAGCTTTGATTCCAAGGTCGTCGAACAACCGGATCACGTCACGTTGCCTCTGACACAGAAGGAGATGTTCAAGGCAGAGTTCGAGTCGCGAAATGAACTTGATGAAGACGACGCTCAAGCTCTCGTCAGCAGAATCCGCGCTCGCCTCTGATGTCTTACCGTGTGGACTTTCATGCAGCTTCATACACCTAGAGAACCATAGAAGCAATGATATCTTCATTCTCGGATTCTTAATCACTGTGCAACTACTGAACAAAGAAGGTTTCCGTTGATGGTTACAATGACTCAGACCCTAAAGCTCCCGTACAAGTACAAAAAGCAACTCAACAAATTCCCCAGGTTCATACCGTTACATTAAGTCGTTGCTTTCACAGATTTCATACCATCCGTCTTCCATGCGTCGTCCCAACCCAATGCACTTCGATCCCAAGTTCCCTCTTCCTGGCCATGAGAAACCCAACCAAGAACGTCCATAACAACCCCAGCAGCTCTCACAAAGATCGTCCCATCCGTCTTGCTCGTACCTTTGTGCGTCTCCTCTCCATTAGGCTGGAAAGCACCAATGGCACCTCCAGCTGGAGTAGTTCCGTATTTCTGTGCTGCATAGTACAACGCGCGGATGGCTTTGACAGTATGTGGGTCCGGGGCGTGCAAGACGGAAGCGACGATTGCCGGCCAAGGATTTGCAAATTCATCTCTCCTAGGGTCTCCAAGTGCGGAGGAGTCGGGCGCTGGGGCGTTCTCGGATTTGGGCGGGCGTGGATTTGCGGTGTAGGACATCATGAGTTCGGGGTCAATTCGGGGTCGACCACGCATTATCAAATACAACAAGAATACGGGAAGCGTCGCACGAAGGAGAAGGGCCTTGGACTCTATCGTTGGGATGGCATTCAATAGCGAAGGTACGAAGAGGGTGACGTTCAGCATATGCATCAAAAAGAAGTCCAGGCGTGGTTTTCGTCCTCGTCTGCCTGATCCAGCGAACAGGAGAGTTGTGAGCCATAGCAGTTCTTCCACTTTCTCATCGAGTTCCCGTTGTCCTCTGGTGATATCCACTTTCCATAGGGCAGAAAGGCGCTGGATTTCCTCTGCTCGCCCATCTTTCACAGCGTCCCGCCGTCTCTTGCTAAGCAAAGCATCCGGGTCGTATGGCATCACTGGATGTAAGATGGGCGAATCGTACGCTTCCTTGAGAATGGATAGAAGTGACCTTCCTTGTGCAGGCTGACGGTGACTAGAATCTGCTGCATTCGATTTCACGCCACCTGTTTGATTGCTCAGCTCTTGCAAGTCAAATATCTCAGGTGCGAAGGGAGAGTGGGCTGCGGCTTGAGCAAGAGCTACATATACTGTCAAGATAGTTCCAATCTGCGCTCAGGACGGGACTCACCTTGGGCTACCATGACATCACTGCCGAACTCGACGCCATACTAAACCCAGAGGTTAGTCTGAAAGTGTTTTGATACGCACTTGGGATGCTTACTCCCGTCTGGATCATGGGGTGGACACTGCATACCAGTTGTTGGTTAGTCCTCAAAACATAGACTGGTTTTGCACTCACGCTCCACTGACAAATCTCAGTAGCATACATGATCCATTTCCATTCGCAGCATGCGAGAAGACATAGTCCTCTAGGGTCTGACCAATTCCCGACGTTTGGATCTCCTTTGCAAAGAATTCCAGATAGTCCGCATACAAGCTGCTCAGAGTCAATCTCGAAATATACTCTGTATTCTGAGAGTCAGGAGTGCTTACTGCTCGTAGTCAGTACCCAGATATTGGGTCCAGTTCCCTCGAGTTATGGTCACTGTATATGGCTCTTTCGTTGTACTTGCATCAGGACGAAGAGGGTTCAAGCCCTTCTTTCCCTCATCGTAAATAGCCTCTAACAACTTGGCTGGTGCGCCAAGGTCATACGCAGCGAGCAGACTGTAATTGTAAGAAATCGCCCAGCAACAACCAATCACGACGTGCGACTTACTGATGACTGGCGTGATTGTGGAATCCACCTTTCCCAAAGAGACAATGATGGGTTTTTCTATCATCGTCGAGCAGTCGTTCTACGGTTGCTTTAGATTCCGCAGTGGCTCCAGGAACATTCAGGATACCCTGATGAATGGTAGGCGGAAGAGATGCGGACATCGCGGACGCAGGACGCAGGAAGTTGCCAATCGTTTGTAAGCGTTGAACTGCTCGAAGAGACATAAATACCGTTGTTGATGAAGGTCCCCTCCTATACATATACACAGGGTGCGGTCATGAGACAGCTTGATCCATTCGTATGGCTATACGCAGGCTTCCGGCATTAAGGAGCGTGAGGAGCTACCCTCCGATCCAAGTGGATTGACGTTTCACAGCCTCAATATTTCGTATGTAAGCTTTAGACACAAAGATTCTTGTTGCGTGAGCGAAGCCATATACTCGTACACACCCCTATCATGTTCTTGTATGCTTAGGACTATAGATACGAGACACTGGTACCTATCATCTTGCTCAGTTTACAATGCCCAAAGCCGACAGCCAACACTCAGAGCTGATGCTTCTCAAGGAAAGCTAATATTTCAGAAGCGATTTCCTCCAGATGTGTTTCCCTATGCAGCCAATAGTTGATCAGCATCTCCTTTGGCTACAAGAACTGGTGAAACAACCTACAGAGCAAAGTGTCCGGTGTCCAACAATTTTACCTGTACATCCGGAAGGTCTTTCTTGTAAGCCTCTGCACCAGCAGGAACGAAAATCTGGTCGTTCTTGCCCCAGATCGCAAGCGTAGGCGGTTTGTGTTGCCTGAAGTACTTGTGGAACGTCGGGTAGAGCACAACATTGGTCTTATAATCCAGGATTAGGTCGAGTTGGATATGTGCATTACCGGGGCGCGTCATCAAATAGTAATCCAAATGGTACGTCTCGGGAGCAATCGATTCAGGATTAGGTGCACCAGACACATACTAGAAGAAAGCGAACTTGATCAGAGACCAACTCATACTACTGTATATGATCATATATCACATACCTGCCATTTGGTGGATTCCAGAGTTAGGAGATTCCTAAGATTCTCGCGGTGTCCTTCGGGATCTTCCCAGTATGCTTGCACGCTTTCCCAGAAATCACCAAGCCCTATCATGTACGCGTTCCCATTCTGGCTGATGATGGCTGTCACGCTACCAGGGCGGTCCAGCATGAGTCTACAAGGTTATGAAAGAATTCGCATCAGACTCACGTAGAAGACCAAAGCATTAGATACTTACCTCAACCCCGTAGGTGCACCATAGTCGAATATGTAGATGGCATATTTCTCAAGTTTCAACGCATCCACGAATGCCCCGATGGTCTTCGCGAAAGAATCGAATGTATACGCATACTTTCTCGCCTCTGGAACGACCGTGAAACCAAAACCGGGAAGGTCGGGTGCAACTACGTGGTACTTGGTGGCTAGCAGAGGGATGAGATTGCGAAATTGGAATGATGAGGACGGGAAGCCGTGGAGGAGGAGAATATTAGGGGCAGAGGAAAGACCGGCCTCTCGATAGAAGACTTCAACACCCTCGTCGACAGTTACTGTTTTGGTTTGAGGGACGATGAAAGACATGATTGTAGCTCACCAGCTAACAATGATAGAAAGTGGATGAGGAGGATGATTTTCAGTCAGGAGGCCCATGAAGTCGACAAGTTATAAGTTCCGACATCTTCAGCAGATAGTACAAATGATCACCGGCTAGGTAAGAGAGACACACAGGAGACTACCGGCATGACGGATATGCGTGTTTCCAACAAACTGATCGTCATTTCGAAGCAGAGAAACTGACCCCTGACGTCGTCCAAGCACATGATTCGGATTCCAACGTGTGGTAAGTACACGGACAGCGTCCTGCCGAGCTAGTCAACTTCTCAAAGGATCAGTCAGTTGTCCATGCTCGTCCAGCGATCACCATCTGGAAGGGCATCCATGTCTGACAGAAAGATTTACCAACAACCACCGGCGTTCGGCCTGTCTGATGAGAGCAACGTTGAATGATATGAACAACTTACCAAGATCACAGCAGTCGGCATCAAGCTGACTAAATCTGGGTCCCACGCGGGCTTGATTTGGAAGGGATGAAAGAAAATCAGCGACGTGCATGCAAATAAGACCTATACGATTACATAGAAAACAAGGAGATGCGACTGAAATATACAATGACGATGCGAGTTCCGAGTCCAAATGATCGGTCCATAGAGGAAAAGCCTGGAAGTGCAGACATAAGCATAGGCTTCCGTATAACGCAACGTCCCACAATCTTCATCGACTGTTGCAGGCAATGTGTAGCAACCAGGATGTGATGATGGGAGGCCACGACGTGCTAAAAGATGCCGCGAAGAACCGAAAGGCCTCTGTATTGAGTTCCTTGGGCCCGAGCGACGTGAGCCAAAAATACCACGACGGATAGAGCGACATTATGTTGTTGGCGTTTCAGGTGGGTTGACGGCTCTCAAATCCCCAACCAGACGCTAGAACACAGGTCAGTCAGAAAGGTTAAAGAGAAGACAAGTTGACTATATTTACCAATGCCTCTGCTTCGAGATCCAGAGTTCTACCTTCCAATCCACACTTGACACCATAGTCCAGTAGTTGCGCCATGAAGTAGGGATTGATGATTGCCTCATCTTCCTTCAGCTTCGGAGGCGGAGGCGGCGGTGTAGGTGGACGAGGGGGTGGAGGCGGAGGCGGGGGTGGGGGTACAGTTATAGGTCCAGCTGCCAAGGTGATTTTAGTTCAGTCATCGTAGTAGGAAGAAATACTTTACTCACGTTGCTCCCTCAGAGTCAACCAATCTAACGACAAAAGCTGAGGAATCGTCGCTCGCTCTTTCGGATTGCGAGTGAGGCACATCTTAATTGTGGTTATTACAAATGACGGAACAGGAGTTTTGAGGTGTTCCAGCCGTGTCGGTGAAGCAGGTGAGCCATTCTTGGAAGCCGGGATGGTGGGTATTGAGTAGTCAGGGAAGTCGATAACATGTGAGATATCGGGAATAGCCTTCATCTTTTGGTATACAGAAAGGTGTTGGAAAGGTGGGTATCCATAGACCATTTGGTATAAGATACAACCAAGTGACCAGATGTCACTTTGTCGGCCGACCTTGAGACGGCGCATACCATCCGGCAGTTCGATGGCTTCTGGGCTCATGTAATTCACGGTGCCGATCTGAAGCAGCTCTATCAGAAAATGGTGGTCAGTCTACCTATAAAGACAATGCGTACCTGGTGATCTCGCTGAATGTTGGTGGTATCATTCGCGATCGCATTAGCAATACCAAAGTCGATGAGCTTCAGTTGCCCCTTGACGAGGACGAAATTCGCCGGCTTCAGATCAGAATGAACGATCTTCTCTTCATGTATGATATGAACAGCCTGTAACATCTGAAGCAACAACACCCTCGAGTGAGTTGCCACATCTCAAAAAAGCGGTATAGACACACCTGCTTCCAGTAATACGATATCCAAATGAGGTCCATAGGTTCCTTCTGCTGTTCTTGCAGTAACCTCGCCAAATCAATTTCCCCACACTCCATAACCAGCATCAAAAGTCCCTTGGATCCGCCAGGCCCAGCCTTAACTTCACTATCAATGAGACGAATGATCCTACTATTGCCATCCAGGCGTTTCAGAAGGGCAATCTCGTTCATGTAACCGCTCATGGTTTCAGCATCAGTCCTGTCTAAAGATACTCGCTTGATTGCGAAGATCTCGTTGACGTTGTTCATGACACGGTAGACACGGGATGAGCCACCCTTGCCGATCATATCCAAACGAACATATACTCGCTTGTTAACCTGAAATACGCGTCTTGGTCAGCCTTGCAGCAAATGTAGTAGCAATGGCGAAAGGACGCCTACCACCATATTTCGCGTGACAACCTGCGGAACAGGAACGTTCTGTTGCTGTCGTTGTTGCTGGGAAGACTGTCCCGATGCGAGGGAAGGTGCCGATTTCGTCTGTTGAAGAGGGACAGGTGGTGGAGGCATGGAGGGGCCATTGTTCTTCGGGATGGAGATAGGTCCATTTGGACTCTCATCCGAGAAATTGTCAGATTCCCGTCCATCGTTCACCGCCCAAGTTTTATAGAGTGCGTTGCCATTCGCGCCCGGCGGAGCGATCATCTCGCTTGTTGTAGGTGCCTCAGGTGCAGTCGGACTTCGTCGATGGCGAAGAGATACGGCAGCGGCATTGCTAGATGAGATTGAGGAGGCTGGATAATAGCGATTTGGAGGTGAATTCCGTGAATGTTCGACTACGGTTGGCGAGGAGGCAATTACAAGGTTAGTACCCATGGAACGTAATGTATCTGAATCTTTGCGTTGATGAGTGTAGACCGGTCGAAGATGGGAGTGAGTCGCGACATGAGTTGGTGAAGGTGTGTGTTGTCGTTCAGAAGAGATGGGTGGTTGCTGTTCTGAGGCAGCAGCACCTGTCAACAGGTGAAATCGTTAAGTTCCATTTTGGCATTTGTGACAGACTTACGATCGGCTTCTACAGCTTCTTCAGCCTCCCTTAACGCGTAACCTAGACATATCATGAGTATATGCGTGCATCAAACCGCAAGGTCGTACATACCGATCTGGCGCTCTTGTCTGAGCTTCTCTTCCAAGGTGACCCTTCGAGCGCCACGACTTACGCCCACTCGGGGAAACTGGTGCAGCTGCGGAAGAGGGCCCTCATCCATTTGACTCTCGCTTAGGCTAGCAGACCGACGAGGTCGAGTAGCCGTAGGCACAGAGCCGGACGCAGACGACGACGATCGTGGGCGGCCCCCATCATACTCTGCATGAGATAATGAGATTGGAACGTAATGAAATAATCGAGACTCACCATCCTCTGTCTCAAGAATGGGCTCTGTCTTTTTCACGAGACGAGCAGCGCGGGATGGCACAGGCAATACCTGGCGACCCTGCGCAGAGAGACTACGTTGGGGCACTGGAACAACTTCAGCAAGTGGCCGTGAAGACGCCGATGATGAGTTAGAGGCTGGAGGTAATGCATCTGCATTCTCCTTCTCCCTAGCCTCCAACGGCCGCTTACGTTGTTTAGCTTCTTCTGCCGTACCATCCTTTACTTCTTCTCGGATAACGCGACGTGCCCCTCCAATTTTTCTGGAAGTACTACTTAGACCAGTAGAAACAGGTAGACGAGCAAACGACGCGGCTGGTGTTGACGAGAGTGAAGGATTCAGAGCTAGTGACCCAGATGCGGCGCGTTGAAATGAACGTGGGGCCGAAGCCTGGTCGGTCACGGATGGTGCACTTTCGGATCTTGAGAGAGATGCTCTACGAGACGATGAAGGTATAGGAGATTCAAGATTGATAACTGGAGATGCCTGTTCCGACGAGGAAGTTGGGGGGCTTGACCTATTTGAACGGCTTGACAGCCGCGGTGCTGGACCATCTCTAGTCCAGTCGAAGAACAAAGAGGGCTCCTCATACGAGATAGAATCGTCGGACGGTGTTGGCGATGGATGCGAGGAGTATTGCGGTGGCGGAGGGTCTGCTTCGGAAGACGACATGGCGGACGACGGTCGGTGCGGTGGTGAAGACGATAGCGGGACGGATTCTTGATAACTTGATAGCGACATCATGGAACAATCTTAAGGACGAAAGCAAAGGAGAGCTGGCGAAGAAACAAAGCGCGAACAGCGAGCAAAGCGAAAAATACAGAGGCAAGAATTCCAGGCAGCAATTGGCTGGGCCTTTGTTCAACTTGCCAAAGAACACGAGGCGGCATACTCTCACGTGCAGCGCCTCGCCTGAAGTCATTTCGCTCGTTCCTTTGCTGGACCTTACCATTCACTCTGCTTGAAAGGTGCATCTTGTACAGACGATGCGTAGACTCTTGGGTCAAGCGGTGGTATCTTATGGTGTGCGAAATGCATACTTTGTAGAACAATGGGCCTAAGCTGCAAGTATGACGCCCAGATTCGAGCGCTCGGACGCGTCGCTGTGTCTGCACGTGGCCGCGACGGGATGCAGGAAAAACAAAAGTTTTAGGGATGAGTTATTGCAAAACTATCATACAATGTCGAAAGAATAGCAAGGTGAATATCAGTACAACAGCGCGCAAGGTCATGAATTAGCAGCACCCCTCTCCCCTACACTCCCCAATGCTTTCGGCATTTTACGTTCGCCAGAGGCAAGTTGTTCGAGGTCGGCAGGCTTGAAGTAGTGAGGTGCAACTAGAGGAATATAGTTTCATGTTAGCCCAACTCACAAACAGGCTAGAAAAATAACGACGCACCTTCGAGAAGCCATGAAGGTTTAATCTCCATCACTTGTCTACACATCGACAACGTCAGTATAATGAATGAGCACTTTAAAGAGGCGAAACATACCGCATGTACGACTTCGACGTCATTACCAATTCGTAGTAAAGAACAGCCTTTATTGGTGGTGTGTGGTTGAACAGACTTGATGATGGATGGACATGTACTGTCTGGTTCGTCTTCAACGTACGATACGAGTCGCCGCTCTTCTGCAGTTGAGCCTACAGAAGCAAGGAGGGTCAGTTTACACCTACCATGAGAGAAAAGACTTATTTGCATACCGTATTGTAAAAGTATCCAGCAGTGATGGCCTTCTGTATCGGCGTGATATCGTTCGTATTGGGGTTGCTCTGAACCACAACTTCCACACGCTCGCACAATCCAGCCAACTGGTCTCGAATATCACGAGCTCGGCTTAAGCTCTTGAACTGCAAGAACTGTTCATAGCAGAACTGTTGTGAGTAGTTCGTCTCCGCCCATTGTTCCCAGACATTCAGCAAAGTGAAATGGTCTCCACCCGCACGAACGAAGTTCTGACGAGCTTGGTCGGCATGCAGCTTCTTGTCTTTAGGTCGATAGAATAGTGACCCTGATTCTTGCAACATGGAGATAATGGTGAGCACCTGCGAATTTTATGGTTAGTACCCAATATTGGCGACCACTTAAATCAAAGAACACATACCTCATCGGTACATGAATAGTCCTCGCTAGCAATGATGGCCTTGCTCAACATCGGGTCAACAGGGAACTCCGCCATCCTTCGACCAAGCTTGGTCAACTCCCCTCGGTCGTTCAACGCACCCAAAGCATACAACAGCTCCAAAGCCCGCATCAACGTTTCGCCCGGAGGAGGATCCATGAATTCAAAGCCGATGAGGTCATTGATACCAAGAGATTTGAGCAGTAGAACGACCATGCCGAGGTTGGTACGCTGAATCTCGGGCACGGTGTTCTCTTCCAATTCGTTGGCGTACGCCCACTTGGTATACAATCGGAACGCCTTGCCAGGACCGACACGTCCAGCTCGACCCGCTCTTTGATTTGCCGATGCACGCGAACACTGTAAATGAATCCGGTCAGTAAACATCAAGATCGGAGTGGAGAGATTCGAACTTACAGGAACGACCACGAGTGAAGACATTCCTGTCCTCGGATTATACGAGTTCTGTTTTACGAAACCAGGATCGATTACGAAGACGACGCCGTCGATCGTGATGGAGGTCTCGGCGATATTCGTCGCCAACACCACTTTGCGAGCACCCTCAGGTGTGGGTTCGAAGATCTTGGCTTGCATCTCACTGGGCAAGTTCGCATAGATCGGACAGATCATAAGCTCCGCTATTTTGTTCCCCAGAGCTCTTGCAGTTTCTTGCAAGTTCTCCTGCGCGGCCTCGATCTCGTCTTGACCCTACGAATAAGGATGTAAGACAAATGGTCCAAGACATAGAAAAGTGTGAAGACGTACTGTGAAGAAGACCAAGATATCGCCTTTCGGCTGTGTGGTGTGAATCTGGAAGACGGTAGTGATGGCGGCGTGGAGATAATTGGCTTCAGGTTGGGGAGTGTAATGGATATCGACAGGGTATCGACGACCAGGAACTGAGGGAATTGATGTAAGGAATCGCCTCGGAAGTTTATGATGATGGAATAGGAACACGTACCATAGAATACGGGAGCATTGTCAAAGTACTCCCTAAACTTCTCTGCATCCATTGTCGCACTGGAAATAAGCAACCTGAGCTCTGGTCGGAATCTTGCGATATCCTTGACAGAATAAAATTAAAACACAATTCAGAAACCTAAGAGAAATATCAGATAGCGTAAAGACGCACCTTCACAAGAGCAAACAGAATATCCGTACTCAGTGTCCGTTCATGCGCCTCATCAATAATCAAAGCAGAGTACCCAGCCAGATCCGGTTCCGTTAGGAACTCGCGAAGTAGCATACCATCTGTCATGTACTTCAAAACCGTCTTGTCGCTAGTGCAATCCTCGAATCGTATAGAGTAACCGACTTCGTAACCGACTTTCGTACCCATCTCGTCGGCGACACGCGCAGCGACAGACATGGCTGCAACACGACGAGGTTGAGTACATCCGACTTTCAGCCCGCCTGCGGTATACCCAGCTTCGTGCAGGTATTGAGGAAGTTGAGTGGTCTTGCCAGAGCCTGTCTCTGCGACGACAATAAGAATCTGATGTTCCTTGATGGCTTCCAAAAGTTGCTCTCTGTACTGGTAAATCGGCAGAGACTTGCGGGTTTCTTCAATGGTTTCGGCTGGAAATAGAAAGTAGATCAGACATCTAACATAGCTTCCAGAAGACACCTTGTAGCTTACCTCGCCTCTCCGCCTCTTCTATCTGTTGCTGCAGGAGCTTGTCCTTCGCGCTTATCATTCCCTCGCCAGCCAACGTCCGGTCCATAACAAACTGGATTGTCTGACTCTCGTCAAACACATAGTCGTACTCCATGACCAGTTCGCGCTTGTCCAACGCACCGGTCTTGAACGTACTATGCTTGGCCTGAGCAGCCTCCCATTGGTCTACGTCAGTTGTAAACTGGTCGTCTTTAGGTTTCGCCTCTTCGTATCGCTTGTACAGTACGTTCTCTTTCTTCTTCCTGTCTATCTTTCCTTGCTCCGTGATATAGTCTTCCGGGAGTTGATAGCCTTCCCATTTGTCGTCGATCTTGAGACGTTCCTCGACAAGACGCAAAAGCTCCTTCTTCCGGTCAAGTTCCTTTCGTTCCCGTTTAGAAATCTTCATGCCACGGAAGAGTGCCTCATCATCCTGGATTTCCTTGCGAAGAAGTTCTATCCGCTGGATTTCACGTTTGGTGAGATATTCTTGTCGTGAATGTTCTCGTAGGTTGGGCATAGCATGTTCCCGAGCCCTTGCATCGTCTGCTAACCGACGACGTTCAGCAGCCTCAGCAGCAGCACCAACGGCTTTGGATGAGCGGTCCTCAACCACACGCTTCGTCTTCTCCTTGTCCCTCTCCTTGACACGTTCCGCGAATGCATCTCTCTCGGCAAGGTCTTGGAGACGCTGTCGCTCTCTGCGGGTGTCCTCGTCTTCTTCCTCCTTGTACGGAAGCTCTTCATCGACATGATGTCTCCCATCTTGATAGTCGTCAGCTCTCAGTCGTTTCCTTGACTGCTCCTCCTCATCGCTCTCCCATTCTCGTGCATCGCTTTCCCTCTTCCGCGTATGCCTCTCCTTCTTGTCCTTTGCGCTACTCTTCTTCGCAGCCTTCAGCTCAACCACATCACTGGTACCAGCTTCTTCCTCAAGCAGAAAGTCAAACTTTTGTGATCGAAGAGCTTTGGCTTCTTGTTCCGCCTTGCGAGCACTGTCGGACTTCTTATGTTTGGTCTTTCGAGGAACACGCGAGTAGACTTCCTGAATGAATTGGTGAGCCTGTGAAGTGTCTGGTAAGCCAGAGGCGTTGAGTGCGGTGAAGAGAGCTTCCGGTGACTTTGCGTGGGAGGCTAGAAATATACCTTGTCAGACCCCACGACCGAAAACTACTAGATGACTACTTACCTGATGCTAAGACGTAGTCGACGATACTCCGGTCAGAAAGACCGAACAACTGGAGAATAAAATCAGTGCCATTACTTATAGAGTTTACCAATAGCACTCACCACAAGTGCGTTGTCGCTAATGTACCGGTCGAGCTCAGAGGACATGGAGGAGTTGTTTGGAGGTCAACGTCTATGGTGCTTCGAGTGAAGTGCATGTAAGCGCCCATGATCATGCTTAAGTCATCGCCTAAACAGGCAATCTCCTGCAGACTTTGTCGGGAGTCAACCTTTTGCCTTAGCTCACTTATCCTCAGCCTCCTCAGCTTCACTTCACTCATACTTGGATCAACGGAGCGTCCAAGCTATTCAAAATGCGTTATTACGAACAACGGTACCCGGAGGTGGACGAACTTGTCATGGTGCAAGTTCGTCAAATTGCAGAGATGGGAGCCTATGTCAAGCTGGTACGCAATGATCAAACATTCCTGAGTAGGATGCACTGAGTAGATGTTACTGTCACACAGTTGGAATACGATAACATCGAAGGAATGATTCTCCTTTCTGAACTTTCCCGTAGGCGTATTCGATCGATCCAGAAACTCATTCGAGTAGGTAGAAATGAAGTCGTCGTTGTTCTCCGTGTGGATAAGGAGAAAGGTGCGTTCAAAACATATAATCAACTCACACTGCTCGCTCAAAGAAGTGCAGGATACATTGATCTCTCAAAACGTCGTGTCTCGCCCGAGGATATCACAAAATGCGAGGAGCGTTACATGAAGTCAAAAACTGTCGCTTCCATCATGAGACATGTTGCCTCAAAAACTGCCTACATTGGCGCCGATGGTGAGGAGGGCTCCAGGGAGGCTGCTGAAGAGCACGAAGAAAAGACCAAGAGGAACAGAAGGGCGAAGAAGGAGGCTCATGATGATGAAGCGCCTATAGTGGATGAAGGTGCTCCTAATGCTTCCAACGAGGAGGAGAGGCTAGAGCAGCTTTATGAGAAAGTCGCTTGGCCACTCGGAAAGAAATACGGACATCCGTATGATGCCTTCAAATTGGCACTAACGTCAGTCGATTCTACACTATGCTATCCCAGCCTCACTAATAATCGAAATTCAATCAGAGAGCCAGATGTTGTCTTCTCGTCCTTGCCGGAACCAATCCCCCAGGGGACCCTCAACGTCCTTATCAGCACCATTGCACGACGGCTGACGCCACAACCTATCAAGCTTCGTGCGGATATTGAGCTCACTTGCTATACTCCTGCTGGTATCGACGCTATAAAGAAGGCTCTTCGTGCGGGAGAGCAACAAAGCACAGAGGCTGTACCAATCAAAGCCAAACTCGTCGCTCCTCCGTTGTACGTGTTAAGCACCAATGCAACAGACAAGGTTTGTGCTATTTATGTACAAAGTTGTTATGTTGATGTTGATTATCATTTAGTATGCTGCCGTCGATCGTCTGGAGCGTGCAATTGAGTCCATCCAGGGCACTATCGAAGAGCAGGGCGGGGCCTTGGTCGTGAAGATGAGGGTAAGTGCAATTGCTAAGTGCACTGTTCGTATGCTCACGAAGTGCACAGCCCAAAGCCGTCTCAGAAACCGAAGAGCAAGACCTCGCTCAACTCATGGCAAAGGCTGGACAAGAAAATGCAGAAGTATCTGGCGACGAAACTGAGGAAGAGGCATTGTAGATCACCCATATTCGCGGGATGGCGTATTCCCAAGTGTAACCGGAGTACATATATTTGTATTGTAGGTCTGATGCGTATCTCATCCTTGGTATCTCGATTGACTGACCAAGGCTGTTCAGACGTATATCTGTCAAATTGTATCGATGACTAGAATGATGCTTATTGAGCTCATTAAGGAGGGCTTGGCGTTTAGTGGAAACGCGTCGCTCCGTGGGCGGACGGGGGTGGTGGCTTCTCATGCAATGTGTTGGCCTAGCGCCATAACACCCCAATCTTGCCCAGCACGCCCACTGTTCCTGATCAGTGAGCTTTGATCTCACTTCTGCTCCTTACTGCTTCTGGATAGTCAGGAGACATTGCAACGCCTGGATGGTCGTCGTCCTTACCTTTGAAGTAGGGCTTATCTTCCAGGATGAGTACGCATAGACATGGAGATCAACTTCCAAGATGCTTGATGTGCTGCACTCCGGTGATGTACCGTGTTAGTTGCACTTTCAGGGGTTACAACTCTAGATACCGAAAGTGCTTCCGCACGCACCAACGTGGATGAGTTATGCTTGAGTTATTCAGAGCATGTATAGACTCCGTGACTTGTCGGAAGATTCAAAAAGATGGTGGCTTACCTGGAATGCAGCAGGCGGTAAGAATATTTGTGAGGCGCTCAGCGGACCGCCTGAGCCTTGTTACTCGCGGAAGCAGATCGTGTGGTGTGAATCGGTCGTCGTTGTGGGCCACAGCGAGCTCACGCTGTTCGTCGTCGTCGGACGCAACGAGCAGTCGCAGACAGTTATAATAGTCCCGGATCCAGTTCTATCTGTCAATCTGTGGATCATCCCGTCAGTATCAGACCCTGGTTAGTTGCTCTGCAATGGCTATGAAACAGCATCAATCAACCCACGATATAGCGTCCCATTAGCTCCCTATATCCCCGTCGTCCCTCTTTTCTTCCGACCACCATCTTCCTAGTCCTCCATGGCCGACCAAGAGCTCCAGCTACCGCCTTCGCTTGACCTACCACCGCACCTTTCCGCCCACAAATATTTCTTTGTGTGCACCTTGACGGTTGCCGCTTGGGATACACTCGTTCTCTCACCAAGAGCCTGGCGGCTTCTCAGGACGAAGGAATGGCCCATTTTGAAGATCGCCTTTCATTTCCTGCGTGTCTTCATGCCGGTCGTGTTTACGGTCGCTGGTATGTCTAGATCACGTATATGATTACCACCAGAGTTGCTTATCTTATGTCAGGTGTCGCATTCTTCGACACTAAGTGGACTCACGAAGTAAACCGTTCTCACAATACTTTATATGAACCTTTTCTAATCCGGGGAACTTGTAGACTTGCCAGAGTTTCTTCTTGTTTGAACCGATATGCACCGCGATCATCCTCGCCATCTGCTCGATGGTCCATGTCATCCGTATTCACGCCATCTACGACAAGAGCCGGACTATTCTCGTAGGCATGGGTAGTTTGCTTGCCATTCAAGTCGTCGTCACCGCTGTCTGCTGTGGCTTCTACCGCAGTACGTTCTACGTAATTGTCAACCTTGCCCAAACTAAGACGTTAACGCCTCACTAGATACACCACTGGAAGAAGGCCAGGGTTGTATCGCGAGCCCCAAGCACAACTGGGTTGGTATCTATTGGCTTATTCCCACTATACTCTACACGGCGTCCTTCATTCTCGCCCTCAATCGCTCCATCAAGTCACTCCAAGTGAAGCCTATCACCAAATGGAAGCTGATGCTCCGTGATGGTCTTAACTTGTATGGCGTAAGTATCTGAGGTTTGTACACTATGTTCCAAGGTCTGACGTTTACATCTTGTGTCTACATCCAGGCCATTTGGATTGTCAACATGGTCAACATGTTGTTCTGGTTCATCATCACCCCCACGGGACCAGAGGACCCTGTCAAGACCATCGTCACGAGGTGAGCGATTAACAAATCGGTCATGGATGTTTTGTTCATTCTGTGTAATAGCATGACTGCTGTCCTCACTACTTCTATGACCCTCCGTGTCATCCTCTCCGTCCGCGGAACCCTCGTTCATGGTGGTTCATTCGCTGTCACCTCTTCCTCTCATGGCTCTCGCTCCGGCGGGACCACTCATGTCATCTCCGCCAACCGTCGCGAACCCACGAACCCAGTGATTTCCCTCAACCAACAAACACCCGCCACATACGCTGTTCCTCTCGGTGCAACAAAGGAACGAGATCAGTGGGTTGGTGCAGAGTATGACGGCAAGAGCAGCGTTGGTGATAACAAGGAGGGCGTATACCCAATTGACCCAATTGCTGAGCCCACCGACCCCGCTAACCTCGGTGTTAAGATCACTGTCAACACTGAGACAGATTACGACGGTTATGGCACGAAGTAAAGGGTCGAGATTGTCTTCTCTTGTTTTTCAAAACCCAACCTGTGACTACGACTAGACGACAGGTGATGCGCGTGGACAGTATGCCTCTTCCCTCCTACTTGTTGGCTTTTTTGGTGATTCACAGTGACATCCACTCGCGATACTTACTTGCACTTGTACTCAGCGTCATCGGCTCCTTTGACTTCCATGAACCCCCCTCTTTGCGACGTTATTTATGAGATTGCTTTGATTTTTCCGCTTTCTGTGATGCTGCATCTTTCTGCAAACTTCGCATTCTTGGATTCCCTGTAACCTATATACATGGTGTTGTAGTATGTGCGTAAATCTTATACTGTATCTGCGGGACTGATGTATCAGGGCCCTCGAGCCTGAGTACAGTGAAGCCAGATGGCGTATAGTGTATATGGCTCAATTGACCTGGTTCAGGACTTTTGGCATCTCGGAGTGTCAGCGTGTATTTCAACTACGTGTTACTACACTACACAACTCACTTCGATTCTACATAGGCTTTATGTTATCCACCCAAACCCAATTGATCCTGTTGCGAAGGGATCCCTCTTCTTCAACAATTTGGCAACCACCGTCGTTTCACATGAATCATCCATCGATCGAGCACCACGTCGGAATTGTCAAGGCTTGTGATTTCGTCGGTATTCAAGGTATGGTAACCGTTCTAAACTTGACATAACACGCTGATGCACCCGACTGTAGTGTGGTTCAAAGGCCGAAGGCCGATAATTTATATCATGCAGTCCAAATTGTAATAAATGGCCTGACACTAAAGCTGACAGACGCGCCGTCGCGTCGCTGGCCAACCCAAAAACCCCACGTCCCAGGGCTGGCCGTGCTTTCTCCCTGCTGATGTCCAAGATGTCTCTGCCTCGCCAGGGAACTCACAAAAAGTCTGAACACACAGACTCGGTCCCAATCTCGACGTCTTCTGTGGACATCGACACGTATCGACGACTTCTCGCGGGTATGGCAGAGACCTGCAGAAGTCTGCAAGCTCGCATTCGCATCCTGGAGGGGGACCTTGCAACGAGGTGCGAGCAGAATCGGAGGCTACTCTGCAGTCCTCTACCTTCGCCGTCTCTATCCAGCCCGCCTCATCGGGATGTCACGCAAGACCGGCCCAAGAATGAACATCGGCGACACTCTGCTCCTCAGTTGACGTTGGCCCCGATACCGGAATTATTTGAGGAACCTGAGCCTCCGCATCCACCTGATCAAGAGCGAGAAAGTCGAGTGGAAATATGGACTTACCATGACGATCGAGCATTACTGGAGAAAGCGTGGTTATGGTACTAAGACGATGGAAAGACTTGTTGGTGAGTTCTGTACAATTCGAATCTTCAGAAGTGACAAACGCATGTCTTTACACGAAGGATCTTTGGCATGAGTCTCGTGACTGTCCATCCCAGCTATATATTTCGTCATTGGTTTCCAGGGATCAGCAAGTATACATCCAATCGATGCATGCTGTGGAGTGGAACTGCACGTATACATTATCCTCACATAGCCCAAATCGCGTGTCTGATAGCTATGTACATAGGCAAAACCGCTGTGTAGTGGTAACGTCCGCCATCAAACCCCACACAAACACCAACTCAAAAGCATACCGCTTGCTCGCATCCAAAAAGACCAGAGCCACTCTGGCAGTCTTGATCCTGCTTGGCATTTTTTCCGGATAGCTCTGTGCCCCCGGGATGTTCGAGTACAAGCTGTGAATGCTTGACGTGCGACTATAGCGAAGGTTAGTGGTGTTCTCTTTCGATCGTTCGAATGGGTAGCTCGACGCCTTGTCTTGTAGCAGATTCCAGGAGCAAGCGTCGAACGTCTGGGATATTGGCAGGATTCGGTCTCCAGATACCGTCAGAATCCTTATCACCCCAGTGGAACGTATGGAAGGTGTCCACTTCGAACCCTGCCGTCCATTGTTGCCGCACGAAAGAGGCATTGAGGGGAGGCAGCCAAATCCACCACTATCCAACAATGAGTCAATACTGTATTAACACCTGGTAGCGAACCGAAAGGAGATAGACCCACATGGTCCACGTATAGGATTGGTTCCTCTGGTGGTACAGCTAAATGTAGCGCTGTTGGTGTAGCAATTTCCAAGAAACAATCTGTCTCGAGGAATAGACCCAGGATATCCATGAATGTTTGACGATGCTTTCCCGGGATGTATAAGGTATCGGCGGAGCCTCCAATTAATCGAGTTCCGTTCGTTTTTGCAGCAAGACGATCCCGCATTTCTTGAGGAACTTTGCGGAATGAGCGCATACACACTTCGACCCCGACATGAGGTTCTCTATGGGGTGTATAATCAAGCCATTGCGATCAATTTCGAGAGAACCGCACTCACCCCCACCTGCAATGAACTAGTTGTTGAGAGGTTGCAAGTACAGTGCAGTCAAATAATTCCAACGTACCACCAATCAGGACCCCATCCTCGCCACGTAGCTGTAAGGTTGATCGCTGGGTCCGGTGAGATCTTCGCAGGTGGCGGATGTCTGCTAGCATTGCGATTCGCCACCTCGTCGCCCAAGGCAGGGTTATGAACATATTGTCCAAATGGCGAATGATACCAGAAGTATCTCTGGTCGAATTGTTGTAGCCTAGGGATATTCAAAAGTGTATCGAATGGAGCCCAGAGATACCCGTCATAGCAGTCGTATTCGCGCATGGCGGTGTAGAGCATATGATGGGCCATCTTCAAAAATTGACAATTGAAGCGTCATATTGCAAGCTCGAAGGTGTAGACGTACCCTGCCCGCCATTTTATAAAATGAGGGATCGCTCAAGTCTTCATCTGATTGGTATGAATCCACGAGGACGTCGTAAGAATGAGCAAACCCGGCATCTTCTCTACTACCAGGGCCAACAAATACGATCTACACGCCATGATCGTCCATACCCTCAGTCAAGAGAGAAGAAAACGACGTCCATTGGATTTACTCACATTTGGGAAAAATTCCGAATATACTTCTTTATAATATTCTAAATTCGCGTCATACCTCGCATGACTAAAGAACACGATAAGGAGGACGTTATCGAATGCGTGATATTGACGTTCATGAGAGTAGAAGGAATGGGACAGCAGTGGCTTGCGAGGACATGTCACCTTGGCCGCGGTAATAATGTCCGTGACCGTAGAGGGACTAGACGTATATGACGACACGATGGGGTACATTCGATACGACCCGATAGCAACATACGCTCCTGCCATTAGGACGAGGAATGAGCCGACCATGTTGAACAGTACACTGTGAGCTTTCTAGAGTACGAATTGGAGCTTAGATGGTCCATGAAGGGTTGTGCAGGCAATGTACACACCTTTTCATCACTGCGTCTCCATTGTGCAATATATGTGATGGATGCAACTGCTGCTACAATGCTGCCGATGGCAAGGGCGAATGTATGAGTTGCGGGGACGACGCTAAGGAGCAACAGATGTACGGCCGCTCCAAATGAGACCAAAACCGCAGCTGTGGCAGCTTCAAAGTCTGTAGCGAGCAGGTGAGTTTCGTGCAAGTGCCGTCTGCAATCATTCACAGGACGTACAGAATATGGCTGCCAATGAGAGCAGATCCAGAACAACCTGGGTGATGACATGCAAACTGTCCAGAGGGGTGAATGTCGAGACATGTTCTTGAATAGTAGATTGAACGGGATGCTGGGCGCTCAATGCAACTGTACTCGACAAGAAAGAAGAGGCAAAAAAGATTACATGCAAGAGCTCTAAAGAGATATTATGATGGTTGGTATATATCTGCGAAAAGTTGCGTGCATTCAGAAGGTGATCATATGAATGGAGGATGCCAGACTTACAAAGTCCATGAGCAGCAGAGAAGACGATCCAGATAATGCAAAACCCATTAGAAAAGGGTAAGAATGTTCGGCGATAGGCGAGGGAATGAGGCTAGCCTATATGCAATTTAGTAGGGACCAAAAAACTCATGGAATAAGGCCTACCTGCACGAGCAAGAGTCCGCAAAACTGGGAACATGTCAAGTTGATGGAAAACGAATCGCCTCACGTAGACGTACCTGTAAGAGGGCGGACTGCCATTGCAATGTATCGAAAGTTCGGGATAAAATGAAGAAAGAGCTCAGGAATGTGAACAGAACAGTAGCGGGAAACCCGAGGTAAAGCGTGAACGGATCAGTCAAACGCTCAACCAGAGATGCCTATACATGAAACCGCGCGTTTGGTAAAACTCCAATGAACGAGGTGGAATACAATCATACAGTATGTTTCAGATACGTAGACATGAAGGCTGCAAGAACGACAAGACCGACACTGATCGCCGTTGGCATTGAGGTCGCGATCGGTTGAGGTAAAGGCTGAGCGTATCCATTCGGAGGAGTAACATCCACGAATTCATCCTCGAGTGAGTTGTTCAGATCATTCAGAGCCCGCTCCTCTTCATCTGGGACGCTAGTATACCGACGCGTCCTGGGAGAAAGACATGGAGCCTGGGAACCTCGGCTGCAATAGAAGTAGATGGCACTCAAAGCGAACTTGATGGCTTCTACCACAGTTGTCTGTGCCGCAAAACTAGCAGCATTGTAGGTCGAGTTCGATGCAGTTCGTAATTGTTCATTGATGACCCAGAGCGAGACAAATACCAGCTGCACGAAACGCGTGCGTACGATCGACCGCTATTTCAATTACGTTGGCAAACGGAAGCAGCTGATCACTCACGACAAATATCCACTTTGTAGAACGACTATATCCAGGATGAGGAAATGAGGAAAACGAGTTCGGGACCTGACAGGTCAGCCGCATACCCCTTGGAACTTATTGACCGTTCTGTAGGTGATTCAAGCCTATACGCCGAGTGAAATTCTGTAAGGTGCGTCGCAACTATGGTGCTGAAGACTGGGATACGAGACAGAAATACCGCGAAACGACTGCAAAGACAGTGAGGTCGCCAAAGCCAGGAGTTATGAAGGAGTTAGGGAACATGAGTTAGGCACAGCGAGACATGCCGAGGCGCTCAGTGTCAGTGCATGTCGATCGCGAGCTGTGGCTGAACATCTTGATAGCAAGTGTTAGAAACACAAATATGGTGAATAACAATACAGGGCAGAGCATCTACTAACTACTAGAACATCCAAAATACATCGACAATGGATTAAGCGGTACATTGAGTCGTCCTAATTCAATACTTTTACAATTAGTGCGCGGCGTTAACCCCATTCACGCCGTTAGCTTTTGGACTTGGCGCGGGAGTGTTCAAGCCACGAGACTTCCTGTAGACATTCTCCCTACGGCCACGCACTCCCTCTCGGAGACGGTCGAGAACAGGTACGGTCTGCTCCCAAGAAATGCACGCATCTGCAAGAACATGATCATCAGTTACATGTCTTTCAGTGATGGAAAAGAACGCTTACCAGTCACCGACTGTCCGTAGATCAAACCAGCAGGTCCGGATGTAGGAATATCCTGACGACCTTCAACAATGTTGGACTCAATCATGACACCCATGATCATGTCTGAGGTATCGCCAGATTCTAGTTGACGGGCCTGTAAAAGCGGCTAAGTGGTGATATCGACCCAGCCAATGAGAAACTACCGACAATGTCTTCAGCAACTTCTATTTGTTTTCTATGTTGTTTTGAGCTGTTTCCATGGCTGCAATCAATCTGTACAAGAGCCGATGGGTCAAGTGAACGTTTCGCATGGGAGACAATAGAACATACCATGATTTTGGCTGGGAATCCTGCTTTCTTCAGCTTCTCGCCACAGTCACGAACATTTTCCGCGGCATAATTCGGTCCACTGGAGCCACCACGCAAAATAACGTGAACGTCGGGATTACCCTATCAGATACATTAGCATGTGGTAGAAAGACGGATAAAAGGCAACAATAAACAATTACCTCAGTCTCGACGATACTACTAAGTCCGCCTTTACCTACACTGAGGAAAACATGAGGTCGACTTGCCGCACGGCAGGCATCAATTGCAATACCAACGGTCCCGTCTGTCGAATTCTTGAAACCGGTAGGCATGGAGAGGGCAGACGTAAGTTCTCGGTGAACCTGTGACTCCGTGGTCCTCGCTCCGATGGCACCCCAAGAGACAAGGTCGGCTGTGTACTGCGGCGTAATGGTATCCAAGAACTCGCATCCGGCGGGAAGACCCATCTTGGCGATGTCAAGCAGGAGGGTACGTGCAAGTCGAAGACCCTTGTTGATTTGGAAACTCCCGTTCATGCTAGGATCATTGATCAACCCTTTCCAGCCGACTGTTGTACGTGGCTTCTCGAAGTACACTCGCATGATGATATGAAGATCATCCTTGGCTTGTTCCGCATAGGCATGGAGTTTCTGAGCATATTCCAAAGCTGACTCGACATTGTGCACTGAACAAGGTCTGTAAACAAGGGTGTAGGTAACTCGCATATAGTCATATAGGCACGACCGATCACTCACCCTACAACGACGATCAAGCGGTCGTCGTTTGAATGAAGAATGTTTTCTGTTGCTCGACGACCCTCGATAACAGTCTGAGCAGCCGCGAGTGTGCTAACATAGTTTAAATAAATGAAACAAGATGTAATAATCAGATACATACAGAGGCAGGTCCTCTTGTAAGATCTGGGGAGGTATAAGAGGTCTGGTCGCCTTTACACGACGATCGTCCAAGCGGGCAAGGGCCTCACGGAAAGATACAGCCATTTCGGGGTCGGACACTATAAGAAATGACACTCCAGTGAGAACTACAATGAAGGAAAGATGGAGAGGATGAAGCGAAGTAAGCATGTGAGCTTTATATACGTACTTTTGGGTGATTCGAATGTATTGTTCCGATCAATCGCGGCACGGTCTGCTTGACAAACGTTCACAGGTGCGTGTAGGCGTCCAGACAATACGGGGCTCCCGGAATAAAGTATTAGGTCGGAAACAAGGTTACAAATCTCCAGACCGAGTCAATTCCAGGTGGACAGGAAAATGGCCTTAACGCCCATATGAATTATTTTGGCGCTGAAGTGCAGCTTGTGCGCGCTTATTAGTTACTCCCACCGTATTGAGCGTTTTAATTCTCTCAACTCGCTCATCGAAACTTTGCTCACTAACACTTGAAAACTACTCTCTAGAATATGTCTGGCCCAATCGCAAACGATCCCCTCAACCCCAATAGCAAGTCTTTTTTTTTTTTGGTTTTAACCGTTCTGTTTGCTCTTTTCTGTTTGCTCTTCGTCTATGCTAATCTACTCGTATTCTTTATTTAGCGGGCGACGTTGGTGTTCCCGTCGAGTCCGACCTCGGGGAATACGTCAATACTGCAGCATTCGATCAACAGTGCTCCGAAAAAGCACGCGAGCTTGCCGCCACTTTTTCTGACGAGAGCAGTGACTCCGACGAGGATAGCTTTTGGTCCAGCGACGACAGCGTCTCTACTGCCACTACCGTTGAATCCACCCCGTACGAAATTCCCAAGATCGAGGCGAATTTGTACTATGCCGGTATCGGTGCAAAGGGACGTGGGCCCAAGCTCATTTACAGGACCTCCGACGACAAATTCAAAGAGCCCTCTGGCCCTGAGGCGTACAGGCGCCTCATGAGGGTTGTTGCCGTTCCAGATAGTTTTGAGTTTGGCCAGAATCCCATTCCAGATAGTGACGAATTCGGTCAGGATATAACCTGGGACATAGTTCGCGACAAAGTGCGTGGCCCTCTCGTTACGCAACAATTTCTTGACTAACGTTCGTTCTAAGGTTGTCGAGTTACTCAACAAAAGGTACATCAAAATCTCCTCTGTCGATTTTGTTCGTTTCACTTGGCTAATCAAGAAGGCGGACCAGAGATCGAAGAGGACGAGGACGAAGAGGAAGACGAGGAGGATGACAAGGAAGAGGAAGAGGTCGCCTACGATGATATTCCCCTCATCCAGCCGGTCGAGGACGGAGAACGTTACTACACCAACCCTACCATCTGGATTGGAGTCTTGCCAGAGACTCTCAGCGGTGCCATAGCGCACGAGTCATCCAAGGACATCCGTGCCTTCCTCGACTCGCTCGAGGTCCAGAACATCGACATTGCTTACCGCGAGTCGCTCTACAAGGCCTTGCCCGGTCATGGTCCGGCCCTTTTCGCCCCCGTTGAAGACGGCGACGCTCTTAAGGAGGTCACCGACAACGTCTCTGTTCCCCTTAGTCTTCCTATTGCTGGTCGTAGGACTACTATGCAGGGCACTCTGGGTCCCTACTTCCGTGTTGGCAACACGCTTTATGCCATCACTGTCCGTCATAACCTCTTTTTGCTGAACGGGGACAACGAGCCATATCACTACCACGGTACGTTTTTACTTAACACCCTTGAGAATCCCAGAGCTTTTCTGACTCTACGCCCTCGTCAGAATCTGCACAAAAGAAAGAGGTCCTCGTGATAGACCCGTCCGCGTTCACAAACTACCTGGCCTCCATCCAGGCCCTCATTGGCACGCACCTTGACTCGGTCGAATCTCTCGAGAAGAAAATTAAGACACTCAGGACTAGGGTCGAGGATGGAATCAACGTCCAAGAGTCGCAGATTAAGCTGGACCAGAACGAGGCTGAGCTTGTCAAGACGCGCTCCAAGATCGACGACCTCAAGAAGTTCTTTGTCAACATCAAGAAGAGGTGGAGCAAGCCCAAGGACCGAGTCATTGGGTTCGTCCGCTGGGCTCCCTCCATCGGTGTCGGTGTTGCTCCTCACCGCTATACGTGCGATCTTTGCGTCATCGAGCTGTACAAGGACAAGTTTAACAAGATGATCGGCAACGTTCTGAGCCTTGGTGCAGTGCTAGTTTATTTTCATTGAATGCGGCTGATCTGAAATGTACGTCTCTCTTGCCAGGTCCGGAGCTGTCTCCTTCAAAGCTCAAAGCATTGATGTACATCCCGTCCGAGTTCAAATACCCCGAAAACGGTCTCCTTACTCTCAGGGGAATGCTCACCGCCGATCAGGTCAACAACCCCAACAGGTTGAACCTCCAAGGCGATCGCATTCGTCGCGTTCTCAAGCGCGGCTTCACTACCGGCACCACCGTCGGCACCCTCACCAGGTTCATGTCTTTCGTCCGCCAGTACTTCCCCACCGGCAATCTCGAGTCACTCGAGGTCGCTATCCTCTCTCACGAGAACGACTCGGGCACCTTTTCCAAGGGAGGTGATTCTGGATCTCTCATCGTCTCCGCCGTCGGCGAGTATGTTGCCTTGCTCACTGGTGGGACGAACAAGGGAACGGATGGCTCGGACATCACCTTCGCTACTCTCTTCGAGTGGGTCTGGCATCTCGTCAAGGAGGAGTTCCCCGGGGCCAATCTGTATTTTGATAACCTTCAAGGGTTCCTCGCCGATGTGGCCTAGGTTCGTTTCTTTTTTCTTCTTTCCCTTCTCCTATAACCCTCACGCTCGCTATCATCAGTCTGTGAACTCAGTCTGCTGTTTTGGCGTCTGCTTTTATCTATCTGCTCTGATGAACGCAGCTCTCTCGCTCTCACCTTTTACTATCGACGACACGGTCTGACATAACGTACTGAAATCTGGGCTCATCGAAAGCTTTTGGCGTTAAGACGCAGATCGAAAGATGCAGGTTCACTTGGTATGGGCTTACTCGAACGACGACATCCTCTGTTCTCGATAGTCCAGACACTAATGCGGTTTGAAGCAGGAGACTCCGTCACAAGACTTACGACGAGAGTGAAGAGTCTCCGGGATGTTCAGTCGATATAGATTAGGACTCATTCTCGTACGGGACCAAGGTTCCTAATCATCTTTGACTTTTCGTCTTACAGTACTTGGTAGCTATGTTGGTGATGTTCATTCTACATCTATGTGAACGTGATGGAGCACGGTTTAACATTTAACAATCTTGCTTCGTCTCAACACAACGCTTATCTGAAACAACGAAATCCTCAAATCATCGCCAATAACAAAATGGAAGGGCAATGGACGGCGACCATTCCAAGATTGTGCCGATGGATGAACGATTCCCTGTGTTATGTCGGTACGTTATACAAGATGCACCTCCATTTCGAGGCTGATGCTGACTGTGAAACACTCAGAAATATCGCAAGTTTGGGGGCTAGAGCGTTTCGCTTTTCGACAACCCATTCCCGGATCAGATATGCCTCCCTTTCAGTCCTCGCTAAAGTGGGATAGATACTCTTCCTCACCAAGGATTAATATCTTTAATTAGATTTACAACAATGTCCTAGTTCTCTAAAACTTTGACCACAATCCTTGTGCCATTTGGAGGCAATTTTGCCCAAACAAGTAATAAGTTGAGAGAGCTGTAGTGGATGAATAAGAACCCATTTTTGACTGCAAAGATGCAAAAGTCATATCAACCATTGGGCTTTGCTCCACAATAGGCTGCCAAAATGGTCCTGACTCAGTTTGGATGCTGCGATATGAATACAAGATGTGTGTACAACTCAAAATGGTCTGTAGCTGTTAACCTTGGCTTAAAATAACTGTTGAATCTGGCTTGTGTTAGCCATGTCTGAACCAGATTTATGTTGTTGAGGTGGAATGGGTAGTTTTTGTATCTAGAGTACTTGGTTTGTAATATAGTGATGACAGACTTGATTTTATGCCTTGTCTAATGTGACTTAATGAATAGGCTTAGTACTAGGTCCATAGTGACTGTTGATGAGAGAGAGAGCCTATATCTCAAATTCATTCATCCATCTCCTTTTCATCATTGCTCCTAATTGCTACTGCTGCACAATGGCCCTCTCGAAGCAGGAAGAGCTATGACCTGAGGCAAGAGCAGCATGAATCTAATGCTTCTATATAACCATGAATGCCCTCAAGCCTGAGAGGTTTCTTGGTTCTTTTTCAACCTGCAGTTGCATGTGCATAATCTGCTGTCTGCATCTTTATCAAAGTCATAAACACAGCCTTCACTGAGCTCACCTAACCTAGAGATGAGGTCAGATGTGCATGTCATCTGTTGCACAGTTCATTGCAGAAGAGAATCTTGTCTAAACATTAATTAATTTCCTCCCTCCCTTTATCAAATAATGCAAGTGTTTTCTATACCAAGAAGAGATTTGAAGTAAGATAGTTCCATCCTCCCTCATATGAGAGCACAGCAACATCAACAACCTACATGAAACAGGAATAAGAGCAATTGTACAATGTCTCTTCCAGAATGTATACTGTGAGTTGCTTATGAGAAGCAGGATCACCATACTTTCGGGTGATTCGAATGTATTGTTCTGATCAATTGTGGCATGGTCTGTTTGACAAATGTTCACAAGTGCATGTAGGCATCCAGACAATACAAGACTCCCAGAATAGAGTATTAGGTCAGAAACAAGGTTACAAATCTCCAGACCGAGTCAATTCCAGGTGGACAGGAAAATGGCCTTAACGCCCATATGAATTATTTTGGCGCTGAAGTGCAGCTTGTGCGCGCTTATTAGTTACTCCCACCGTATTGAGCGCCGTCGATTGCACGTTCCTTCTCCTCTACGACAAGTACTGTTCACTTTCTCTCGATCTCTTGCAGTCATGGATTTCTCGACCATGAACGCGGCCGAGCAGGCCCACATGTCCAAAATCATCGAAAAGCGACAGGTCCGCAACATTTTTGTGTGACGTTTCAACTTGAACATTGATAATTGTCTTTGGAACAAACTCTAGATGCAAGACTTCATGAGAATGTACTCCAGCCTCGTAGAGAGGTGCTTCAACTCATGTTGTAATGATTTCACCAGCAAAGCGCTATCTTCAAAAGAGGTCAGTACAACCAGCTCTTCCGCTGGCACGGAAGACAATTGACGCGCTCCTCCCTAGGAACAATGTGTTTTGAACTGTACGGACAAATTTTTGAAGCACTCGGAGCGAGTTGGGGCGCGATTCGCAGAACAAAACGCCGGTGCGTCAATGGTGGTTTTTCCTGTCTGATCGACATTCACTCAACCCCTCTTGACTGTCCACTTACAGAGGCTATGAACGCCGGCAACAAGTGATTTAGACCGAGTTTCACTCCGCTACCACATTGCTTTGTACTCTTATAATACCGGCTGTCTCATAATTGCAACACACCCCTCGTTATTGCTTTTCGGGTACCTGGTTGCCTCACTTGCACAGGGAAGAAATCCAATAGTAACGCGATATCCAGATAATGAGGCAATCACCGTACGTACGAGGGTATACTAACAAGATACATTAATACAGATATGGAGAACTCCGCATGCATGCCAAAATCCATGATGATGAATGTCCGAACAACAAAGGAAGTCGTTCATTGACCGGCGACCTTTGCTGTGTCGTCCTTGGCAGCCTCAGGAGCAGGGGCAGGGGCAGCAGCCTCCGCGGTGGCAGCTGTAGTGGGTTCCGCTGCCTTCTTCTCCTCAGCCTCCAACTTTTCAAGCCATTTGGTCACGAACTTTGAATGCGCGCCGAAATTCAAAGTAGCATCGAGAACATCACTGTATATTTCATCCGTCATGAGTGGAAGTGTGTTCAATTGTGGGGATTACTCACCGAACGACGCCTTTGGAATCGATGATAAACGTTGTACGAGCATCCGTGAGGCCAAACAAGCCCTTGCCAATGTGATATGCCTTACGGGCTTCCCCCTTGGTATCACTCAAGACAGGATACTAACGTTACTTCATGAGAACGAACTATTCCGCACCGTAGACTCAACAATGCACTCACAGTGAGACTCTGCTTCTCCTTGAATTCCTTCTGCTTCTCAACGGGATCAGCGCTGACTCCAACAACTTGCACCTTGGAACTCTTGAACACGTCTTTCTCTGAATAGGAGGTGGGACTAATGAGTCATCAAAACTGAGTTGCGACATGTAGCTAATCTCACCAGCCAGAGCATCTCGGAATTGGCAAGCCTCCTTAGTACATCCATAAGTCCCTGTTGTGACCGTTTTCAATAAAACAATTGAAAGTTATGACAAGCGTACTTACCAGCCTTGGGATAGAAGAACAGCGCGATTGGTACGCCGTTCTTTCCAGGTTCAAGGGTGAATGTTTCTCCATTTGCCTCAGGAAGAGACAACGCTGGGGCCTCCTTACCGATAAGTGGGTGTGGCATGGTCGCAAAGTGTCGTAACGGAAGTGGTCGTGATGGGTGTTATGGCGATACTTGGAGAAGAGGAGAACATGAGGAGAGCGTATTTATATTGACTTTGTAACCTGGCTCTAGACTAGACGGCATGTAGAATCACACGGAAGTAATAGGAGTTTGCTTCGGTACATAGGGAGGCTTGGCCTGATTGGCATCTTCAATGTTGACTTGCATCTCTCCTTACTGCTTTTATAATACGCTTGCACGACTGTTTGGAAAGCCGTGGATTGTTGTAATTAACGTTTGTGACATAGTAGTTACAGATGGCAGGCAGGACATCGATGGTATCGGAGGAACGAACGCTTGCAGTACGCCACTAGTACGCATTTCCACTCACTTTAGTACCCCCCACTAGTGACGTTTCTCAAGCGTATATAATGCAGACCAATACTAGGCTATTCTCTTGACCAGTTCTCCTATCTTCAAAGTCTGTGTTAAAGAACATCCTCGGTGACATCCACGCCTGGGAAGTCATGGGGCCTTCATCAGTCTCTCGCAGTATCACTGCCCTGTTGATATCCCGGCTCAAGGTCTTCTATGGGACCGTTCGCCGGTGTCTACGCTTAATTTCAGATATATACCCTCCTCCCGCTCTTCCCATGCAGTAATCGAGTCTCCTATCGTTGACGACAGTGAGCTGGGACGCTGTTACGAACCCATCATGCTTTTCAAGTCCCTCTATCCGCCGACCCCTCCTGTTCCAGACAAGAACGTCTACGAACTCTTTTTCAATGACCCTGAACAGAATGCGCTCCCAGATTACACACTGTACGTCGATGCGGAGAGTGGACGCCAGATCCGCAGGAGCGAGTTCAATGAACGAGTACGCGATGCTGCAACCGCACTAGGTGCGCCGCTGTCTGCAGGTGGACTTGGTCTGAGCGGAGAGAAAGGCGATATAGTTGGCATTTTAAGCTCGAACTGTATTGTGAGTCTTGTTTGCACGACCTACCTGTTGTCCGAATCACTCAGTCCGCATTAACACTCTAGGACTATCCTACCCTGGTGCTTGGCTCGTTGACCATAACAGTCCCATTCGCCTTATTGTCGGCATATCCAACCCATTTCGAGCTGGTTCACCTATTACGCACCTCCAAGTCCACAGTGCTCTTCGTTCACCCTACTTTACTGCGCAATGCTCTCAAAGCTGCGCAAGAAGTGGGATTATCTCACGACAGGATTTTCATTCTAGAAGGAGGCATCCCCGGACGAAAAAGCCTCCAAGACCTGATCGATGATGTGAAACGGCGCAGAACACCAAGAGAACCTGTCAGGCCGGCAACGAAAAAAACGCTTGCGTATCTAATGTTCTCTAGTGGAACTACGGGACTGCCCAAAGGTACGCCTTGCGGGCTCGTGTTACAACTTTGTAGCTGAGATTGCTTCATTATCAGCCGTCATGGTCGCTCATGGAAACATTTGGTCCACTATCGTCAGTCAGCTGATTGCTGGAGCAGAGGACCTCAAGGTCTCTCCCGTGAGTAGTTAGCGCAGGATGTTGTTGACAATCTCTGATCCACCACATTCCCGAGACAGCTGCCGCCGCCGACTTCGCCAGTAGTCGTTCTGGCGGTCCTCCCGTTCTACCATACATATGGCTTAATATCCTTCTGCATGCGCCCAATGAGTGGATACGTGACTTGCGTCATTGTACCTCGGTGGAACGTGGAAGTCGTTGTCAGAGCGATCGAGAAGTAAGTTTTCTGTCTTCCTTTACTTTGGCATGAATCGAGTTGAAGGCATGAATGTCTAGGCATAGAATCGGCCTCTTGCTCCTCGTTCCCTCCATGGTGCATCAGCTAGTGCACTCCGGGCTCTTGGAGAAAGCTGACTTGAGTTCTGTCGACCTTATATCGACTGGTGGTGCTTATATGCCGCCCAAAGTGGCTGAAAGAATTCAGAAACTCATTCGTTCGACACCACGGGTCATGGAGGGTACGGAATGATTACCCTGCTAAACTTCCCTTGATGCTAATAGTTTGCTGTAGGTTATGGTCTGTCAGAATGCGTAAGTTGTTCCCACTTTTTCACAACTTGATGTGTATTGATATCTCCCTTTTAGACGCTTTCTGCGTTGCGAAAGCCGGCTCCAGGAGCTCTTGGTGGCATTCAACCCATCCTTAACTCAACAGGAATTCTGCTACCCAGTATGGAAGCGAAATTGACACGTGAAGACGGTTCATGTGTCGAAATTGGTGAACCCGGTGAACTCTGGTTACGGGGTGATAATATCGCTCTTGGTTATTTTAACGACGAAAATGCGACAAAAGAAACGTTCATCGATGGGTGGCTGCGGTCAGGCGATAGGTTCAAAACAGATGGGAAGGGTACCTTCTTGTGAGTGACTATTCATCTATTTGACACTAGTATCATAACTAGAGGCCTCCGGCGTGCGGCAGCTTCGTGGATCGAATCAAAGATACGTTGAAGATATCCGGCGCTCAAGTTTCTCCGACGGAGATTGAAGATGTATTGCTCGCACATCCAGGGAAGTTGATATCTGATACATCTGTCGCCGGTGTATCTGGAGGCCGAACGGCAGATGAGCTGCTTCCTAAGGCTTGGGTAGTCCTGAGCGAGGAGGGGCGGAGGAAAGGTGCGGATGTTGTTCTGAAGGAGCTGGACATGTGGGCGAATGAAAATCTGAGTTCGTATAAGAGACTGAGAGGTGGATTGGAAGTGGTATCTGAGGTATGGCACCATGTGCTTCTTTCGCAGGAGGATGAAGTCTTTGCTGACGTTCTTGAATAGATACCAAAGTCGCCGACAGGTAAAGTCCTTCGCCGAGTTCTGCAGGATCGACACGAACAAGCCTTGAAGGCGAAGGTGAAGGCGAAGTTGTGATCCACAGTGCATCGCTGCTTGTATTCACTGGAGTTGTATCAGCTATGTAGTATATGAATTGTTTTCATGCGCCATTCCATTAAATCTTTTGACTTTACCACCCACGTAACCGTCGACGCGTCAGTGTCACTGTCAATGAGTAGTTTTAGCTTAAAAGCTTACTCTTACTGCTTGTGATCAATTGATCGATCAATTGTTTGGGTGCAACAGGCAAGTTGTCCGACTTGCCCATGCGCAGAATCCATCACACACTTAACGGAATGCTATCTCGAGCAAAAGCACTTCAATTGGAACGACGAGGCATTCATTTCTCAGCATTCCCATAGCCTACACGCTAAACGCCCCTCCCTCCGGCTTCTATATGATCCACATGCCTGATCCACGCCCACTAGTCCTAACGTAAAGTTAGGCTGGCGTAATCCCAACTTCGTCACGAACCTGACAATAACTTCATCAGTTTCCCAGTGTTATTTATAGTGAGCGACACTTCTTTCTCATCTCCCTTTCAAACGTTTGTACGACCTTTCAGACGTGTTGAATCGACATTGCGCCGCTGCAGATTGAAGGGACCTATCCGAGTCGTCATGTATATGAAGTCGCTTTATCCGCCTGTGCCACCCATCCCGGACGAGAATCATCACTATTGGATGTCAGGAATACGAGGACAAGATAATATCGCTGATTATGTTCTTCATATCGATGCTTTGTCTGGACGCGTAAGGACCAGGAAGGAATTCAATGAACTTGTGCTGGACGGTGCAACTGCTCTTGGCGCGCCTGTGGCTCAAGGTGGTCTTGGCTTGAGCGGAGAAGCTGGCGATATCGTTGGTGTATACAGTACGAACTGCTTGGTTTGTCATATCGGTATCTACCTTGTATAGGTGTTGACTTTACTTACTGTGTGTTCAGGATTACATCCCTTTGATGCACTCGCTCATTGCTATCGCTACTCCATTCGCTCTCATATCGTCGTTCTCAACGCCATTTGAATTGTCCCATGCCCTTCGAACTGCGAAGCCTACTCGACTCTTCGTCCAGCCAAATTTGTTGTCAAAAGCACTTTCTGCTGCATCGGAGATAGGTTTACCTTCAGACCGTATTTATGTCCTCGAAGGTCACGTAGAGGGCCGGAGAAGCTTTGCGGACATGGTTCACTACATCAGGGAGAACAAGACTGCGCGGGAACCTGTGAGGGCTGTTACCAAAGATACCCTTGCTTACCTTGTCTTCTCAAGTGGGACAAGCGGCCTACCTAAAGGTCTGGAGTGACGAAATCTCACGTTGCAAATACCATCTCATCATTAATTGTTCGACAGCCGTCATGATCTCACACGGCAACTTATGGTTCACAATCCAAGCATACATTGTTGTGCTACAAGAACAACTCAAACATACACAAGTACTGTATTCAGATTATAATACTAGACATCCTGTTCATGGTTGGGCATCCTTCTAGCAAGTTCCGCCTTCCACAATCAGTCGTATGCTCGCCGCACTTCCGTTTCATCATTCGTACGGTCTCCATATGTTCTGCCTACGAGGTTTCCTTTTCCCCATGACCTATGTCATTCTGCCGAAATGGGGTACGAAGTCGGTTCTCGAGGCGATATCGAAGTCAGTATAATCCTTTCCCCTTCTTCGTCAAAATTAATCCGATCATGTTTCACTACTGTCTTCTCTCAGGTACAAAGTCACGGTGTTTCCAATGGTTCCTTCTATGCTCCATCAGCTAGTAAATTCCAAGTTACTTGATAAAGCGGATTTGAGTTCCGTTCAACAGGTTATGTGCGGCGCCGCGGCTACCCCTGGCGATCTAGTTAAGAAATTGAGGAAATCTGTTCCGGGCTTTCAAGAGTTTATGGAAGGATATGGCTTATCTGAAGTGGTACGTTGTCATCGCCTACCATGTTAAATGTAACCGTTTGCATGAGCCATGTGTGCTTTAGACCGTATCCGCTTGTTTGAAGCCCCCTCCTGGTATATACGGTCTAGAGTCAATCATGGGGTCATGCGGTACCCTTCTGCCGGGTATGGAAGCGCGGTTGGTGAAGGACGACGGCTCAGAGGCAGGCGTGAATGAGCCTGGTGAAATCTGGTTACGCGGTGGAAATGTTGCTCTTGGATATTATGGTGATGAACAGGCGACCAAGGAGACCTTCGTTGATGGTTGGCTACGCACAGGCGATAAGTTGAAGACAGATGGCCGCAACATTCTTTAGTAAGTTCTGAGAAGCTCATGGCTCTTGATAAGCTATACTGACTACTTACATGGATTGCTAGCTTTGTTGAACGGGTCAAAGACACTCTAAAGATCTCCGGAGTCCAAGTATCCCCAACGGAGATTGAGAACGTCATCCGTGCACACCCAGGAAACTTAATTATGGATATCTCCGTGGCTGGCGTCTCAGGAGGTCGGACATCTGACGAAAAGGTTCCCAGAGCATGGGTTGTTCTCAGCGACGAAGGTACCAATCTGGGTGCAGAGAAGACCTTGAAGACGTTGCAGCAGTGGGTGGAGAAGAATCTTAGTCGGTACAAATGGCTGAGAGGCGGACTAGAAGTCGTGGATGAGGTATGGCTGTTGTACTATGTGGCACAATGTGCACTGATCAATCCTTCTTTAGATACCCAAACTTCCAACTGGGAAGGTTCTGCGCCGTGTCTTACAGGACCGTTATGAACAACGGCTCAGATTGCCAGTACCATCCAAAGCGAGACTTTAAAGTCTTATCATACCCTGAGCTTTTATGTATCTTCTGCGCTATTTCGTATTGTCTGTAGATAGCGAATGTATTGATTACGATGTACACACTACTAGAAGCCTTGACTCGATCATGTGCTCGCTTCGGAGTAGACGCGACGCGATTGCTTGTACGTATTTGGTGCACCTATTAAGCAAGTTAAGAGAAGCTATTCGCTCAACTTTTAGCGGCGTTTTTCATACCCTGTCCTACTCTGCATTTATAAAGCCAGCATGGCGCCGTCTAATTGAAATATAATAGTCTGTCCTTCAAGTGTTTACAGGACGTATACACATCTACCAACGGTTCTCCTTACACACGTTTATTGACCGGTGCGTCGGAGGCTTACTTCGATATCATAAGTGTTATTTACCGCACATTCTTAAGAGTAGAGTTTTCGATATGGACCCCGATCTCACCGCATTACTTGTTGCTAACAGCTTATCCACTCCATACGCTCATTCCACGATGGCAGAGGGCCTTCTCTTGCCTCTCCTTTTGAACCAACTTGAGGACGAAGAGACGGAAGACGCTGATGAGTCTTCGGGTGATGATGATGAAGAGCCTCCACCTCCTCGCAAACGTTTGAGGCATAACAAAGGTGTTGACGAAAAGTCCAGTTCAAACCTAGAAGACTCTGCTGCCGTTGCCATTACAGGCTCCCCGTCATCAATTCTACCTCCGCCAACTAAGGAATACGTCGAGCTTCGGCTGCAACTCGCCCGTTTCAAGAACGTCTATCGTATTGTTCGCCTCCCCATTACATTCACTTTCGCCCATCTCTATCAGTTCTGTCTGTATAGCTTCGGTTGGAGTGGCCAGCATCTGCACCAGTTCGAGGTGCTAACCAACGTCGAGATGTACTCTGCCCAGTATAAACCAGGAGAAATCAAATCCTGGAGTATTCCCGTACCTCCCGAGCCTGATTCCGATGACGAGCAGGCCCACATGGTATGGTATTTCAGGTCGAATTTTCCGAGGCAGGAGCCATACGTGCGTGTCGTTCCAAAGCTCAGGAAGAGAAGAGATGGAGCGGTTTCCACGCATGACGAGTTTGATTGTTACACTCTTGTGAAAGAGGAAGGCGCCCTTACGCTTGGTCAAGTCTGGAGCAATAAGGAACGACGGAACATCACCAAGGGAGATTGCAACAACCATGCGATCGCTATTAGGCTGGAGTACGATTTGGGAGGTCTGTTCTTCATATTGTAGTTATGCCATGGACCCAACTTACATGATTGGCTCTGTAGCGAGCTGGAGTGTGGATATCAGCTTGTCCGACCCAGAGAAGTATTGGTGGAAATATGACACTCCTGACAATCATCCGAAGATCATAAAGGCGAAAGGAGCTGTGAGTTTTATATATTTAGTTCTTGAAAGACTACTCAGCGTAGGTGTCATATAGCCTCCCATCGAAGATGCCCGAGGTGACGTGCCAGGTGTAGGTCTTCATTTCTCTACCATTGTGAGCCAGCCTCTCATATCCGGTCATATCAGTCAGGAACTCGACGGAAACAAAAAGTCGGTGTCGCCCAAGTATTTCGACTCTCAGTATTTCGCCAAATACCTTAGCGGAGAAGTAGGCTCACGCGCAAGAAAGACCGAGCTGGACATATATAATATTGAGGAGAGGAAGACGCAAGAGAAAAGGGAAGAAAAGGCACATACATCTGAAGAGGAGAATACTGAGGCCTATGATTCGGAGGATTATTAGCCCAACCCTCATTTATCTCGTGAAAATATAGCTATCCTAATGTACTCTAATACCATGTAAATGAATCTGATGGTCCCACATTATAGCGGTACCTGTCGCTAATTCTCCTAACTTACTTCTATTGCCACACGATATTACGACGTTTAGAAGGTTCAAGAGGCAATTCAACGTGCATCTAAAAGGTGCGGCCGTTCTGCATGCAGGTAAGTACATGGTCACTTTCCAAAAGTAGTCATGCACTTCCGGGCGTCAAGCACGTCCTGCCTTATATACCGGATTTGGATCGACTGTCATCCAATCCCTAATATAGGCAGCAACGGAGACTAGTCCTGCCTACAGCCACAATTGAGGTTCAGGCCTCAGGTTCTCGGTACTTTCACCTCCAAGATGTCTCTGTGTCCTCCCTATGCTCCTTTCTTTGGTTTTGGAGGCGTGGCCTCAGCGGTGAGTATAATGAAATGAACTCCAATCTGTTACTGACTCACTGGTTTTACACGTTCAAGATGATCCTGAGCAGTACGTCAATAGCATGAATTACAGGACCATACCAACTAAACTATGACTTTGCTATGACAGCCGTCGGTGCAGCATTCGGGACGTCGAAAGCTGGCATTGGTATTGCGGGGCTTGGAACGTTCAAGCCTGAACTTATCATGAAGGTGCGTCTGGATTGTTTCGCTGCCATTTAGTCGGAAACTGACCCTCTCAATATTTGCACAGTCCCTTATTCCCGTTGTCATGTCTGGTATCATTGCTGTGTATGGACTGGTGGTATCAGTCCTTATTGCTGGTGGACGTTAGTGACATCTCTACACTCCTACCTGGACGCGCTGCTAATGACTTATGCGTAGTCAAACCAACCGACTATTCGCTGTTCGCTGGATTCATTCATCTAGGCGCAGGACTTGCTTGTGGCTTTACAGGGCTGGCAGCGGGATATGCAATTGGCTTCGTTGGTGATGCGGTATGTGCCAATGATCAATATCTCATGGACCGAATTTTGACCATATAATGCAGTGTGTACGGGCTTACGTCTACGAGTCGAAGGTGTTCGTTTCAATGGTCCTTATCCTAATCTTCGGAGAAGTACTAGGTCTTTATGGGTATGTCTATCGTCACGCATGTTTAGGTCCTATACAGGATACTGACACGAATCGCAAGGTTGATTGTTGCATTGATCATGAATTCAAAAGCAACCGGGGTATCAGGATGTTTATGATTAACTGACGGCCTTATCCTGTGGACCTTCTCTGTATATCCTTCCTTCATACTTGGACTCCAATAATATACACAAAATGGAAAACAGCGAGACAATATGGCAACCCTATACAACATTAACATCACCGCCTGGTACTCCCCTCCCTATCACTTGATGGAGACCTGCGACCACGTCCCTTTTCACTGTCATAGCTTTCACTTCTCCTACGCGGTCTTCGTCTCTTTTCATCTCGTTCTCTGGAGCGGGAAGACGATCGCTTGGAACTGGAAGATGATTCTGATTCCGAGTCTGAAGAGTCTGAATCCGAATCCGAATCAGATGAACTAGTATCACTCTCCGACTCTTCGTCCGAAGATGACCTGCAGCAAAATCAGCGCATTATAATACTGAAGACATGACCACATACCGTCTAGCCTTCTTCTTCGATGGTTCCTTCTCCTTTGCTCGTTCCTTCTCCTTAGCCGACAGTATCTTGTTTGCGGTGCCGCTCCTTCAACAACGACAAGAGCATAAGTTTACCCGTCAGACAGTGCAGCAAGATCTACGTACTTTTGCTTGAACTCTTCAGGAACCTCAACAGACGGCTGCCCCGCTGATTTCAACTTTGCCAGCACACGCGGATTCTCGAGTTGTTGAGTCCGTGAGGGCCGTGAGATGTATGGACGTGTTGATTTGCATTCGTACGTATAATGTCCTATCAAAAGATGTCCGTCTCGTGAGAAATATCTCCAAGTATTATCAAGAAACTGCTGTTTACCTGTCCCGAGACATTTCTGGCAGATTGTGGATGATGTTGCTCTAGGGTTTGCTGCCGATCTTCGGTGTGGGGCGAACTTCGACATAGCGAGATCTTTCAGACAGGCTCAACGCCTTGTCAAGTAGCAAGTCGATCACAGCGGCTGAGCGCAGATGAAGACGACAAGAATAGAGAAGCAAGTGCAGTAGGTGGAGGTTTGAAAGCAAGATGAAATGGGCGCTTGTGTCCAAGTCGACTTTGACGTTGACAGTCACGTTGAGTCGCGAAGACTCATACTAGTACAGTTCCAATATATACCCATCATATCTCTCACTGCATCCTGAGCTCAGGCATCTATACCACAATCTTCAACTATGGGAGGACAAGCATTCAATGCTCAATACCCGGAGGCGAAGTTTCCTCGCATGTCTCATGCCATCTACGCCGCGATGAAGGATCGTCTTCGTCTAATCGTGGAGACTTTGTACGAGAAGGTCGTCGTCCCTCATGAAGCCCCGGAAAAGGTCGATCATGGAGACGTCGATTTCCTCGTTCGCGGACCACGCCCAGGTCTCACTCACGAAGACGTGAAGGAGGGCCTTGGGGCGCGATATAGTGTTCCTGCGCATCCGACTAGTCATTATGCTGTGCCTACTGATATTTTTGGAGACGGACAATCTGAATGTTTCATACAGGTTGATGTACACGTTTGCAAGGACGAGGAGGATTTGTATAGGGTTCATTTCTTGCATTCGTATGGAGATCTCGGAATCATCCTGGGGCACTTGGCTGCCAGTGTGGGGTTATCTTTTGGACAAAGTGGGCTTAAAGTAAGTGAACGTTGTATCGTACAAATTTTACTTCTTATGTATCGTACATTTAGCTTGCGAACCCGGTACCTATCAATCCGCCGAACATGCCTTTCTACCTATCCTCATCCATTCCGCACATCCTCGAGTTCTTTGAAATTTCATTGCGCAGATGGGAGCAGGGGTTCTCAACAACGGCCGAGGCATTCGACTGGGTGTCCAGCTCTTCCTACTTCATTCCCACTAGACTGGCACGACCTGACGTATTGCAAGGTTCACAGAAGCGGGCGAAAGCCTCTCGAACAATGTTTCAAGACTTCCTGGATTATACTGCAACGCGTGCCTTGTCCATGCAAAGACAGGCAATAGAATCCCGCGATGTGGCGATCGAACGTGCTCTGCGTCATTTTGACAAATGGGACTTGTATCAGACAATCCTACATACTTGCGAAGCCAAACAAAGGATAAAGCAGATCTTCACAGGAAAGCTAGTGATGGAATGGACAGGTGTACAGGGAACGCCTGTCCGATGGATCATGGAGGAAGTACAGAGGAAGCTGGAGGCGCAACCATTACCCCTCGCGCAAGAAATCGACGCGTCGACGCCCCTTTGCCATTCAGTGAAGGGGTCAGAGCTTGTTGATCCCAGCTTCCTTACGCTTGCTCCCTGGCAGATCCTTATGAAGGACCTGACGGTGGAACAAGTCAAAGACCTGGTGGTGGAGGTCAAGGAAGGACTGCAGCGAGACGGGAAACTCCAGTTTGATTGGCAGGAAGCGAAGAAACGAAAGGCAGAACGGAAAGCCCTGCTGGAATCACAGCCTCAGCCTTTGTAGCACAGGCAGAGGATGCCCTAACACAGGAACCTGTACTGGAATTTTGTACGTGCACGTCTTCTCAAGGAAAGCCCTTCAAACTTGATCGACTGGTTTCGGACAATTCCACTCTTCCTAACACCTAGCTGGCCGAATCAGTGCGAAACTATACCAAAGTTTTCGGGGCAACAGTGAGTATGTATGACATGTCGATCCACCGTGTCGCGCTGAGTACTCTTGTGAGCACCTTCGTTCTCCGTGCTTCCCATGATCTTACCCACCCTGATCTTCGGCAGATAACATTAGGTTTTCTCAAAATGTATCCGAACTGATCTAGAACAACGGAATGTTGGAATGGCATCAGCCTCATGTTCCTTCGCAGGATTGGTTTGAATGAATAAGGCAGGTAGCCAAGGAACGCAAACAAAAGAAGCGCAAAAATTGTACTCCGTTCCTCCGGCATCGTCCCGAAAGTCCAACATGTTGTGCCCGTTTTGGGACAGTGGTTGGTTTGGCGGCAAACGGCCAGTCTCTGGACGGAGATTGAACTCAGCTCTGACCGCGTATAAATTTCCCCCACTCTCACTCGACTCTCCTCACATCTCTTGTCTCCTGCTTCCATCTTCTCCTCTCTATACGATGGTCTCTACCCGGCGGCTTGGACCAAGGCTTGGTCTTTGGCCGACGCCTTCCTCGATGAGGCCACCTAGTGAGTGCTCATCGCCATCGCTGTGTGGCGTAACATGGCTGACGACTCGTCCTCGACAACCTCATCCTTGGATCACAATCTGGTACGTTTCTGACCGCTATATCGCTTCCACCTATCATTATACTAACCTCATCACCATTGGCATAGTGTGGCGTTGGTATTCTCAAGAGGGTGGAACCGCATAAAATTCCCCAAGACCTCGGTGCCTTTGTTTGATTTTCATTTCATCCTCATGTGGCGCGTCATCATGTCTCTTTCTATTTATTTTTCCCCGCGGCGGAGTCGGCGTTGGTGGCTTTGGTTATGAACATCCTTCGGTGCGTTTCTCCTCACTCAGCCGTCTCACCCTTTTCGGCAGCAATGACTTCAAGATATTGGATGGAGCCACTAGAGCTGTTAAGGCACCTGTGTAAGACCGACGAAACAAGACGGCATCTGAAAGACACTTACAAGAGCAAGAAAAAGCCCTTGAACACAGCCGTCGGGGCCCCATGGATAGGACCATAGCAAGCTGGCACCTGAAGATCAAGTTGAAGAAGAAGGCAAGCCCCCGTCGTGGATAGCCATTGAAGGAATGATGTTGAGCCGAGCCACAAGAGCTGTTGGGGCATAATGTGTGAATGCGGGCAAGCCCCCGACGTCGATTCAAGTTGCACCATCGACCCTCAAGATCCTGAGGGAGGTCGGATACACCGTCGCCCACGGTTGTATCTGTTCCTGGCATGACCTTTTCGCGGTCCTCGGGATAAGTACCCGCTCGGTCATCGAGTGGGGAAACTAACAATGCCTTAAACTTGGTTTGTGAGCGGTGTACGTACTCTATCTTATGATTCGGAAGTATTCATATGGCTGCCAGAAAGCAAGTGAAGATTCATTGTAGAATTTTCAAGGTTGTATTTCATATAGAAATATTGTCAATTGTATCCAATGTACCAGTTGTATTTATACAAGTCATGCGCCGTATATAAGTACTCCAAGTGCGTACAAATAACTGAGGGAAAAGTGTAACTCATCCATGGCGGCATTTTGTTCTATCGGAAACATGCTTGGCCTAGCCGAACCTTTTCGTTGAAGAGGAATTCGACTTAAGTGCGGACATTGATGCACGTTGTTGGTCCTAATTCGCTCACTCACACCCATGAGAAGCTTTCTTCCGTGATCATCAGTATAGTTGGTACCCGGAGAACGGCTGAAATGCATGGCAATGGTTGACACAGCCATCGCCCAGTATATTCGAAGGGCTGGCTTCTACAATCGCGGATATCAAGCCTAAAGATCCCAAATATAAACAACACATTTGGGACATACCACACACATCTCGAAAGTGGGAGTATAAAGATAGTAGAGTTGTGGGAGCCAGAGGACCTTCACATCGAAATACAACCTGAGCAGGGGGCAGAGCCTGCGTACGTTCATGACACAGCGTCATTATACAATTTTTTTGAGATTAAGACTGCTGGTCAAAGAAAACATGTAAATCGTGAACGTTGTTACTTTCGGCGAGTTCGGCATGTCCGTGACGGTATACTTATCAAATCCTGTGATAATGGAATCAAGAGTTATTAGTAGTAGGTTTTTCGAGTGTCAATCTAACCGACTATAGGCCGTTGTTCTCAGCAATACGAGCAAAATATACGTCCGGTGCTGCAACATGAACGTTGAAGTTTTGTTCTCGGACTTCGCGTTTCTTCTCAGACTTGTTCCTACAGTGGTGTCCGGATCAATCGGACAACGTTTACTCCCGGCGCCTCACGAGCTGCTGGTGACTTAGGATTCTGTCAGATATTCAACTTTCCTTTTAGGTCCGACATATACTCAGCGTGCGAGGTGTCTCGTGTTTTAATCTACATGGCAGGACTTTGATGCTCATCCAAATGCACCAACTGAGCGTCACAGTCGCTTTCTCGCACTCATTTATGGTTTGGTGGGCCATGGCCCATGGATGCTTCAGCGGTAATTGCATCTGTTACTAATCGCTAAAATTTTCCTCTGGTCTTTGTCTTTGAAGGAATCCAACGATTCTCACACAGGATGCGATACGATATGAGCCCAACGGTGGTCATCTTGATGAATATGCCTTCGTATCAACTGCGCCTTGTTGGGAATGGTCTATACAAGGATGATCAACTGATATGGTTGACGTTTGTCCAGGTTAATGAAGAATATTTCCCAGGGCTGGACTTCTTCACTCCGAGTTGGTGGGTGTTTGTTGCTTAGAGAAGGAACTCGGTGGGCATTTTTAGAGTTGGCATCTTCGCCATGAGGCTCTGCCCGAGTACGCATCGACATTAGTACCTATTCAGCTGGTTACTCACTTATAACACACCGGCTTCTTGCCTATACTGAAAAGTATGACTTTGTCTCTCGCATCTGCACAATTAGTCGGGACTCTGCTGGAGCTTTCTGCTTATGGTGCGTCTCACGTACGTTATGTCGCACCTTAGGCCGATTTGAATATTGGTACAGGTGTTTACATAGCGCTCATTCCTCAATGCTTCACCCTATTACGCGCGAGGGGGTTGAAGGCAACGCTCATGAAATACATGCACTTGACATTCTTTATCAATTTCTTAGCGATCACCATGGTTAGTAGCGTTGGGAACCCTGGTCGACTTCATGAAGAGTTGCCTAACCATTCGTAGAATGCTTGCACAGCCTTTGTCCGGGTCGTTCAAGCATTTACTTCCCATACGGATGCTGAGCTGTACTTCGCTCGCACCAACTCACCTTCTGCTTTGCTCTTGGGCTCTTCTGCAATGGTCGTTCTCATCACCGCAGACGCTCTGCTCGTACGTATCATTTTTGCGCTCAAAGCTTTATGCTCAATGCTCGTTTGGCTCTTTGAAGGTCTTTCGTACATTCATTGTTTGGAATCGTGATCGTCGGATCATCATAATCCCCGTCTTGCTTTTCGTTGCGGATTGCGGTACGTCAAAGCGATTGTGACAGCCAGCACCACCTGAAGCCTGAGACTCTAGCCCGGTCCATATACCTTATGGTTACACTGACATTCACAGGATCTCAATGGCAAAATCCTCTCCTGAATCCAACATGGCAGTTGGTCATCTTTTGGGCAGGGTCCTGGCTTTTGAATATACTTTGTACTTGTACGTTCTTTTGCATTTTGACACTCAAACGGCATCAATGAAACATTACATCCGTGGGACTTGTAACTTAGCTCTCATCGCTTACAAGATCTGGAAAGCGCGTCGAATTGCTAATAGGCTTCTATCTAATGTCAATGAACGATTAAACAATGCATTTGTCGTGATTATCGAATCTGGTGAGATCCAGAATCTGGCTCGAATATTTTTATAGTAATCCATTATAGCTGCGGTGTATACGCTTGTGAGCTTTGCGACAATGATAGCGTCAATTTTGGGACATAATTCTGTCTACATCGTAATTTTATTGGTTCGTCATCTCAGGCAACTTGTCCTTACACCACGCTTGACACTAATAGCCTTCTGTTGAACAGACTCCCCCTTCAATTGTTCGTATCATTTCTGCATTAAAGACCCGTGACTGAATATTGCATCTCCGCAGGGCATAGTTTTCCTATACGCCATCATCAGCAGCTCGAAGGTCAAAGAAAGTACAGCAAAGCAGCAAAGCACAGTACTAACAAGGTCAGCCGTGCGTAGGGATGAGAACGACCGCGTCAGCCCAGATTCTCCACAAGCCGAGCACTTCAATACTGCCCTTTTCTCGCCGACTGCTTCTGCTAACGTCGATGTCACGGTTCAGGTCCACCTGAAGAGGACTGTCCACACAGACAACTGGCGTGAGGCTGACTTGGAGAAGTGATTGAGAGTTTTGGAGGATTTTACTGTACGAAACCTTGATTCACATTTACATTTTGTTCAGATTTCCAGAAAATATGCCAACCATTGCACGTCGATGTTGAAGGGATGGATAATGAAACGAAGCAAATTTTCCGGACTGTGAGCATCCTTTCCACCCTTTTACGCTGATCTTTGCTGATCCTTACCTGAACGGATTTCACGCGGACCAGGTCGGTGTTACTACGGACTATGTTCAAAGCATTGTTTTTTTTCCTTCTCAATGCAAGAATAGATGCATGAAAAATATGTCGATCTTCAGGATTTATCTACCTGCTCGAACATTAGCACGTCCATGCAAAAGCTGCGATCATCATCAGCATGCTTCGGGACAACTCTCATGTGCTCCTTGACTTTTTTGAGACATCACGAGTCGTAGACATCACTTCTAACTGTCATCTGAAGCTTGGAAATTTCATTCTTTGCTATTCTGATCACAGACTAATCCTCGTGGTCGCTAAGGGTAACGCTTTATAACTTCACTGCTCCTCCTTGCAAACACTTGACCTTCATCTTCAGGTCATTGAATTCCGTCGCCCCGCCAGGTGAGCCTCAATATCACTTATATAAAGTTAATATTGTTCTTCAGCGGTGAACATGAGTCAGGATCCCAGCACCCTCTTCATTGCTTCGACAGTTCCATGGTTCCGAGATGATGCAGAGCATATCATTCGCACTGTTTCCAACACAACATTCCATAATCCCGACTGCAGGGATGTTCCGCCCTGACATCATGCCTAGCCATTCTGGGAACGTTCTACCTTCAGTCTATATCGGCAAGAGACATTAACAAAATTCCTGACACGTTCCGCATCTGGGGATGTGCATATCCAGATGAAAGAACTGATTGCTCCTCGCGAATGCGCAACGATTAGATCAATAATGTATCCCAATTTCATAGTCATATAGTCATAAACAACCTGTAAATCGGCGGCTTCAGTCAAAACGGAACTTGTTTGTCCGCTTGACTCATGATTGCCACTATAAATATGAATCGATGCTCAACATTGCGAATCACGATGGGAAAAAAAACAACTCGAACTTACCGACAGTCGAAGCAAAATGAGTGTAATGGCAGGCATCTTGCCAGTAGCTTCTGATACAAATAATTCTTGTGTTTAGAATATATTCAGAACATGACCGATCACTCCCGATCACATTGTACCCTACGGCACCATGAATGATCTATAAATCGGTTTGGAAAAGAGCTGGTCGGGATGCATGATATTAAAGCGCACCAGAGCTAATCGACGACCTGCACTGTGATCAGGTATTACATGCTCTAATACTCCAGTTAATCGAACGCCCGCAACTCCAGGGCGTGGAATGACGAATGACGATCTTGATAGCAATATATCCGAAGACCATTTCATGAGGAGTGCTCTGAGCAGATTAAAATTCCTGCAGGGTACGAGAGACGGGAATCATCGACCGAGGATTTGTGCTTAGCGTCGAGAGCTCCGGTATGCCTGTATATATATAAGACTCTTGGAATTCTGCATGAATATCCCTCGGACCGACAATGGCTGACTTGGCGATCTGATAGGGACATGGTGTGGCAAAGTATCTCACCAATAGTCAAAAGATGAGGATTTGAGCTTGAGGACTCGTTCTGATCCTTGCATTCTAATTCAGTCTGTACCTGCCTGAGCGATGTGGGACGCTACTTATGTGGCTTAATGTCAATAGTAAAGACAAGACTTCAACGGAGGACAAAGTGCAACTTGCAAGTACGTACGTCACCTGAAAACGCCCTACCTAACCGTTGCGGCAGAACACACGTATAGTCACACGCACGTGAGATGCGTCACGTCACGTGAGATGCGTCACGTAATGGCATCGCAACACGCGACCGAATTGCCTTTGCTATTGGACTTCCACCACAACTCACCGCTACAAATAACCAACTCCTTTGGAATCATGTCCAAACTAGATATTGATCAGATTAGAAGGATGTGTAATCCTGTCACGGGAGTCAGGGCAGAGATCCTCCTCGCGTTGGCCAAAGCGAAGACGGGACCAGGCTCGGGTTATGACCTCGGGAAAGGGTCTTCCGGTTTGGCTGCAATCTGTGCGTATCTTGCTTCTGAAGAGTACGCACCTCCTTAAAACTTCTTGTATGCTATTGACATGAGTTGTAGACTCGGAAACGGAGATGTCACAGAAAAGCAAGCACAATCGTCGGCATGTCTTGATCCGAAGGTGTTCCATAAGACATTGAATTCTGTTAGGACCGTACTCGGAGCGGATAAGAATAATGCGGGGAGAAGATCTCGACAACTTTTCTATGATCGCCTTGTACAGGAGTTCAACTTCCGGCGAGAAGAATTCATGATTTCCTGCATGGAGGATGCGGAAAAAGCTCTCATACAGAACCGCGAGCTTCGAGGAAGATTAGCTCCTCCAAACGATGTTGTGACGCTCGCTGTGTTTCTGTGGACGTGCAATGTCCTTAGAGTAGGTTATTGGTGTTTGCGAGTGATCAATTGAGAGCTGACAGGTGCTAAAGATACACAGGGCCCAAATGGACACCTACCACGAGGATCATGACATTTCTTCAGGGGATCTCAAACAAGTCCGACAAGTTCTGGACGCTAGTTGTGCATCTGTTGCTCGAGAGATTAAACTGAAGGTCAATGCCTTGCGAAGTGAACGTACAGGTGCTCCTCCCACAGCCACAAAGGAACCTTCCAAAGGTTCTGCACCCTCTTCTCCTAACAAATCAGCACTCCAACGGACTCCTTCGAAGTCTGCACTTAGAGCAGCGAGCCTTTTGTCGTCTCCTACGAAGACACCCACGACAAAGCGGAAAGTGGCCTTTCACACGGAAGGTGAAGATGATAACATGGTCGATGCTCCTTTGGAGACACCTACGAAGAAGAAGGCTAAGCTCGTTGGCTCTTACAATACTATCAATACTCACGAAAGAGCGTTACCCGCCATCGATTTCACGAAAGTAGGAAAGTCACCGAAAAGTGGTGCAGCATCGTCCTCCAGGGTCACACTGGATCTCCTTCAACGAGCACGACAGTCAGATACGTCGGATACGGAGATGGCGAACGTCGAAACTGATGGTGAAACTCCGATGCTGGTTGAGATGGAGAGATCTGCCCCGTCTATACCTTCGACTCCTCGCCACCCGAAGCGAAGCACATTATTCCCAGCAACACCCGGCGAATTCGATATGACACCTAGTCGTCGACAACGCCGGCGTGCGGCAGAAATAGAAGATGAAGACGAGGTAGAAGACGAGGAACCGGTCTTACCACGGCGACATAGACCTGCCTTGCTCGGTCATCGACAATGGTTGCAGCGCGATCCTCGTCTTGAGCGTGAGCAGAAGATGGCAGAGGTAACAAGACGGAGCATGCTGGAGAAGTATGGACATCCATTCGAGCACTTACGACTGGCTGCAGCAGTTTCATGAGAAATCTGTACATTGTACGATAGCTACGTTCCTACAGAGCCGTGTAAAATTACTAGCACAGAGAAGATCGAGCATGGATAGATAACCAAAAGATGTAACAGGACAAAGATTTGGTTGATATATCGTTCAAAATGAGGGTATGCAGACGGCGGGTATCCAGAGTCACTATAATATGTATCATTTCTTCTTCACCCTGGCGCTCGCCTGATAGAAGCGGAGCGACTTCGCGATGTATCCATAAGAATCGTACATCAGCCAGAGAGGGATGAAGACCCAGCTGTATTATCGTCGTAGTCAGCACACACCTGTAATTGATGAACAAGGCAAGAACTTACAGGATGTTCATGAACTGTTTGGAATAAATAAGCTCGTAGTTCAGGACTCGACAAGGAAGAAGACTTACGAAGAGGTAGACCCAGAGGTACAAGAAGTTGGATGTGTTGAGGGCTGCACTGCCGGTGAGCCATTCGGGACCGAAAGTCATGAAGCCTCCGTAAAGCTCGGCCGTAGAAAGAACGACAATCCAGTAGTGCCTTGCAGGGTCATCCTTGGCTAACTGATACAATACGAGGCAGCAAAGAGGACCGACGCCCAATACGGTCAAGATCTCGAGAGAAACAACCTGGATAAAAGCTGTTTCAAAATACGCCACGGACAGACGATTGTAACATCGGTTCTTACCGTGGGATCAGATACGCCCCATCGCGCGTCAGCACGGGCATATTCCTTCCCTGAACATATGAACACTTGGGGTGAGTAATGGAGGAATATGGCGAATAGTACGTACAGAGTTCTGCGAATGGTCCGGAACTGATGACCACTTGCCTACCAAAGGTGGAAAGGTAGAGGAAGGAGCCTTCGAATGTGAAATGAATCATCGCATCGAAGGCCTTGATTTGCAAGAAGGGTCAATGTATTAGCAGAAGACACACATGTAGCTACTCACAAGCCATATCCAGGCAATTTTATCCTGTCGACGTGCAGTCTTGGGCAGGAGTGTCTTAGACGAGATCCATGCAACGGCACCGACGACAGCAACGAATGCTAGTGAATAAGCAGATGTCTCGGTAAAGATGGTGGGAGGGAGACCTTCTTTCGAGGTCATTCTGGGTATCCTACTAATTGTTCACTCTTTGTTTGATGAGCAAACAAGACGAGGACAGTTTGTGGTAAACTGCGCCTCGCAGAGGCGTGAGGTGTTACTTACGTTCGATCACTTTGATCCCATCAATCGTCGATCGAAGTTTTGAAGTGAGTATGTACCTCGTTCCCCTGTAGTACTACTACCAGCACTGGGATTGAGAAGTCACCTTGCTTTAGACGTTTAGTATACCTCAATTTGCCATGATCTACAAAGGTGACCTTGTGCATTGCCCCCAACTGGGCCGTATGGAGATACTACATGACCATATTATCGGTACTAGCGCCTCACACAAGTTTGAACATGCTTCCAGACACCATTGACAACCGAGTCTGTCCACAGCCGTGAATGACATAGGGTTCATCACACACGTTGCCCCGGCTGATACCCCTGAATCTGTGCAACTGCTGAGAGGCAGTCAATACCAAAGTATACCCAAAGGAAGTTTTTTGTTCCCAGCGTTTTACGATCTCCACCTCCACGCTCCGCAATTCCTCTATCAAGGATCAGGTCTTCATCTACCTCTCATGGAATGGTTGAATGAGTATGCGTTTAAAGCCGAAGAGAAGATCGATGCAGATCCCGTTCTAGCACGAACAGTCTACAGGCGACTTGCTTATCGCTTGCTCGAGCAGGGTACAGGCGGAGTGGTGCTCTTTGGCACCATAAAAGAAGAAACAAAGCTAGTACTTTTGTTACTGGCTTGCTATGTAAGGGAACATGCTGATATGAGTTGAATTATAGTCTTATCCTGGCCGAAGTCATGCAAGATTCTGGAATTCGAGCATATGTCGGCAAATTGTCTATGGACATTTCGTCCAGAAAAACCTACGTGGAGCCCTCCGCAATGGCTTCCCTAGAGGCCGCCTTTTCGTTCGTTGAAAGGTGTAATGCTCTTACGATACATCTACCGGTTCATGACAGACTCATTGAGCCTATCCTCACACCGCGGTTTGTTCCAACGTGCTCTGACGAGCTGCTCACAGGTCTAGGACACTTCTCAAATGAGAGGAATGTCCGGATACAGAGTCATATGGCTGAATCCTTCGATCAGGTTACGTGGGTCAAAGAAGAACGAGGTATAGACGACATGGATGTCTTTGACAAAGTGAGTACCACGTCAAACCAAGCGATATACAGTGAACCGTTGAGCATCTTGTTAGCATGGCCTTCTTACGCCTCGTACCATTCAAGCCCACTGTACATTCTTAGATCCACCATCCCTTGCTCATGTCGCGGAACACGGAACATCGATAGCGCATTGTCCGCTATCCAATGCCTATTTCTCAGCCCTTCCATTCCGCCTACGCGAAGCCCTAGATAATGGCGTGAAGGTGGGACTTGGCACTGATATCGCAGGCGGATATAGCATCGATATCATGGTAGCGATGAGACAAGCTGTTGCTGTCTCTAGGATGCGCGAGGGCTCCAGGGTTATGGCGCACACCGAAGGGCGACAAGTAGAAGACAAGCAAAGAAATCTCTCCATTGAGTGGAAGGAAGCATTATATCTGGCTACTGGCGGAGGCGCGGCGGCGATGGGTTTACATCCTGGTGCAGGGACGTTCCAAGTCGGTGCGCCCTTTGATGCGCAGCAAAGTAAGCACGTAAAGTATTTCAATCAGTCGAATACCGACTTTTCTGGCGGTTGTTTAGTTCGCCTGTCTCATGGCGGCTTGCGGAGTAGCGTAGGTCCACTAGACCTTTTCGACCTTGGCGAGGGCGAGGACAAGAACGGCGAAGGTAGCGAAACGTGGAAGTTAAACTTGGAACACGTTGAGAAGTGGTGGTGCCTCGGTGACGTCCGTAACCGTATCACCGTTTGGGTACAAGGCCGTGAAAGATGGCCTTTCTGAATTGAGAGGTTCAGAAATTGAGTCAAATTATGCGGGGTATCGCCCTTTGTTACATCCAACCGATTAATACCGATATACCGAAAGGAACCAATGCTTATCTATCTAGGTGAAGTGGTCTGGGAAAGATCGGAAGTCTCTAACTCTTCCCAACTCGAAAGTCCGACAATACTTGGAAGGTTGTGCCAAGTCTCTTCTCGGAAAGCAGTGACGTCTTGCCTGAACGCCCTTCGACAAGGTCCACAGACATCAGGATGCTCTGCGATCTCATCTGACACTTGGACCATGAAGTGCAAGGGTCCCGTGCGCACTTTCCATGAGCGAGACAAGCGAGATGAGGTTCTCGTGAAGACCTTGACGCAAGCTCCAGCCTTCTGACATCCCGGCGCTGCGACACGCTCTCCGCATGTCCGTCGTACGAAGTCTAAGATCAGAGTGATGCGATACTGGAACATCAATGTATATGCTTGCAGATCTTGGGAGGACAGGTTGGAGGGTGGGCACGATGGGTGGTCGACTTTGAGTTTGAGATGATCGGCTTTGAGGAGATCGTCGAGGGAGTATAATGAGAGGAAGTACATGACAGAGGGGATCACAATCTCTACGTGATTCTCGCGGGCCACATTGAGGACGTGTAGCGGGTGAACGAAAGGGTATGATTTATCATTGATAGGAGGCGTCTTCAGCGCAAGTTCAATCATTTCGTCGTGTCCGCGCAGAGTGTTTGACCAGGTATGCACCAGGTGACGAATGGCTTCATTACGTAGTCGCGAGATGAAATATTTCGTGGATAAACGAAGAATGCCGACAGTGTAAAGAAAGTGTTCCAAACTACGTTCCTGAGAGGACCTGAGATAAAACGCTACTCAAGCAAAAGCTATGCAGGATCATATGCGAGAAATGGACAATACTTACGGGCCTGTGCCATCATAGAGTGCCTTGATGAGATTGCTCAGTTCTCCGGGAAGATCGTACATGCGAACAACCTGACAACCTTCGAGAACTTCTCCTTCGGAAGACGACTGGGGTAGTTCGAACATGGACTTGAATACCTCTGAATGCCGGGAGAGGAAGTCGCGATGGACTTTGAACGCAACACTTGAATCCTCCGACAACAAGACGATATTCCCATCGTCGAACCACGGGTCCCCACGTCGGCTTGCAGGTACGGCTTTGTCTGCACTAGCCATCGGTCCTCTCGACCCACACGCAGAGGTGATTGTTGTCGAAGACAGAGAGTACTTCGCTTGCTGGCGAGTGATCGAGATCGGTATTGAAAAGCAAGTTCATCAGGAAGCGCTGACAAGATTTCAGTCCACAACCACCATCATGACTTTCTGGCTACCGTCCTCGGAGTACTAGTATCAAACGATTGCCTTTCAATAGTCTTGTTTTTCACTGAATATGTCGAGGACTCCTAGAACTCCTCGATCACGAACGCCCTCGCGAGCAGGCACACCCATACCCGGTGCCGTGCCCGCGAGATTAGTGCCGCCTACGCTTCGCTCTGCACCCTCAGTCTCTTCACTTCGAGTATTCAGTCATGGAGCGCCGTCCGCCGTACATACGCCAATATCTGGCTCACCACCCAGCCGACTGGGTGAAGGGGACAGTTCGGCTTCATCCGCTATAAATGTGGAAGCCACAGAAGGCATTCTAATACAGGAATCAGAAGTTGAAGTGGAAACTATTGACGGAGAAGAAGGCACCGTCAGTGGACATATGGAAAGCACTGCAACAGACGAGGAGGCTAAAAGGAGTCTTCGTGAACATTTGAGGCGTACACTGAGTGAGCAGGACACATCGAGTGGTGAGTGTTCTATGAAGCAAAACCTATATTTGGCGTGTTCATAACGCGATTAGAAACAATACCTCGAAGAACACCACGTAGAGGAATGTCCGTTGAGACAGAAGAGTTGTCAGTTTCTCGTAAGCTTTGCATCTGAGCCTACATGAGTTCGTCCTTACGTCCCTCCGTCTAGCTGAAACGTACTCACCTCGACAATATTTCGTTCTCACCGATGCTGGGAAGCCAGTGTTTATTAGGTCAAATTTTCAGTCTATCGGACGTGTACCGGTGTATTGACGCTATTCGTTATCCAGTCATCAACAGAATGAAGAATCCGATGCCTTCACCTCGACCATTGGCCTCATGCAGGCCCTCATATCGGTCTTTCTAGATGACGGAGACAAGATACGATGCATAAATGCAGGGAAGACTCGTATAACATTCCTTCTGCGCTCTCCACTTTACTATGCTTGTGTATCCTCATGGGGTGAACCAGAGTCTGTGGTGAGTTTTGATAGCATATCAGAGTATGAACAGTACTAGAAGCAATATGTCTGCAAAGGAAGACACGATTCCATCTTGAATATCTTCATCTTCAAATTCTCAGCGTCGTATCGGCGGAGCAATTACGTCGCATGTTTGAACGTCGTACGAACTTTGACCTTCGGCGGCTGTTGAGTGGTGTGTATGTCCGGTGGGTTGACAGATATATTGCTTATTTGTTTGTTGCGTTAGGCGCGGAACCTTTCTTACATTCACTGCTCTCTCGACTGGAATGGGATTTTGCTATGGCGACGTCTTCCCTGCATTGCCTAAAGTTGGACCCCAATCTGAGGAAGGGCATTGCGGACGCCTTAGTCCCTACGTCAAAAATCAAGGTAAATTCGCAATAGGCAGAAGCGATACAACATCTCACATAGCTTGTGTTAGGATATCCTATACATGGTATTGGTTGCACATGGTCGCGTCGTGACCCTAGTTAGACCGAAGAAGCACTCCATACACCCATCAGGTAAACGACTAAGTTCTGAGTCCTCTCCAAGCCCCTAGCTTAATTTTCTAAAGACTTGCACATTCTTATCAACACCATTCATGCGCCATCCATCCTGAACTCGTCGGCTTCGGCATCATGGTTACCAATCTGCCTACCAAAGTTCAATCCCTCAGCATTTGTAAATGCCTACGTAATGTTCCTCAGGAGGACCAGCGAAGAAACGAAGCCTCCAACATCATCGAGCTCTCGAGAATCATCAGAACCGACGTCTACGGCAGGATCTAGGGTGCCGAGTATCGTGGTTTCTGACCATAGCTCCACGCCGACACCAACATCTCTACCAGAAATCGGTTTGATATGTGTCAGCGGTGCAGCTGACTTTGAGGCTGTTAGAAGTTGGTGCAACACGGTCTCAGAGGTAAGTCGACTTGCGTCGATGTTCATGTTCATGTCTGTGTCTGAAGCGTGAATCGTAGAAATTGGAGCGCGATGGCTTAATGAATGCCATGGTCGATGCCATTACCAAAGGGAAGACAACGTACAGCGTCTCTGACCTCAGCATCCCTGGCCTACGTCATTTTCTGTACAAGAGTCGATCTCATGTACAGGTGACGATGCCAGAGTACGAGGATCCATATGACGACCTAGATGAACGACGAAGGCTAATCACCTTGTATGAAATATTGCACGATGCGATTCATGCGAAATCTGGTCAAGGAAGCACACTAAAGTTGCAGTATATTCGGACAGAGCGCGAGAGTATCATGGGATGGGTGAGTTACCTTTGTCTCGTTTGCTTATCGTTTTGTTATCGTTTTGCTTACATTTCCCTTGAGATCACACAACCCTTCGAGCTGTACCTTGCGATGTCCCCCCTAATACCCAAGTCCGCAGTTGTGAACGCCGCCAACGCGATATCGCGTTGGGTGCAGAAGGAAGAAAAGCGGCTGTTCCTTCGGGACGCCCCCGTGTTCTAGTCATATATGCTATCCGGGTTGTTTGTTGTCTTCTATCACGTCGTATACCCCACATGTAGAGTTAAGTCCGTGCTTTTGTAATTTTATAATCCAACATGCTTTCGCCACTGCACTGCCTTGCTTCTCAGAATTGATAGACAGCTTTATTAACCCCCATGTCGTCATGATCCCTGGCCGGTAACTTTACCTTCGTCCACACCGGCTTCGTATCCCGGACCATTGGGCACTTTGTGTGTACATCTGGGAGGATTGGGAGACAAATATGCCAAATTCCCAGGCGATTTTCGTCCGGGATATGAAGCCGGTGCACAGACCTCCAAGTTACAGACTAGGGCACGAGACACCTACAGGCCATTACGGGATGGGAAGCTGGATTCGAACACCCTAATATTATACGGTGTACGCTTCCAATTTGTGCATCATTACCCGCACCAGACTTGTTCGATTCTATCGCACTAGGGAGCGATAGCCAAGCATAGCATCCGTAAGAGACGGTAATCGTAGAGTCCCGTTGGTTGGGCCATCTCAACGGGTCTGGTATTCACCCTTGTGAACGTCGGGGCAGGAGACGCAATCACTGTTCACCCAGACTCCGTTAACAGAGGAGAACGTCGGCATGTCTGAACACGCTCTGGTTTGCGACATGCACTTCTACAACGTTGTCGGTTCAACGTGTTCCAGTACATGGCGATTGCAATCAGGTAAACAGAAGGTGCGTCAGACAGGTCGGCCGGTCCGATAGAGTCTACCATGGTCGTCGTCGACAATGGCCTGTGGTGAATGTCCTTTGTTCACAGCTTTCGGAAGTAATCGGCACATCCCAGCCCATTGTGCGTTCTCCTTGAAAGCAGTGCTTTCGGAACATAGGTTTCGATGCTTGAAAGATCAGAAAAGCTTCTCCAGGTGCCTCGAGGGCTCTCCCAACAATCGCACGATGCCTATCAGCGTATCCCCGTTCCTATCGCGTCCATGAGCAGAATTTAGGTGAACCCCCTCGTGATTGAGGGCGTCTTGATTATCGCATACAGTTACCATGCTCTCGGGTAGGTCGGTCTCCTTTGGTAGAACACCTATACCAAGCGGAGGATATACGGAGCTGCGTAATAGCATGTTGAGTGGATTCACTTTCGGACTATGAGATCTGAAACCGAGATATGATGTCAACATCTGACGTCTTGAACATAGACGACACGGGGATCGGGAAATCGGTGTCTGAGGGAGTTGTCTGGAAAGCGATGTGACATTAGAAATATAGATAAATTATCCGAGTCAGCAAAATCATCATCCATGTGCAGGTTGCCGGCTTCATCAAATTATTAGAGCGGATCAAAGAGGTCAAAGAGGTCAAAGAGAGGTATCCCGGATATTGGAACGCACGCATGATCCAGAATCATTCAAATTATTGACGACGGAGAGATCTTCTACCTGGAAGTCGGACAAGGGAGCCAAGAAACAAGGAAATAGACAGAGACGAGCTCAAGCGCTCGGTTTGGTTCGCAACATTCGATCACGTCCACGAGCGCCCACAACCTGCCAGTGAACCCAGTTCACCGACGTTCAGCTTCAGCTATTCAGTGTTCTACTACCTGGGGACCAATTTCACATTGTCCAAGTTGCCTTGCATGTCCTCCGTGCTTGCCTTCAGATTACAAAACCCTCTTCCGCAGCTCGTTCGAACATGGGTGAACAAAGCACAGTTCCGACCTGTTCCTCCTCCACGCTGTATGTACCCTCTTGGGCTGCATCTCAGTGGATCAACTGAACATGTGTCATTCACTATTCCATTAGCGCGACTTGCGGGTCCGACTGACTTTTTGAAAGCGATTGGTCGCTCATCAGAAACAAAATTCGAAGCACCGGCGACGTGGGAGGAGTTTTGGAAAGTGGATGGAAATACGTTGAAGAAAGCTGGAGTACCTGTCCAAGACCGGCGGTGAGTCATCGCACTGTTATGTTTGTGAGACGTGGCTGCCAGGTCTGATAGAGTTATGTGAAATTATCCTCTTATAGGTACATTCTATGGTCCATGCAGAAGTATCGCATGGGTGAGAACCCGGAGGACTTTGCGCACGCTCCTACACCTAAGAAGAAGATTCGTGGGTATGTGTGCTCTTCAGATACACCGGAATGTCATGCTGAATACGGGCTCTTGACAGTCGGGGCCCAGCGGTTCAATTGGGGAAGCGGATCAGGTCTAGGAGACTTCGGTAGAATGTGTTCTCCTGTACACTCCCTCGGTTTCCTTGTCATTACATCCATTCGATCATTATAGCTGTGTGATCGGGCTAAAAACTTCACCACTTGACTGAAGTCATGATATTTGTGGTGGTACACATATCTTTCGGGCGACGATAAAAAGCTCCGATACGGGGAATCGAACCCCGAGCTGCCGCGGGCGCTTAAATTCAAGTGAAAGGCGGCAATGTTAGCCGTTACACCATATCGGAGTTAACGAGCTTAATGCGCAAAAACATATCTTGCAATTGTGCTAGGGAAAATGCTTGCTTATGAAAACTGAAGAATTGAAGAATTGAGGACGAAGGACTTGGCCATGGATAGTGATCTTGACCAAGGATTGCAATTTCGACCACGACGCGTGCCCGATATGGTATGTCAGAACAAAAAGAGCCAATGTTAGCCGTTACACCGTATCGGAATTGCTAGCGCTCGTCGTGCACTGGCTCGCGGTGGGTGTCAAGACAACTACTTTTGTATTCCGATAGAAAGGCAGAAATGTTCACCGTCAAGGGAGATATACATCCTACCATCCGCAGACATACGTGCAACCTCAAGAGGAAAGAAAAGAAAAGAAAGTCTCCAGAGAGGAACGAAATTCAAGCACGGTCAGGAAGAAGCGGTCTCGATCATAACTGTCAACCTGTACTTGACAGGTCGATCGCCTTCCTATAGAATGTCGGACGGCTGGCAGTATCGGATTTGAACTCGCTCGTGCTCGCTGCTAGGACGTGATGGATGGTCGGACGATCCATCCTAAAAAGTACGTATCTGCCCACCTAATAGCCTGCTGAATAGCTCCCCGAACAGCTCTTCTACGAAGGTTATGTCAACCAGACATCGATGATGCGATCTTAGCATGTTGGTCCTGCAAATCTGCGTTCGGAACGGTTTCGGATGAAGTAGAAGCAATCGACAGAAGACAAGTGCCCAGAATAGATTAAACGCAGTTGTAAAAGGTACCGGAACAAGTGACGTCTGCTCACAGGATTAGCACGATGAAGGGACTATGCGAGCGAGATTCGCATCTTGATGAGAGAGCCTGTCCGCTTACAACGTGTTCGGACCGTTCTTTCATTTTGAGATGAAGGGTACTTGCGGCAGCAAGATGTCTTCGCCTCATGTTCCTGTGGGAACTTCACGACGTGATGCTATCGCGATGAAGTACTCTCACGGCCCTCGAATCCTCTACCAAACGATGAGATCGCGGGAGATCGACCCCTTCATGAAGTGAAGAAGTTGGATCTCGATTGCGGCAACGTGCAGGTCAAAGAAACAAGCATGCGGCAGTCCCAAGCTCTTCCTCCGGAGCCGTACGCATATATAATGCCCCTGCTATGACCCTTCCTCCTCATCCCCCGCTCCTCATCGCATCTGCCTCCCCGCCTATCACTCACTACAATGAATTCCTCTAACTCTTTCATGGGCTTCTCATTTGACCAGCCCGCTTCCCCCTTCCTCTCTTCGGGTTCATCCTCACCTGAACTCTCTCGAGGTCACTACCTCTACCCGGATAGTGACTTCTCCTCCCCCGAGAGCATCTCCCATGGGGATCTTCCCCTTGCTCCGGATACTATCTTCGAGTGCCCAGAGCACCCGTTGGTAGATTCCTACTTGAACGACGACGCTTTGTGAGTCTTCTTCTTGTAGTCATGCAAGGATTAATCTGACCATAGTCTCAGTAGCAACGATGGAACTGTCAATCCTGCTGACCTGTTCTACCAGGACCAGCCTTACAATCCTCCTCCCGTCCGTCCACGCGAGTCGAGCCTCGACGGTGCCCTCATTCTCGCACCTGAGTTTGATAAGATGCATCTCGAACGCCACGCACTCGACTCCCCTTCCCCTTCCCCTTCCCTTTCTCCTTCTCCTCGTACCTCTCGTCGAACTCGTTCCTCTCGCACATCTACCTCCTACTCTGGGGAATCCGATACGTACAGCTCGGATGGTGATGACGGAGAGTACAGACCTCGCCGAAAGTCTTCGCGTCTCATCAAACAAGCTGCCTATCATCCTTACGGTGGAGCCTATGCGTCCTCTCGTTCCTCGAGGACTCCATCTCCCGCCTTATCCCTTACCCAGCGCCCGGAGCCTTACATCCGCACTACCTCTCGTCGTAGCCTGCAGTGCGCGCCCGGCGAGGTGTTGAGCCTTGATTTGCACGGAGACCACGGGTTCCAGTGCACCAAAGGAGATTGCCACTACGTTCAGAAGAACGAGCGTATCCCAGACCTCAAGCGCCACATTCGTGCTCACCAGGGCGGGACGAAGATCATCTGCTGCGGTCAGCCTATTGGTCCTGATCATCCTCATTGGGCCGATGGTTACCTATGGGAGGGTAAGATAAGGTGGGGCGGTTGCTGGAGGACCTTTAGTCGAAAGGACGCATTGACCAGGCACCTCAATACGCAGTGTTGCTTGCATCCTCAACTTTAAAGCAAAAACGCTTTGATACGCTTGAACGATCTTTGATCCACGGTAAGCAGCCTTCTATCTTACCTTATGCGAACATCGTCTGACAATCTCTTCATAGAAATGAATCTTTAACGAAAGTGCTGTAGCCAATAGGTGGCCGCTTGTCTCTTTTTCCTTTCATCTGTTTCCTCTCCTCTCTCCTCCTTCTCCTTTTCTTGAACGCTTGAAGCATCTATGTTCCCCCCACTCCCCTCTCCATACCTGTACTACTATACCTCGCGTCGTTCCATACCCTTCTGGTTATTTCCTCTTGAGCTGTCGAGCGTACTCTTGATTTGGTCTCACTCTCCTCTTGATTTGGTTTCACTTTTCCCTTGTCTCTGTCTCGTCTCTAATTTCCTAATCTCTCTCCTCGTTATCTCCCCTGTAAATACTTAGTCTGTCGAGCGGAATGGATCTCTATTTTTGCTCTCATAGCTATCATGATCTTCAGCGAGATATATAGTCCCTGGACTCAACACCCTCATCGCCGCCTCGCTCTTGGGCTCAACAATGCACGCGTCCTTCACTGGCACACGGGCTGCCGTCGACTCAAAGTCACTGATGTCCGACAGATAGTCATCACCACGCGACGGCAAACCTCTCTTTGTTCTCTGCCGTCTTTGTCCTCTTTGACTTTGATGCAGACGGACCATGCACGCGACTCCAGATTATTGACCCACGCGTTCAGACCTTCCAACAGATTTTCTTTTATTTTTATGTAGACGCACTCATGAACGGGCACACGCGGCTAATACTACAGTTTGAGCCTCGTCAACATCACTGCCTCCAAGGAAGATGAAGAGACATCTGGGGAGGATGTCCCGAAGAACCGGGTACAACGTTCACAGATGAAAGAGCACTTGAATGATGGAGCAAGTCTCGGAGATTGCCAGTACCTCGGCTGGACAATGGACAATGGGGCTTGGCAAAGATGAATGCCGATTGTTCATTTGAACGGAAATTCCCATGAAACTTCGATCTATCGGGAACCATTGTCGATCGTATAGGGAAGATCGCCAGATAGATCACTGTCAACTTCTGGTGCATAGTGAGGCACTGAAGTTGTCATTGATTGACATCTCACAGCCATGCTGGGTGCTGTTTATGTGCACATGAGACTTGCTTTTGCATGGAGGATATTCATCTTGGCATAAGGCAGATCCAGGGCTTCATTTGTTAAGGTTTTGTATCACTGTTATCAGAAATATGATGTCTAGCATGGCACTTTGAGAATTAGTCATCAGGAAAAGGTGCATTACTTCTGAGAGCTTCTGAGAGCTATCTTAGAAGGCTCAGAAGGGGTCTCAGAGACTTCAGCAGCTCAGCCCTTAGTGAAGTTCAATTTTGGGCTGGTGCATTCTCAGAAGTGATTTTATTTACCATGCCCCTTGGGCATCTTCAATCTAAACCTCAAGCCTTTTTTGTATATACATTTCCATATCTCAAATACATTTTTCAAGCCATGAATCAGGCCATTTATTCTTGAGACATGTTCACTGTGAATTTTGCAAAGTTGACCATATTTGGACTTGGCACTCACAGTGCCAGAACATGTATAATTTCCTGATGTAGTCTTGCCCTCTCTGATTTTAAGCAAACAGCACATTCCCAATAAAAGTATATTCCTCATGGCATGAAGCATAATTGTATAGCAGATGCAACCTCTTATCATTCTAGGTGGCATTCTTCAATAGTAAAATATACTCTCAGTTTGAGTCTGAACTTGATTACTAGAAAAGAAAAAATACTATAGATAATTCTGTCAGCTTCTGCAATATTCTCCTTGCATCATTTATCTACTCATCATCACTAAGTTTAGCTTATAGTAGCATGACATGGATATCTATTCACTATTTATGTAATTTTCATTTATAGACTTCAGATTGATAATAAAGGGTCTGTCTTAGACATTGTCAGATAACAGGCATGGCTTTGTTTCAAGAATACAGTATAACTCATATATCTCATTGGTAAGTGTTCTCAACTCTTGGTTACAACTATATCTGAATCTAGCTAAACATCTAATTTTTTTTTAATATAATAGTTACAAATTGAGAATATATAGTTTGTATATAGTGAGCGACTGTCACTATTACTGACTGCATATACTTAAATTGACTGCTATCTTCTTCAGATGATCTTCTATAGTAAGCACAAATATATTATAGTAGAGGTACAAGTAAAGTATTATGCTATAGTTACAGATACAATTATAAAAGTCCTTGTACAAGATCTTAAGAACATGCTTCACTATAAGAACATCTATAATTGCACAGCAAGAGTTTATGAATATCTTAAAAAGAAGTTTCAAGATTTTATCAATTCTCTTACACAGAGTGAACATAAAAAATACTCTTCCTATAGCTAGATTAAACTTGATAGCACTATTCTGACTATTGATATATTTAGTGCATATACTCAAGTTCACTAAGATCAAACTAAGGCTTTTATCTATTGATTTATATTTAGCATCAAAGGCAATATTCAAGACTATATATTAAAAAGCTTTCTCAAAAACTATATCTGAGCCCTCTTCTATCTATAATCTTACTATACTTTTATTGCATTTTCTTTCAAAAAGTGCCTTATAGTTATAACATATATTGACTTATTAGATCTGCTCAAAGGTACCTTAGTTTACATGCAGAAGTGTCTAAAACTTTAGATCACATAGTTAGATATTAATAGCCTATTGAAAATATTGTGAGAAGATGATTCTCACTTTTATACATTCTATTATAAAAATTCAATATCTTCTTATTCTTCTCACTTGCAATATTACAGAAGAACAGATTAAAACTATTATTGAAAGCTCAACTATAATTTGATTCAATAAATATGTTTTATAGAAGAATATTGACTTTACATCATATCTAACTTAGATAATTCTGCTTATTCAAATATCTTCTCAGCTATATGCTTTCACTAGTTTAAGAATTGCCACAATAATATGAGCTTCTATAAGAAAGTTATCTTCAATCTCGAACAATGAGTAATATATATCTTCTGTTTAGTTTTCTTGCTACTTTCAATTGTATTTAAAGATAATATCTTGATAAATATCAGTATATCTAACACTAGATTTCTATAATATTTATATACAATATCTGTATTTCTAATACTGTTTACATATTTTAAAATTTTCTTCAAAGTTTGGATTTTAGAATAAATGTATCTCTATAGAAAAGTCATCTCAAATTCTGCATTATCTGTCAGATTATAGATAATATAAAATGCTAAATTTGATACAACTTTTATGCTTCAGAAAATTCAAGACTTTTCAATTCAAAAAAAATTACTGTAAAAGTGAAGAATAATTCTAAATTGTGTAATAGAATTTTGCATCTTAGAAAACTGGATTCTAATTTTTAGAGTATGTAAAATTATAAAATCTTAAGAAAATCCAGAATGTTTATAATTTTACACACCCTAAAAATTAGAATCCAGTTTTTTAAGATGCAAAATTCTATTACACAATTTAGAATTATTCTTCACTTTTACAGTAATTTTTTTTGAATTGAAAAGTCTTGAATTTTCTGAAGCATAAAAGTTGTATCAAATTTAGCATTTTATATTATCTATAATCTGATAGATAATGCAGAATTTGAGATGACTTTTCTGCAGAGGCATGTTTATTCTAAAATTCAAACTTTAAAGAGAATTTTAAGATGTGTAAACAGTTTTGAAAATACAGATATTGTATATAGATATTATGACACTTTTAGGTATGCTAAAAATATTGTAGAAACCCAGCATTCCTAATCTTGTCTTATATCATATGAGACATACTTGCAATTTTCAGCATCAGTATTTCAGTCAAACATCTATTCTCACAGAGCAGATTGACTCTTTGTGAGAATTACTCATCTATGAGTGCAGAATTGGCTTCAATTATGATTGTCACAAAGGAGTGGTTGAGATGTGGATTGGGCAATGATGTGAACTACCTTGATGGTGTTTCAATTCACCAGAAGTGAGGTTAGTTGATTAGATATAATTACTTATAATTACACTATAAATATAATACAATACAATATGTAACTATTACATACTCCAGGGCTAAAGTCAAATAATATTATATATTATTATTATTCTAAGGTTTTCTATATTTAATTATAACTATATAGCACTACTTGTCACTGATCAGTGAAGAAATAATCAATCAAATGAGATAATTATAAGTAGATATTAGATGATATTAGCTAACTAGTCTAATAGTTAAGGTATAAGTTTTCAGTTCCTCGAGCAGCCTATGTTATGGGCAAAGCCCTTAATGCAGATTCAGGATCAAAGGGTAAATATAAGGATAGATTGCCTAGGTCAGATAAAGGATTCTAAATATATGTATGGAGTTTATATACCTAGGCAGAGAAAGAGATCGTTCAATGAGAAAAGAGAAAAGGTATGGTACGATACGAGGACTCAGCCAATAGAAAAAAGGTAGCATTAGTAAGCGAGTCTGAAGTATCAGGAATTGCTAAGTAATACTGACTACCGGGATATGACTAAGGGGTCACGTGATTGTAGTCTATAAGGAGTAAGAAAAGCATATGAGAGACAAGTGAAATGTAAGTGAAAAGGTTATCAGTATAAAAGAAAAGAAAAAGTATAAGTCCATACGATGAGTTATAATAGCTGAAGATTCTGAACTTGATTTCTATGCTAGTTGATATTTTTATGCTCTTCTTATATGCATATTGAGAAAGGTTAAGGCATCAGTTTCCAGTTACTTAGAGTTAGGAGCCTACTTTTATTCTACCACTGCTGCTTGCACTTGCTATTTCATTCTGCCAATCTGCATAACAACCCTATATTGTGAATTATTCAAGTCAAAATAGCAAGTCAAGCAAATATTAAGGTAAGTTCTTCTGTAGGTTTGTAGCATAGTATAAAGGTGTAGCTAAGGTGACTTTGATGACTCATAGGAGAAGTTGTAATAGTGAGGCTAACTGAGAGATGAGACTTAGAGCTTTAGAATAGAGAAGTGAGCAGAGAAGCAGAGATGAAATTACTGGTGTTGAAAAGATGAGAGACATACAGTGAGATATGATGAGAATCTATAAGCTAGTGGAGCATTTCTTGCTCATAGAATAAGCATAATGAAAGACAAGAAAAATAAAAGTAAATAATGAAGCTAAGGAGTTACTAGAAAGGAAAATGCATAGATATAGATAAGATAAAGACTGTAGATAAATACTTAGAATCTGAATAAAGATTGGCCATGATCAGTATATGTAACATTAACTGTTATATCAGTCTTCAGCTGCATCTATAAAGTCCATTGATAATTCTACAGGTAACAAATGTGAGCTAAAGCCTAAAGATAAGAACAGTGCTATAGATAAAGGACTAGGAAGTCTGGCTAATTTTACAGATACTGCCAGTTGGAAGCACTTAGTAGACACTATTGACACTATTGTATGTAATAAGAATAATGAGCTTATAGTATATTTTACTCTGTATAAATTTTATTGATTTGTTCTTTGGTTTAGTTACTTATTAGGTCCAATAGCAATAATTTG